GGGCCCCCAGGGCGACCTGCTCAACACCTTTGATGCTGCTGCCCAGCTCATTATGCCCATCCCAGACATGACCCCTCTCGTTGAAGAGAAGAAGGAGCGCAAGAAGCGCACTCACGACCCCAACGCCCCCAAGCGCCCCCTCACCCCCTACTTCCTCTACATGCAGCACGCCCGTTCTATCATTGCCAACGACCTGGGAGCCGATGCCCCCAAGGGAGCCGTTCAGGAAGAGGGCCAGCGACGGTGGGCACACATGACTCCCCAGGAGAAGCAGGGCTGGAACAATGCCTACCAGTACAACCTGCGTCTGTACAACGCTCGCGTTCACTCTTACAAGAACGGAAACCCAATTGCCAAGAACATGACCGATGAGGAGGCGCTTAAGTACGCCGAGGACTTCCACATCCCCATGCCAGAGCTCAAGGAGGCCACCGCCCAGGCTGAGCCCGTCAACGACCAAGAGGCCATTGCCGAGCAGCTGCAGCAGGTTGCCGCCGCTGCTGAAGATGGCGAAGAGGAGGAGACTCCTGCCAAGACCCCCAAGAAGCCCGCCTCCAGCCGCAAGCGCAAGACTGCCACTCCTGCTGCTGAGGTTGAGACACCAAAGGTCGCCCCGCCTGCCAGCCCGGATAAGAAGCGGAGAAGGACGTCGACCAAGGCCGCCGAGCCCGAGAAGGAGGAGCCCAAGAAGTCAGGACGCAAGAAGGCTAAGAGCTCTTGAGTAATGCAACCTTGGCAACTCGCAGCAATCCAAGCTGCCCTTCCCGCATGCTTGTCCCAGGTCCATTTGGCAACAGAGGGCGCCCTGGAGGAGCAAAAGCTTCCTTCTACGGCTCACCCCCGTGCCATACTAGCTGCGGATCGCAAAAACTAGCAGAAGGGGTTGTTCGTGTCTTCTCTTTCGAAGTTGGCTCTTGGTTTTCTCTTTTTTTGGTTGAGAAAGGAATCATGATACCTCAGACGAGAACGGCGGCGGAGATGAGGGCGTGACTTCGGTTCCCCCCCTTTTCCTCTTTGCTGGGCTTTGTTGATACAGTCCGTCTTGCGTGTTTTTTGAGCATGAACCAGGGGAAGATTTTCCCTCTTATATCTCTCGCTTCATTCCGACTTTGTTTCCATCGCCCGGCATATGGCGGTTCGTATAAAATCAGGGTTTTTTAGGGCGCATAGTTTCTACTTTTTCCTTGTTTTATGTATGGCCCTTTTGGTTTTTTTCTCTAAAGGGACAACAAAGGGCATCCGGATTTGGTTTTTTTTTTTTTTTTCTCGCTAGGTAGTTCTCTGGGACCAAACGGAGGGAAGGGCGGAACTTGTTACGTCGTGTATTTAAGTCTCTTAAGTTCGTTGTTTGAACGGCCGAACTTTGTATGCGATAATGAAAGCAATGATTAAGCAAAATGACTCTTCATATCTTGTGTCTCTTTATGATGAACTTGTGACTTTGAAATGGCATTGGCTTTAAAGACTTGATACAGATGTTGCATTCATTCTATTTACATCAATCAATATACGTAATAAGCTTGTGTCAGAGGGAGCGTTGTCGCCGGCTCGGCGCTGCACACTTGCCCATCTGCCTCGACAATGTAACTCTCCGGATCGACCTTCATCTTGGGCATGGTGTCGTTGAAGCGCATGTCCTTTTTGGACACGGTGCGGCATCCCTTGACGGCCTCGACGCGCTTGCGCAGGCCGTACGACGCAATGGCGCCGGATACGATGGACTCGTTGGAGACGAAGAGGATGCTGGTTTGGGGGACGAGAGGGGCGAACATGGGGCGGGCGATGATGGGTTGGACGGTTGGGATGGAGGCGTTGGGGTCACCCTACAGATATTTGGACAGTTAGTTGATGTTTCAATAAAGAGTGTGTTAAAAGGGGGGTGGGGGAAGTGTAGACTGACCATTTGAGCCAAGGCAATGAGGCCGCTCTTGATAACGAGGGCCGGCTTGGTTCCAAACCAGGCTGGATCCCAGACCACCAGGTCCGCCAGCTTGCCCACCTCGATGCTTCCAATGACATGACTGAAGCCCTGAGCCAAGGCAGGGTTGATGGTGTACTTGCTCACATAACGTTTCACCCTGAAATTGTCTGCACCTGTGCCAACGTCTTCCTCCAGAGGCCCCCTCTGCGATTTATTCTTGTCAGCCGTGTTCCATGTCCGGAGAATGACCTCGCCGCATCTCCCCATGGCCTGCGAGTCGGAGCTCATCATGCTGATGGCGCCGAGGTCGTGAAGGACGTCCTCTGCGGCAATGGTCTTGTCGCGAATCCTGCTCTCGGCGAAGGCGACATCTTCGGGGATGTCTCTGGATAGGTGGTGGCAGACCATGAGCATGTCCAAGTGCTCGTCGAGGGTGTTCATGGTGTATGGCCGGGTAGGGTTGGTTGACGAGGGGAGCACATAGGGGTGCTCAACTACGGAGATGATGTCTGGGGCATGGCCACCGCCTGCACCTTCGGTGTGATATGTGTGAATGGTGCGACCCTTGATGGCGTCGATGGTGGACTCGACGAAACCAGACTCGTTGAGCGTGTCGGTGTGAATGAGACACTGAACGTCGAGCTCATCGCAAACCGTTAGACACGAGTCGATGGCGGCGGGAGTGCTGCCCCAATCTTCATGCAATTTGAGGCCACAAGCTCCGGCGGCGACTTGCTCTCGTAGGGCGACGGGAGAGCTGTCGTTGCCCTTGCCAGTGATGCCGACATTGACAGGTAGATTGTCGCAAGCTTGGAGCATTTGGCGCATATAATTCTTTCCTGGGGTACAAGTTGTTGCGTTGGTGCCAGCACTGCATGACTTATATCAGCCAGGATCTAGACCACATATCAAATAGGTGAAATCCGATCGCATATATGAATAAGAACGACTGTCACAGCGATGAATAAAACGTCATTGAGACTTACCTAGGTCCCACGCCTCCTCCTAACAATGTGGTGATTCCAGATGCAAGAGATTCGTCCGCCTGTTGTGGGCATATGAAATGAATATGAGAGTCGAGGCCGCCAGCCGTGATAATCTTTCCCTCACCAGCGATGACGTCGGTACAGCTGCCCACGACCATCCCCGGCGATACGCCGTCCATGACATCGGGGTTGCCCGCCTTGCCGATTCCTACAATGTATCCGTTCTTGACACCAATGTCGGCTTTGTAAATGCCCGTCGAGTCAACCACGAGAGCATTAGTCACCACCATGTCCAGAGAATCGGCATCAAGTCGCCCGGTTGCTTGTCCCATGCCCTCGCGCAGCGTCTTGCCACCACCAAACTTACACTCATCCCCGTAGACAGTGAAATCCTTCTCGACCTTGACCCATAGGCTGGTATTTCCTAGGCGGACCAAGTCGCCTGTCGTTGGACCAAACATTGTAGCATACGCGGCACGATCCATCTGGAACGCATCAATATGAACAGCGTCAGTGAGGGGTTCTGGCGTGTGTGCGAAGCCAGCCTGCTGTAACTTGGCAACGATGTCGTTGATTCTCCAGAGCTCCAAGCCTCCGGTTGCCATGTGGTTGCCGCCCCGAATGACCTTGTTGCCCCCGATTTCCACAAGGGTCACCGTCTTGGTGTCCCCGGGCTCAAAGCGAACTGAGGTGCCTGCAGGAATGTCAAGCCGGTAGCCATACGCCCTTTCGCGATCAAAATCCAGCTGCGGATTTGTCTCGATAAAGTGGTAATGCGAGCCGACTTGAATGGGCCGGTCTCCCTTGCTCGTCACCCTAAGCCTGATTCTCTTGCGGTCCTGGTTCAACGACACTTTGCCTTTGACGGCCACGACAACGCCAGGCTGTGCGGTGGCTTCATACTCCTCAGGAGCGGCGAGAGGGAAAAACTGGTCATTATCCGGGATGGGCAGAAAGCTGCCGTACAGGGCGCGTTCCAGGTCGCCGTCGTCTGTGCGGATGGGGTTGTGGACAGTGACCAGATACGTGCCCATGGGGAATGTGCCTTCAACCTGGATTTCGGTCAAGGTGGCGCAGACGGAGGGCTGGACATGACGGCGGCCAAGCATGGTAGACCCGAGGTCCATGAGATCGGCGACGCTGTGGTTGCCATCGCGGATGAGTTCTTGCAGGTTGTTTGCGATGAGAGCCTGCAAAGCAGTTTAGGTATAGTCGTTAGTGTTACTGTGACTTGTGATTTGTCTGGGCTCATGTGAATGACAAGATCAGTGAAATCAATGAAATCATCAAGTGCGTACCGTTGCTTCGCTGTGGTTCAGCTTGACACCCCTGGCAAGGCGCCTCTGCGCCAGCAAGCCCACCTGTGAGATGACGAGCTTGTCGAGCTGCGACAAGTTCAATGCTGGTGGTTAGCCACAGACACATCGATCCACCAGAGCTACTAAGGCAGCCAAGTGCTTGGCCGGGATAGCGTCAGACGCACCTCTTTCGGTACCAAGTGCATTGTGTCTCACTCAAAACACAATCAATCGAGCAGCCAGGTTTAGCTGTAAGGGAGAATGAAGCAAGCCAAAAAGATCAGAGTCGTAGCAGAACAAAGGTAATCATCGTGCAGCCTTTCCCCGCAGGTAAATCATTGGATGCGTGTTCTTGCCCACCATTCTTCGTCCAGAGATAAGGAATCGCTGATACGGGGAGGCGGCCTGTAGATGTTACCTCATCACCTTTATCTATCGAGATTGCCGCCAGTGATATGGAGAGTCCAGGGTTTAGCTTTAGCCGCTGTAGCTCAGCGCGCTTGTCCCGCTGCATCTGCTGAATTGGGCATTTGGACCCTGAACTCTGGAATGCATCAACCATCATCACCTGAGTCTAAAATGAAGATTCATCTTGACAATATCATCATCTTACTCGTGCATTTGCTGCTTTAAACAAAATAAATCATATGGATATATATCTTATAAGGCGCTTCACAATACAGAACAAGCCGATTCATAACCAAACGCCAACCCACCCTTTCAAAACTGACAATACAAGTCTTCCGAGATAACCTGCCAAACACCAGAAACACCAACACTCAAGATCAATTTGGTTTATTCCTCTTCAATCTCATCATCCCACTGGTCCTTCTCCTTCTTTATCAACTCCGCCATCTCGTCCGGCTTGAAAATAGAGCTGTCTGGATCTTCAGCTCTGGGGACCTTGTTCAGATTCTCGTCGTCAAAGACGGATCCAATCGTGTCGATCCACCTCCGTCGCCGCTCCATCAGCGTCTTGGTCAGGTCGCCTATTCCCGGCCGCGCCATGCCCGCCGCCGCTCCAACAAAGTGGCTGCCCCCACCTGCACCTCCGGGACGCTTGGACTTCTTGCTTTTGCCCATTGTCCGCGTGCGCTTCAGATAGGCGGCGTTGACTTGCGAGTCCAGATCTTCGAGAATGGTCTGGTATTCTTGGTGGGCCATGCGCTCGCGCACCAAGTCCATCAGCCGTGCCTTGCGCGCGCCGTTGACCAGCATTTGCTCTTTCAGTCTGGCTTGCAGCAGCCGCAGTCTGCCCGCGACCTCGTCGTCAAAATGGCCATCATATTCGCTTTCAATGCCATCTTGTGGAAGAAATCCAATGTGTCGAAGCTCTTGTTTAAGCCGCTCCTCAACCTGGGCATACTCAAGCTTTGGATGTGTCGCCTTCTTCCATGACTCCGTTGATGACTCCACCATGAAGGTAGCAGGCGGCACTGGGCTTGATTTGTCGTCGACGCCATTCGGCTCGTCGCCGTTTATATCTCCGTTCATGCTGATGTCGCCATTTGTCACCCCGTTTGTAGTTGGCTTGTCATCGGAGGACTGTGTTCGCGACTCTGGTCGCAGTGCTTGTAGTAATCTTGTGGCGAGGGGCCCGATAGATAGTGCATCCGTCTCAGCTACGCCGTCATTCATATTATCAATGCTGCCGCGAGGTTGGTTTGGTGGCAACTTGTCGCGACTCTGCTGAGGTGTGTCAATGGACATGGCACCATCCTCTTCAGCCCAGATCTCAGTATAATGTCTCTTGCCACGCTTAGGCATGACAAATGGTGTCACACGATCGCTGCGCTCTCGCAAAAACGCCAAGTCTTCTTCTGAGAATGGCCGAAAGTAGGGGTCAATGTATGTGGAAAAGGTCGAAAAGTTGATTTGACTGCTCGGCTTCGCATTGCTAAAGTCCTTGTCCGGAGGGTCGCCCGCGATCATATCGGCCAGATCACTCTTCGGATACACTGCAACAGAGTAAATCTTCTTTCTCTCTTCATCCGGCATGCCATCGTAGGTGGGTAAAATTTCGTAAATGGTGGGGTCCGGAAAGGTGGATGGATCTTCGCCAAATGTTTGTGCTTGGGGCAGCTCGCGCCTAGGGGGTGCGCCCTCGTCTTCAGAGCTCTCTTCCTCCTCTTCGTTTTCTTCCTTCTTAGGCTTCTCGTCGGTCTCCATGGCGTTTGGTGATGCTCCGCCGGCGATGGGGGAGAGCGACGAGCTGGCGTCGTCGTTGTCGCGCACGTGCTTCCGTTTCGAATCCCTCAGCGGAGAGGATCGCTCTATTGTGACTGGTTAGCAAAGGATTTCTCAACGATCCCAACACCCAATGGCCCAGCTTCATTAGATGTGATAATGAAGTGGCATGGGCTTGAACATACCTTGGCTACCATCGCCCGGCGCAAGGTTATCGGAGCCCTTCTTGCGCTTATGCTTAGACTTTTTCGTCTCCGGTTCTCCTCCATCCACACGCATGTCTTCGGGGCGCTTTTTTCGTTCGTCGGCCAGATATCTCATTCCGCGGTCGTAAAACGTGGAGCGCTTCTCCATGATATTGATGAGCGTCTTAAGCTTATCAAGCATGGCGTCGATGCTCCGCGAGTCGGGGACGGCAGCGCTAGAGGCGCCCTGATCCACCAGGTTGTCAAAGGCAAGATTCGAAAACAAAATGACTCTAGTATTGAGGTAGTCCGGATCGTAAAACTCCTGCGGTGGGAGCGCAGATGCCGGGGCCGGCACCGGCGTCGAATTCCGGCTTGCTTTCTGCATGGCGGCCGAGTTCTTCTTGCCTGTGCCCTTTTGTCCAGATCCGGGAGGCATGATGGTGGATGTAAGTCGCAGGCGCTACCTAGCAATTCACAGATGGAAGCGCAGATGAGCAAAGTGCCTGCGATGACTGTTTGATGAAAGCCCGGCGCTGTAGTTGCTGGGAGACCATGGGTCCATTGTCGCGTCTAAGCCTCATGTAAGCGCATGAAGCAGCGCATCGAATGGGGGGCTGTCGCGGTCGAGATTATGACGTCGGAAGAGATGTTTTTCCGAGCACGCGGTTACTTAATCATCATGAGCTCACCTGAAAAGGGTTAGTGTCAGAGTTGGTGTGACATTTTGCTGCCAAAGCAACAATATGCTCTTAGTGAAGCTTATAATTGTTTGGTGGCGCAATACACATCTTTTGGAAAAGGAGAGAGAAAAGTGAAAAAGGCCATTGAACTCAATTGAATCTGAAACAATCGGACATTTGGTGGTACAAAATACACCAAGATTGCGAATCAAATAACTTTGTATTTGAAGGCATGCTCGCAGTGTTTTTCTCTGGGAGCATCACTGGGCAGCAATAGAAGAGCCTACCCTATTACGACCATCTGCCTTATTATGGCATCAACTCATTTATAGGCCTAAACTTGGCATTTAACCCCTTATTCCAAAGACATAAGCACCGATTTGGTCTACCTGGATTGAGTCGCGCAGCCTCAAACCCAGAAGAGGCTTGCTGTTTAAAGGAATATGCTTCGCCTTCCCAGAACTCTACTAGGTCGTCCAACGATGGACGATCGTTTGGATCGACCTTCATGCAATTTCCCACGAGCTCAACCCAGTGGGATGGAGGATCGGTTTTGCCTGCCCAATTGACCTGAACATCATTCGGGTGCTCAACCTCGTCAAAGTTGTTGGCTGTCTGGCTCAGAAGCATCCACATGGTCCTCCCTAATGCAAACACTTCGGCCAACTCAACAGCTCTGGGGCAACTCGCGTGCCACTCTGGGAAGACGTTCCAAATATTGAAGCTCTCCCTTCCACTGCCTTCCGGCATATTCCGACGTTCTGGGCCCGTATATTTGGTGTAGACCAGCTTCATCGATCCGTTCTCATTCATATCTTGTTCTTCCACGTCCCAAGTCCCGTCTGCCTCGGGGGCGAGCGTGGTTGCTGGTGCACCGCTTTGCTCCCAGTCAATGAAGATCAGGTTCTCTTGGTCGTCAATAACAAAATTCCCAGGCTTTATATCCATGTGGTAAGTATGCGCGACCCAGTGGGTGTGCGTTATTGCCAGGCACATTTGATGACACCATTTAGCTTTTTGCTTCAAGGGGATTTGCGATTTTCTTGCATTGGCTGATTCAATTGCGTTACCAAGGTCACCTCCAGCGAAGTAGGTCGATAGATGACCAACAAGCACAGGGTTCTGATTGGAGTCGCGCACCGATACCAGGTACCGTGGTGGCGATTGGATGTTTGGATGGCGTGGCATGTTGGCGACTAATTTGGTAGAGCGTCTCCAAACATCGACCGTGGTGCGAGCAAATTCGTCGTCGTCATCGTGAAGTAGCAGGTATGTTTGAAAATCAATTCCTTTGAAGACAAGGGGTGATGGCTTCCTTGCATCTTTAAACTGCACCCGCTTGGAGCAGCCTCTGCCACCCAATGTCTCGAGGAGGACAATCTCGGAGATGTCAAAAATACGAGGAGAATGACCCTCGCCAACTAGATCGCTTGGCTGGGTATCATGGAGGAGGGCGAGATATTGATCAAAGAGTGGTTCCTGGTAAGCTCTCCCGACAATCTCCTGGATCTCTCCAGGAAGAATATCAACCACAATACCAGGGTTGGCAATCGCGGGATCCTTGATGCAATCAGGCCAAACCGTGGCTATGGCAGACCATAAAGCACTTCGCATTGAGCTGCGATCCTGGAAAGTGAATTCCACATCCGACACCTCGAGGTCATGATAGCAGCAGACAATCCGGCTTGGCAATGACTCAGGCAAGCTGTCATGGCTCCGCTGGAAACGGAAAATGATTGCCTTTCCTTTTCCAAGCACTTGGGCATAGACAATGGTTTCGTCTTCATCGCCCCAGATGCTGTCGGGGGCAACGTTAATGGCTTCGAGGGCTTGTCCCTCTCTCATGATGATTTCGACGATGGAAATTGATCAACGGCTGGCTTTAGCGAATGAGAGTTAACATAGATCGGTCGAGCAAACGGGAGATTGTGCGGGAACAAGCAGTTCTATAAAGGCGGTTGTTGTTGGTGAGATGAAATGCACAAAGAGCGCATACCTACAGGTAGACACTACATAGAGGGCTGGGGCACAGGCCAGGTAATGATATAAGCAGGCTAAAAACTTGGGCTATAATACATTGAAGGCAAACACTGAACGACATGCTCAGAGACATTTGGCAACGAGGAAGCGAGGAGAATGGCCCTAACTAGGAGCAGAGTTGGATGAAGCATAGTCGAGAGGAGCTGCAGCCACAAAGCCAGGAGATGAAGAGTCAGCCACGGTTCTTGCTGGGATCGTGATTAAAAGAAGAAGATTAGTTGATGGAAAGAAAAGTTGACTTGGTATGTAAGGTGATGGTGAGTTGGCGATATCAATCTCACGATATCTTATATCCTTCTGTGGGTACATCCTTCCATCTGAGCAATCTGCCTCTTCCACCAGCCACATGAGCCACATCATTTGCCCCGCTGGTCATTGTTAATTGAAGTCACTTAACACTTAAAACCTGAACACACATTTCTCCTTTACCGAGAGAGATACACCTGCGAGTGGTGTCGTGTGGCAATTCTCCCACAATCAGCTCGCCCAGCTCAGCTCAGCTCAGGACCCCCAAGACCCCAAGACAAGACCCCTACGGAACTGGCCCTCCGCTGCATGTGCTGTGGATGCCCTGCTTGATTGGCGCTCCCCAGACGATGCTGGCTCCACCGGGCTCGTACTAGCATCGATGACTTGTTCCAACCACAAATAGGCTGATAGAACACCCTCAACTCAAGGTGTCGACATGGCCTCTAGCAAAGACCCTGTGGCGTGGGCTGGTGCATTCTGCCGGTGTCACCATGTTTGCACTGTGGTGCCTTGTAGCGCGCTGAGCGCAATCCCGAGACATTTCCATGGACGCTTCATGGCTCGCCGATCCTCTTGAGGCTGCCAAGCGCGGATGGGTGAATGGGTGAGTGAATGCCCAAGCGGTGCAACGATACATCAATGGACGCGTTTCACATGCAATCACTACTCAATACGAGTTATTACTGACACGTACAAAGCATGACATCAACAGGGTCAAAAATGCCTGGAGTTCCCCACGCCAGAGTTCAATGGCACGATACAAACTTGAACCCATACTAAGGGATCCCCCACTCACGCTGCCCCGCCAACACGGAGCTATTCGCGATGAGCCCACCTGCATTCAATTCCCCTCCCCAGGTTCAATTGTTAGTGGAGTGCTATTCTCTGCCTGCTCTTTGCTATCATCCATGCTTAATACAATACAGTACCAGGGTGGACAGTGTCTAAGCAGAGACAGAGACAGAGCCAGAGCCCCTCCAGATCCCTGAGCTACTCCATCCCGCATGAAGCTACGACCCAAAGCCGTTACGACGGAACTGCTATGGAGCACGCCCGTCTCCCAGATGGCAATCTCTCAACAATTTTGCACGTGTGCTGCCCAACAATATGCCCCCTGGCATCGCTCGTTGCCCAAGCATGTGGTTCAGCCATTGGCTACCACCGTGCTCCAGAAGCTCTTTCGCGCGCTATCCATGGATCTGAAGCAGTCACAAGCCATTGCGAAAAGACGATGATCCCTGCGCTCCATCTCGCTGACAGCAAGCGTTTGACATGTGATTCTGGGTTGCGTGGAAGTAGGCGTACTGTGTTCAACTCATGCTGGTCGCCAATCGAATCCAAACGCCCAACACAGCCGGCAATACGCGCCTCTGGACTGTAGACTACTACTGTATGGACGGACGGACAAACTCGACGCCCAAAGATAATGCTGCCCGCCTTCAATGTGGGCTGCCAGGCCTGCTGCAACCCCAAAAGGGGTCTCGCTTGCGTCTAAGTGGCCGTGGAGGTGCCAGAGTTGGATTTGATGCACGCACTTGTGCCTTATTACTGATACCTGTACATGTACATGTGCATGTCCGGACTGGATTGGACAGAGCCAAGTCTCCCGTTTTCTCTATTTCCTATTTATCCTCTTGTCTCCTCCTCTCTCCTCGACCTGCTCTCTCTCAGTTTCATCTTCCCACCATTTTCAACCTTTGCCTGAAGCTGAGTTCAACACATCCTTAGCTTGTGATCAATCTTTTCCCTCTATTCTCTCAATTGGTAAAATGAGAGAATACCATGGCTTTTCCTGTAAGCTCTCCAGTGCTCTCAATTCTCTCTTCCTTGCCATTGAGGGGGTTCATGTGCTGACCAGACCATTTCTTCTCCCCAGGGTGGTAACATAAACTTTTTGCCTTTTGGCACCGAGATAAATCCTCTATATGCTGGAATAGCAGCCACTCTTTTAGGTGGTATTGCCGTTTCAAGTTTGGTTGCCTCGCGAGGCACTGGGCAGGGCAATGATACGCCTGGAATTCTCAGGTCCTTTTTCCTGTTCTTTTACTCTTGCTTCATTAAACCCCATCAGGGCGATTCCAAGGCTTCCCAGCAGGACGCTCTCGAAAGCTTCTATAAGAAGCAGGCCGGGGCTTATGATGCCACACGCAAGCTTCTTCTTCGCGGTCGCGAAGACATGCTTGCTCTTGTTGCTGCCCAGCTTGAGGCGAAAGCCAAGATTGCTGACGATAACAAGACCAAGCGTATTTGGGTTGACGTGAGTTACCTCTGCTGCATTATCTAGACCATATGGCTAGACGTGGACAAAATTCAGGACAACCGAAACTAACTGGCAAATAAACAGGTTGGAGGCGGCACTGGCTGGAACATTGAAGCCATGTCCCAATTCGTCGACGTCCCCAACTTCTTCTCCAGCGTTTACCTTGTCGACTTCTCCCCGTCTCTCTGCGAAGTAGCAAGGAAGCGTTTTGAGAGGCTCGGTTGGAAAAACGTTCGCGTCGTCTGCCAAGACGCTCGCAAGTTCCGCCTCGAAGACTACGAGACTGGCATGTCTAAGCAGGTCGCTCCACGATCTCCTTCCCTCAGTTACCTCACCCAGCAGCGCCAGGATTATGGCGGTGCTGACCTGGTCACCTTTTCATACAGCTTGTCTATGATTGTAAGTCTTGGTCTTCGCAAAGAAGCTTCATTTGGCCGAATCTCCAGCTGACTTTTGTGGCAGCCCGACTACTACTCTGTCGTCGACTCTGTGAACTCGTTGCTGGCTCCTCATGGTATCCTGGGCGTCGTTGATTTCTACGTCCAGAACCAGATTGACTACTCTTTCCGCAACTACACTGGTGGCCTCGTGGATCGCCATGTCAACATGCTGTCTCGAAACTTTTGGCGTGCCTGGTTCGACATCGACCGTGTTGGCCTTGAGCCTGGTCGCCGCGATTACCTCGAGTACAAGTTTGGCACCGTTCTCAACTCCAACTTCCGCAACCGCACTCTCGGCTATATCCCTTACTACATCTGGGTTGGATGCCACAAGAAGCCGTTTTCGCCGTCGAGTCTGCCTCATGAAATTATTGAGCGAATCGATGCGCTGGCTACTGAATCACCCTATTTGTACCCTGCCAACCAAGGAGATGCTCTGACCCGTGCGATTGAGAGATCCGCACCAGAGATCCGCTCCAAGGCCTTCATCACTGCGGTCGAGAACCTGTCTGCCAACCTGCCTCTCCCCTCATTCTTCTACCAGAACCACCACTGGCGTATCTACTACGATGATAGACTCCAAAAACACACCCAGTTCAATGACGAGTACATCTATGCTTTCACCTGGGAAGATGCCCGTGTCGACGAGCGCCTGTTGAAGCTTGGCCCTGATGACAAGGTTCTCGCCATCACTTCTGCTGGAGACAACATCATTTCCTACCTTGCTCAGAGCCCTGCTCGCGTTCATGCCGTTGACCTTAACCCGACTCAAAACCACCTTCTGGAACTCAAGGCTGCCGCGTACACTGCTCTGCCATATGAAGATTTCTGGAAGATTTTTGGTGAAGGAAAGCACCCCGAGTTCCGCAAGTTGCTCATCTCTAAGCTGTCTCCTCATCTCTCTGGCCGCGCATTCCAATACTGGCTCAAGAACATTCACGTCTTCCACAACAACAAGGGCTATGGCCTCTACGATACTGGTGGCTCTCGCCATGCCATTCGTGCCTTCCGCTGGATTGCTCGCATCTTTGGTCTGCAGTCTACTGTCCAGAAGCTCCTCAGTGCTCGAACTCTGAACGAGCAGCGAGATATCTGGCGCAACAAGATCCGACCCGCTCTGCTCTCCAAGCTCATCTGCAACTTGGTGGTTGCGCAGGAGAGCTTCCTCTGGGCCGCTCTCGGTGTCCCTAAGAACCAGCTCGCCATGATTGAGAACGACCACGCCAACTCGGATATTGTGAAGCAGGGCAAGGCGAAGAACACTCGTTCTCACGCCATCTGGAACTACATGGTCAACACACTGGACCCCGTTGCTGAAGAGACTCACATTGGTACCGACAACCCTTACTACTACGTCTGCTTGGATGGCAAGTTCTCCAAGAAGTGCCACCTTGAGTATCTTCGCCCTGAGGTCCACGCCAAGCTGTCTCGCCCCGGTGCTCTGGATGGTCTTCGCATTCACACCGATGAGCTTGAAGAAGTTATTGCACGCATCACCCCTGGCACTCTCACGGTTGCGGTCATCATGGACAGCATGGACTGGTTCGACACTGGCTCTCAAGCAGCTGCCGCCCAGATTAGCAAGCTCAACAGGGCTCTCCAGATGGGCGGTCGGGTGCTCCTTCGTACATCTGCTTTGAGCCCCTGGTACATCAAGGTTTTCGAGGCTCACGGCTTCACTGCCAAGTGCCACGGCTCTCGTGTCGACGGCGCTTGCATTGACCGTGTCAACATGTATGCCAGCTGCTGGATTTGCACCAAGACGGAGAACTTGCCTCCTCCTACTCCCGAGTTTGACCGCATTGGTGGAACTGACATTACCAGCCTGACCATTTAAAGCCTGGCTGGGGTTGACTAAGATGGATGGATAGTGATTGAATCATGGGGGTATCGTCCAACACTGTACCCAGGGATTCTGATGAATTGGGATAAAAGGAGTGTTGATGCCTGTGGCATGCAGATTGATAACAAATAAATCAAAACCTACTATACCTATCAATTGTATGATCTTTCATCAAGTGACACAATGTATGTGATGCGTATTAGTTGAGCAATGTAATTGTATGTTGTAGGATTCATTGCCTCTGTCATTTTAATAACTATGCAATTCTCTATGTTTGAAACAGAAATTCGACAAAAACGCGAGACCCTAGCATACTCATTAAAAGGCGAGCTTTAGAAAAAAAAGAAAAAAGACGAAAAAACAAGCGTTAATAGTAAGAAGTGTAAAAAAAGGCCAAAAAAATGTAACTCTTCTCCGGGGAGAATTGTTCTCCGGGGACGGAATCGAACCGCCGACTTTTCGATGAGATGTTACCCATTACAGTCGAACGCCATGAACCAACTAGACCACCCAGAGGATGTAGAAGAGTTGCTAGGAGGCTTCTGTAATTGGTATGTAAGCTTTTGCATGCGGGGTAAAAAATTGGCCGGGAGCCCCCCAGTCTGTGTGGGACGAGCTGGTGGAGATTGAAAGCCTCAGCGGTTTGTGTGCTTTGGGTTTGTATGGAGCTGCGAACTGCTCTTAATAAGAAGCCGAGGACTTTGAGATTGGACACAATTGACTGTTGAGTTGGAAAGAAATTGAGTATAGCATAGGTAGTTGTAGAAGTAGCTGAAGAGAAGTATTAAGATTAAGTTGACCTTTACTTCCATCGCTAGGTAGTATACAATGCTTGAAAGCTGCACAGAGTGGAAGAAAAGACGGGTGTGCATGAGCTATGGTAGCATCAATAACGAATACAGCGAGGATTCAAAAAGCAATTGCACAGACTCCAAAGTATTATGGTTATGCTTCTTTTTTGATCGTACGTCTATACAAGCGCTCACAGCCCTTTCTTGGCTCAATTAGCGCATAATATCAGTTACACAGCCTGCCTCCAAACCCGACGAATTCCCTCCCCAGCAAGCAATCACAAGATATCAAGTTTTTCGTCCCTTATTCTCCTCTTTTAGCATTATCCTTTATGCCTTCCAGATCTTCTTAATAGCCTCGGTAACGCCAATATCGTTGGTCTCAAACTCGTACAATCCCACGCCGACGGTGACGGTCGCCAGATTCAGGCCCCACCAGAAGATCTTTCGCAGGCCGGAGTAGCGGGTCTTGGGGATGTAGTCGATGATGACGGACTGGAAGCCAATGTGAGAGTGCAGGAGGACGGCGGAGCACAGGATGGCGTCGGTGGTGGGGTTGAGAGAGCCGGCGGCGAAGGGAGCAATGGAGAGGGGCACGAGGCCGGCGGCGAGGAGGCGCTCAAAGGTCCAGTGGTAGGAGCCGTGGGAGGCGTTGGGCGGGGGAACGGGGGCAGGGTCGTTGACTGTGTGTAGGCTCGTGGTTAGTTATTTTGTAGGTTCGGTTCGGCATGTGAGAGTGCGCAACACGTTTTGCGCGGCATACCTGTGCCCTCAATTCGTTCTAAGGCGACACCATGTTAGCAGGATTCCAAGCTTAGAAGCAATTGCGTTTGCCTCTCGAGTGTCTGGGGGGAAGTTCTCACGAGGTCCGGGAGGCAGAAAGGCAGAGCGCTGGGACGAGGTGTGGAAAGCCGAAGCCTTGATGGCGTTGTTTCGGAAGGCAGGCTTGGCGCAACGAGCCGCCAGCGCAGTCTGCCGCAGCAGAGAAGGTCGCACAATCGATGCCATGGTTGACAGAGTAGTACTCGGGACTTGTGATTGCAGTGGTGAGAATTGGCACCCGGGACGCTTCGCGCTGGCAGAATCACAGCTCCAGCAAGATCGGTTTCGGGATGACGGGCGTAGATGGACGAAACTTGAACGGATGAGGTATTGCCGAGGATCTCGAATTAGGAGCTCCGTGATTGGCTGAGCCGGTTCCGAAGGGTGCCCACCGGGGCGCAACAATGTATTTCCGCGCTGGAAGACGCTGGACCGGTCTGATTGGCTGGGCGATTCGATATGGCATGTGAATTTTTGTTGCGTGGGAAAGATGGTCAAGGTGGGATGAGCTTTTGGTTGAAGATTGATTGATACTTGATCTTTCGCCCGTGCGGTCACACCCAACGCCCAAGAATGTTGGCAAGGTGATTGGGGGAATTCTTTCTTTTCGATTTCAGCTCATTGGCGGCCCTTTATTGGGATTATACCGCTTGTAATGGCTCCTCAGGCTGCGATATCGAAAGCCCTGCTCGCATTGCGATGCGCCAGCTCACGACATGGCATCCGACGATCCGCCTGGGCGCTGGGCCAAGCCCACAGAGCGCGCGGCATAGCGACTTCATACTTGGAAAAGGTTGCCGAGGGCGAAAAGCGGTGGGAGGAGCGGGCAGTCAAGATTCAGAATGGCGAGCAGCCGCATGTGTGGGATATCCTCGATGAGAGAGGTTACATCAAAGATGTCGCGGGGTATGTTGTCAGCTTCGCATTAGAATTGTGCATTGGGAATGCCTTGTTTATTGGCTAACTAATTGATTTGCATAGGACTCCCGACAAGATCAAAGAACTCATGCGAGTCAAGCGAATAGGCGCCTACGTCGGCGTTGATCCCACTGCAGACTCGATGCATGTCGGACACTTGCTTCCCATGATGCCCCTCTTCTGGCTGTGGTTCCACGGCCACCCGGCCGTGACTCTTCTCGGAGGCGCAACTGCTCGAATCGGTGACCCGTCAGGCCGCTTACAATCCCGCGAGATCATGTCCAATTCGGATATTTCTAAGAACGTCACCAAGATACACTACCAGCTGTCGAGGCTATGGCACAACGTATCGGCCCTGAGAGACAAGTACGGCTACGAGAAGGATTGGGCTGCGAAGCAACGACTGCTCAACAACAGCATGTGGTTGCAGGGCTTGACCATGTATGACTTTACCAAGAGGCTCGCGAGATACACCAGAATTGGACCAATGTTAACGCGCGACACGTGAGTCACCACCATTCTCTTTCACCCTTTGTCGATGCTAATTGTTTAATATCAGTGTCAAGAGGAAAATGACAGAGGGAGATGGCATGTCCCTGGGCGAGTTCATGTACCCTCTCTTCCAGGGCTGGGATTTCTGGCACATGTACAACAAGCTGGGCGTGCAGATGCAGATTGGCGGCTCTGACCAGTACGGAAACATTGTCGCTGGTATTGATGCCCTGAAGATTATTCGGGAATCGGAGGAAATGCCCGAAATGAAGATTCCTTCCACCTGGACCCACGAACCTGTCGGTTTCACCGTACCACTACTTACAGATTCCTCTGGCGTCAAGTTTGGTAAGAGCACGGGCAACGCAATCTGGCTGGACGAATTCAAGACATCGCCCTTTGAGCTCTACGGTTACTTTATGCGACGACCCGACGAAGATGTTGAGAGCCTTCTCAAGCTATTCACATTTATGCCAATGGCCAAGATCCAAGAAATAATGGTTGAGCACCAGGCCGATCCGTCAAAGCGACTTGCTCAGCACACGCTGGCGTTCGAGGTTCTGTCCCTCGTACACGGCTCTCAGAGGGCCGTGCAGGAAGCTCAGCAGCACCAGTTCCGCTTCGGTGGGCAACTTCCTTACTTCATCAGGGAACCTGCCCCCGACACGGGCATCTTGACGCCTAACACGGCACCGAGAAGTGACATTGAACTGCCCCAATCTGTGCTGAAACTATCGCCCGCAAAGATCTTGTACGCAGCTGGCCTCGTCAACAGCGCCAGCGAGGGCCAGCGCCTCGTCTCGCAACAGGGCGCTTATGTTGCCGCCAGACCTGGTCAGCAGCGGGGTCTCGTGCCGGGGAACCTTGACTGGACGCCCATGAAGATGTGGTTCCCCGAGGAAACAACCAAGTTTGTCATCGATGATAAGCTGTTGATTCTGCGAAAGGGCAAGCACAACATTCGAATCATTGAGCTTGTCAGGGACGAGGATTGGACAGCGAGCAAGAAGATTTATCCCGGCCAGCCGTATACTGGCGTGATTCGACAGGTTAAAGAGCAACTTAGAGCCGAGGCCGAGGAGAAGGGCGAAATCTTGAGCGATAGGAAGATTGTTGTGGAGCTTAACAGGAGGAAGAGGGAGGAGTCTGTCAAGGTCGCAAATAACCCCGACATCGAGCTGCCGAAGAGGGTGCCGGCGTATCTTAAACGCGGCAAGGTAAAGAACGATGGCTCGTGGAAGCGATAGATGGGATATTATGAACACTACTGTATGCGACTTGATCGCGTGTAACACTATTTGGATATAAAAAAAGGAGGACGGAGAAATAGCATGTATGATATGATGCGATGGCGACGTTATAGATTTCATGAGCCTAGAGGTGTATATAATGATACTTATTACTCCCACAACTCCTTTGCACAATTCCAACAAAAATTACCTGTAAAACACTGTAATGTCACCCCTAGGAACGGGCAGCATTTTGAGTCTCTCCATAACTTGATCATTAGTCAGATTCTGCTCCGTCATGATTTGATCCATGTGATGACATCCGTCTGTGTATTTCTGCAAAGGATCACCCCCAGCGAACGGCTTGCTCTGCCCGGTGGCAAGCGAAGCCAAGTACTGCTTGGAAACGACATACTTGTGCACGCGGTAAAGGCAGCCCTTTATGATGCCAAACTGCACAAAGCGACGTATGTCAATATACGACATGATTTCGAATCCAGCCTCCCGATGAATCATGATCCACTCCTTGATGCTCTTTCCAGGAGAAAAAGACGCCATGAAGCGAATGAGAAGGTAATTGCTGACCCTGGCCCTGCCGTGGGACACGTAGCCGGCGCACTCGTCGACGATGCCGTCGACGTTGCGGATGAAGTCGTGGATTCCCGGCCGGGGCGCGTAGCACGAGCTGAAGAAGAAGATGTCGAGGAGGAGGATGGTGTCGTAGTAGAGCAGGTGGCGGATGGCGATCTTGGCGAGGTCCAGGGAGACGGAGGCCTCGTGGGCGATGCGGCGGATGTCTGAGACGCCGTCGATTTTGGCGACGACTTTTTGGAGAGTGATGTCCCATGTTGGGTCGACGATTTCGGGGAACTTTGTCCTTGCGACGGGGACGTGCCAGCCTTTGACGGCGGGGGGGTTTGCGTGGTGGGGGAAGAGCTTCATGTTGATGGTGTTTGCTTCGTCTGGGATGGTTTTAGTTTAGGTGAATGCATCGCATCATGTGAGAATGATGAGATGAACTGACCAACTGGAATCATGCACTCGCCATAATTGTTCAGATCCTCCTTGACAATCTCGAGCAAACTCTCAATGGGCCTTCGTACGCCGTCGCCGCCCTCAGAGCCCTTTGCCTCACTAAGGCTCAGATACTCGTTCTGCTTCTCCATCTCCGCAAAAGTCTCGGCCAGACATCTCACGACGCGCTCAAACGGCGTCTGGTCGCAGTCGGTCTCGACCAGTAGGCCGAAGTTGAAGATGAACTCATTGCGCATGTACTTTGTGTGCGGGATGACGACGGGGAAGCCTAGGATGGTGTACTTGCCGTCAGGGGAGTTGATGGTGACATAGCGGTTGCAGAAGGCCTGGCGAGGGATGATGTACTCTTGTAAGACGTCAAAGTCGACGAGGGGAGGCCCGTTGCCGGAGGCTGTGATGCAGCCTGGGGGAGCCTGGGCGACGATTTTGGGACCTGGGGGAGAGGGTGAGAGGTTAGAGTTGATGAAGGATGATAGCTTGGGAGTGTGAGATACCTTCTTGGGGGAAGAAACGAGCGTAAAAGATGCCTTGAATCATGGTGATGTTGGCGCGTTCATGATGCGATGAGAGACGTCTTTTGTTTGCAGCTGTTAAATCATGCCGAGCGGGATGCGCTAAGCTGGTTTTTCATATAATAGATTTGCAGTGGGATGTGTAAGTGCATATAAAGATTTTGTGCGAGTACGTTGAGAGGAGATGAGGTGAGTTGAGTTGAAGAGATTGAGGTTCGAAAAAGCTTCTACAGCATGTCTCGAACTGATGGCTGGCTGGGCTCATGCTATGGATGATTGCCCCGCTAGGCCGCTATTAGAGCTTCAACGATGTGGCTTAAGTGTGAGTTCATGGCCCGTATCTGTACCCAGCATAGGTATCTAGAGATGAAGAATTGATGCGGATTAAATTGAACAGTTTTTGTTTCATTTGTATATAAATTACTTCTGTATAGGTATGTGAACGTGAGCCCCGACCTATACTACTTGGTAGACAGACTGCTTTGGGCTGAGGTCTGTTAGACTGTGACTTTGACTGTGATTGGACTGGGTTGGGCTGGATCAAAAATGATAGCTGATAGAAGATGGCACAGGCGCAAGAGGTGCTAATTAATATCGGATTCCCGGTGTTATTGGATTATGTATCCATGTCAAAATCATCTGACAGCCGCCAAGGCAGGTAACCACTGCACATACGCGTACGATTGAGTTGGACTGAGGCATGTGGCCGTAGAAGCCAACAGACTGTGATAGAAGCTCACGTTGATTAGTACTCAAGTCCACGGCGGCCATTGGACTGATGCGTGTCCAGCCTTCCAAGTTTGTTTCTTTATACCTCACTCATGTACACATTGAAGGTCCATACCATATTGATGTTGATTGGATTTTGCGTTTCTGTGACAACCCAAGCATTGAACGCCTGATTGCCTGCAGGAAACTGGAACTGACCCCCAGACAAATCTACAGTACGCGACAACCGCCGAAGGCACTGGCTGGCGGTGGGCTGAAGATTGAATTTACAGTGGAGGTGCAGCACTTGCACTCAGTATCACTGGCCTGTACATATACGTACCTGCTCATCGAAATACTCCATCGCACCCATCGGTCCATTCAATCCCATCCATTTCCTCCCCATTCGCTCTGCCCCACCAAACCCGCGGCCTCTCAGCCTCCTCCATCGCATTATTAACCACCGCAATCTCGCCACAGAAGTCGTCCAGTAGCCTGATCTGATCATCAGCCGCTTCAACAGCTCTACAGTAGCACGCTCTTTTTCTCGCTGACTCTATCCGATAGTGATAGATCTGATATTCATAGATCTGTCGCCTCCCCCTCGATACTCTTCTCTCTCTTCTCCCCGCACAGCTTCCCCCCTCAGTTCGCTTTGCCTCGTCATGGCCGACAACGCAGAGGCGGGCGGCGATGCCCAAATCACCTTTCGGGTCAAGACGGCGCAGGACGGCTCGCATACTATCACCATGGCTGAGTCGGCGACTGTTTTGGACCTCAAGACGAAGCTGTCGACCGCCGAGTTTGAGAATATTCCCGTCGATCGTCAGCGACTCATCTACTCCGGCCGCGTTATGAAGAACGACGACACGCTGGCCACGTACAAAATTAAGCCCAACAACACCATCCACATGGTCAAGAGCGCCGCCAGCAACACCGCTCCGGCGGCTGCCGCTGCTGCCTCGACACCCCAGGCCGTGCCGACCAACATGGCTTCAGGCACCGCCAACAACCCGCTTGCTGGCCTTACTGGCGCCAGATACGCTGGTCACCAGATCAACCTCCCCGGCATGGACATGTTTGGCCCTGACGGCGGCGTAAGTGCTTTCCTACCACTCTGTATTCTGGTTCGACTTGTTCACTGCGAGGGGAACTCGACTGACGCTCTTGGTTGTTGAATCCAGATGGGTCCTCCTATGGACGAAGAGCGATTGTCGCGCATGATGGCGGATCCCAACGTACAGCAAACCATGAATGAGGCCCTCAACAATCCCGACTTCGTCAATATGCTTATCGAGGCGAACCCCATGCTGCGCAACATCCCCAACGCTCGCGAGATCATTACATCACCGTTCATGCGACAGATGATGAGCAACCCGCAGATGATGACACAGGCGATGCGGATGCAGCGGAACATGGGCAGAGGCGAGTCGGCATTCCCTGCCCCCGGCGCCACAGACACGACCCCCGACGGTGCGCCCGCGGCGGATGGTGCAGCTGGCCAGGCAAACGCCCAGCAGCAGAACCCTTTTGCAAACCCGTTTATGAACCCGTTCATGGGGGGTGGTGCTGGCGGTGCCAACAGCCTAAGCATGCTCCAGCAGCTGCTGAATATCCCTCCTCCGCCCGTACCAGCCGGCAGCCCGGCCGGTACCGAGACCGGAACGACAGAAAACAGAGGACCAGCGGCAGCAGCAGGAACCGGAGGCAATGCGGGTGCAGGCCAAGCCCAGGCGCCACCAAACCCCTTTGCGGCTTTGTTCCCGCCTCAAGCAGCTGGAGCTGGAGGGGCGAATCCGTTGAATCCGTTTGCCATGAACCCGGAGCAGTTCCAGCAGATGATGCAGCTGTTCTCACCACAACAAGCCGCCGCCCCGCCGGACAACAGACCGGCCGAAGAGCGCTACGCAGAGCAGCTCCGACAGCTCAACGACATGGGATTCTATGATTTTGACCGAAACGTGGCCGCTTTGAGACGCAGTGGAGGAAGCGTGCAGGGTGCCGTTGAGCACCTGCTGGGCGGAATTTAGGACACGCTGTCCAATTGCTTGATTGTATTGTTTTACAACATATATTTTCAACATCGGTGGCGTAAGATCCGAGATCAAGCACGTCAAGCGCGTGAATAATGGAAATGTCGACATATTCTGGCCTATGATGGCCACGACAAGCGCGAAGCTTCGGCTTTGAGAGCGCGCCATGCTGAGCGAGGAGACTATGGACGCGGGCCCTTTTTCTTCTTCTATCTTCTTTTTTCAAGGACTAGGCCTCGAGAGTTTGCATGGCAACTGGGCGCGATTCACTCAATGTATTTTTTTCTGCTTCAGTGATGGTAATGACAAATCTTTGTGTTTAACTGGCGTGGTCGACGGTGAATATTGCCCTTTGAAACTGTCTGGGTGAGCTGCGAGCTGTACCGATTCGGAGCGCGCAGGAGCGTAAAATGGATGAGAACAGCGGGTGCAGAGAGATTGATGCTACTTGAGTAGGCATGTGTATATATAAATTGTACGATATAAAATTAAGATGAAATCCACGTCTCTCAAACCAAATACACCGTACGGAGTAATCATCACGTCGATCTCATAATTTAAAGAAATTCGGGGCATCCCCCATTATCGACGTCTCCAAATAAAGATGGAATTCGGAGCTGGGCGCTTTTCGGCAAAGAGCTGCCGGACTTGGAGATGCCTCGGCTCCCCCGCCGGACCGGTACCCCGGATTTATTTTTGGGCTGGGGGGAAGCTTACGGTACATTAAACGTCGCGTCTCCAATTCTTCTTGTCTGAGAGGCTTGGGACTTTTTTCTCTTATCATCAATTCTTACGGCTTACAGTACTTGGGTTCTGCTCATAGTATTTAGGTTTGGATCTTCCTTTTGGTAGGATTGTAATCAGCTGTTTCTTTTTTCTTTCTTTCTTCATCTTTCATCATTTTCAAGATGCGCGGCATTGAGATCCAGAAATATGTCAAGGTAAGGTGCCCAATCAACCAAACCGGCACTTCCTTTCCTTTCCTCCCCCCTTTTCTACCTACTATTAGTATCTAAGTCTCAAATCTCACTTTCCCCAAGCAAAGAAGCTGACAATGTGTTACTTTTGAATTGCAGAGCCCAGCGGAGCTCCAAGTGACGGAGCTGCCTGATCCCGTGCCCAAAGACGACGAGTATGTCATCGAAGTGCACGCCGCGGCAGCCAACTTTTTCGATATCCTGCAGGTTCAGGGACGTTATCAGAACCAGCCTCGTGAGTTTTTTTTTTTCATCTCTACAAAATCATCCAATAGTTCCCCTTGAAACAAAAGAGTCTGGCTGATCATATTTTCTTCCAGCCTTCCCATGGGTCGCCGGCGCCGAGTTCGCCGGCACCGTCGTGTCCACGCCGCGCAAGAGCCGGACCAAGCCGCGCTTCGCCGTGGGATCCCGCGTCTTTGGTGCCGCGCAGGGCGCCTTTGCGACGAAGCTGTGCACCAAGGAGGTGGCGCTGCTGCCGGTGCCCGAGGGCTGGTCGTTCCGGGACGCCGCGGGCCTGTTTGTGACGGCGCCGACGAGCTACGGCGCGCTGGTGGTGAGGGCGGGAATCAAGGCTGGTGATGTCGTGCTGGTGCATGCGGCGGCGGGAGGAGTTGGGCTTGCGGCTGTTCAGGGTGAGTTTTTTATGATTCTTTTTGTTGCGATGTGATGTGAGTGAGTTTGAGTGGGTGGTGGATGAGAGTGAGAGTTGCACCATGAGGCTCTCTCACCACTTACTTCAGCTCAACCCAACTCAACTCACACCACACAAACTCATATTACCACCACCATCACCACCACTACCACTTCTACCATCAACAAGCTAACACAAACAACAAGTCGCCAAAGCATTCGGCGCAACCGTCATCGCCACCGCCTCCACCCCCCGCAAACTCGAAATCGCCAAATCCTTCGGCGCCGACCACGCAATCTCCTACTCCGACCCAGACTGGCCCGCCAAAGTCAAAGCCCTGACCCCGAAATCCCGGGGCGTCGACATCGTCTACGACCCCGTCGGCCTCGTCGACAAGTCCACAAAGTGCACCGCCTGGAACGGCCGCATCCTCGTCGTCGGCTTCGCTGCCGGCGCTATCGAAAAGGTCGCCATGAACAAGGTTTTGTTGAAGAATATTTCGCTTGTGGGCATTCATTGGGGTGCTTATTCGATTCATGAGAGGGAGACGATTCCAAAGGTTTGGGAGGGGATTATGGGGTTGGTTAAGGAGGGAAAGATTAGGGGCACGGAGTATACGGATGAGGAGTTTGTTGGGCTGGATAGGGTCAAGGATGCGCTCTTGGCGCTGGGAGGGAGAGGAACTTGGGGTAAGGTCGTTATCAAGGTTCCTCAGGAGGGTAGCAGTCGATTGTAAAGGGGACAATTGGTGAATATATATGTAAAAAGGACACGATAGAAGACCAAATGTACCCCTTAATTCAGCATCACGTATGCTTCATGTCTTGACACTCCCTTATAGCAGCTGACAGTTCTAATAATATCTCTTTATGCCTCGCTCACGCAAATCGTGCAGGCTCGTCATCCAAGTCATATTCTCATTACAATGCCCAAGTCACGCGGCTACTCAATTGCTTCAATCGTAGCCCCCCTTCTTCCACCAGCCTTCAAAAAGCGCCCAATTCTTCACTGTGCACCCCCATTCATCAGCTTCTGGAAAGCGTCCATGACCTCCTTATCCACATTGATCGCCCAGTTCTCCTGGAAAACCGCCTCTCCTCCGATCCGTGCAACGACGTCGTGCAGCCTCACCTTGACAAAATGCAGCGCCTGCACACAGTGGACCGGATCCTTGTGCTGGCTCTGCTTCTCCAGAATCATCTTTGGGGTATCATACTCCTCCACTTCGATTTCCGGTCCCCAAACCAAACAGTCACTGCCGTTCACCTCGCTGCCGTCTTGAAGATCTATAATAATATTTGTCCACAAATCCAAAAAGTCTTGTAGCTTGCCCAGGACCAGCTCCTGCATTGGTGAACCAAGTTCCAGCAGACGCGTCAAGCCGAGGAGATAGAGCTTCTGGCGATCTATGTTATCCATCCGCGCTTGATATGTGAACCACCCTGCGGAGAGCCAGCTCCACACTTCCTCGACGTTCCCAACCGTGCCCAGCATCTGCACAAACAAGTTGGGTTCGGCTAGTATTAGGCGAGCAAGGATCGCAAAGTAGTCACCCTGCGTGACTGTGTTGAGCTTGCTTTGTCTTCTATTGGGCCCAGTGGTCTGGCTGGCCTCCCAGGCATCATGAAGATTGGCCATAATCTTGTTCATGAAGCCGGTCTCTACCATGTCTCTAACGATGACCGAGACTCCCTCGGCCCCTCCTAGTTCGGCAGCCGACCGGATGAGGAGTTCAATGCACACAGTACCCACGCGAACGTGCTCTCGGCTCTTGGAGTCTAGAGTGGTGCTTAACGCCATGAGTGTCGGCCGTCGAAGTCTGTCCTCTAGCATCGCCTGGGGTGCAATCAGGATGTAGGATTCAATGGCCGAGATTGCGAGGGACACAATCTCAGATTGATACTCTAGTAGTGGGAGTAGCAATTCCGCTAGGTTAACGAGCTCTGAGGCAAGTGGGGGATTGCTTTGCGTGAGGATGGAATTCCAGAGCTCCAGCGATTCGTCAATGAGGTTCAGGTGCAAGTCTGAGCCTGGCCTTGCCGCTTCCGCCAGCAAGGGAAGCATAGAGCCCTGGTAACGCTGAGATTCGGGACCCATGCTCATCACGAGCGCCGCGAAAATGGCAATCACAGCCTGTTTGATCATGTATTCTTCTGTCCCCGAGGCTTCCCACACCGAAGGCAGAGCAACCATGAGCTGGTCTCCAAACTGTCCCACCTGTTCCTCCATTCTTGTCACCAGGATTCGGATCGACTCAAGGATGGCTAGCTTAGTTTCGTCGCTCTCCACGTTCTGAATGAGCTCCGTAAGGTTCTTGAGAACATCCGAGGTGTACGGCAGAAATGCGTCGACGCTGAAGTCAATCTCGTCGGCGACCCACCTGAGCTGCCGTGCCGCCGTGATCCTCACTACAATGTCGTTTGTCTCATCGTTTGAATTGAGGAAATGCTGGAAAATTTGATACACAATAGGTCTGCTCTCTTCGCCTAACTTCACTGGCGCCCACAGACTGATCAGAATGGCAATACGTCGCCGAAGCACCTTGTAGAGACCGCCTTGCTGCTGGGCGTCGCTGACAATGGTCGAGGCCAATACTGCATCAAAGTCAAATGCACCGACCACGTGCGCCGCTGAGAGGCCCATGGCAGTGTATACCGCTTCCTTTGTAGCAATGTCTGCCTGAGGGGATTGCGCCGTCTCGAAATACGATAGCAGAGGAGGCACCAGAAGCGGCTTAAAGTTGGTGAGAAGATCTAAAAAGAGCTTTTCGGCGCATGGGCGGACTTCCCATTCGTATGCGTTGCCCTCGTGTTGCTCCTGTTGCTCCCAATCCTCCGGGTCCTCCTCCCAAGATTCGAGATCCGATCTACGGAAGACGAACAGGTGTGAAATGATGGTATTGACGATTTGGATGACCAGATCGTCTTTGAAGAGCTCCGTCCTGACAACATGCTTGGCGTCTTCTTGTTCAGCCTTTGTCTCTGGCGTCCGGTACTTGAACGTCTGCACTGGCTGGAAGGCAATTCTCACGCAGGCACGGAGGAGGAGCAGGCCTTTGAGGGCAAGTTTTTCCATTAGTGGCCCCTCCGTCTTTGCTTTGGCTCCTGCGTCACCGGAACCCTGACGAATGCCGCCAGACGAGACGAAGATTTCCGCAAACTTTGAAATGAGATCCCAGTATGCATTGACTAGGGATATTGAGTTGGGGAGGAAAGCAAAGCTAGCAGCAAAGTGCTCGGCTTGGTCGATGTGGAACTTGGCGAACTGAAGAAGGTGCTTTCCTACCAAGTCTTGATACGGCGGTGGCACAGCGGAGTCGTGGTTTACAAACCCCAGGAACAGGCCAAATTGGTTCTGAGACAGCGTCCAAAACTCACTTACAGAACTGTCGGCATGAGGACGCAGGTAGCCCACGCTGATAAGGCGGCGAAGCGTCTTCAGAGCGGAGAGACTGTTCATCATCGCCAGGTTGGCTTCGTCGCCGTTTCCGTGTCCAGTGTTTAAAAAGTTGATCCACGATGCCGATTTTTCAGAGTATATCTCGGATAGAATGTATACAATTTCTGGCGTGATGGATTGCAGCGCCGTTTGCGATTTCCTTAGCCGTGCGCTGCCCATCTCCTTGATGACCCGTAGCAACACTAGCAAGGTGCCGTAGAGATGATGTTGGTTGGCGTTTCGAGTGGATCGCAGGAGGCTGATGATATCAGGAAGGGCCTGCGGCCACTCTTCTGGATAATCGATCCGGACCACCTTGGCAATGACCAAGGCATTGTGCAGCGCAAGATGCCTCTCTTCCTCCTCGACAGATCCCTGGAGCAGTCGTGACCGTATCAGGTTCTTCTCCTCTGGGGAAATGCCCTGCTTTGCGCTCGCATATAGCCTCCAGTTCTTGTCAATGCCGTTTTTGATTTGTATAATGGCCAGGAATCGTATTTCGAGGGGGAGCGACTTGTCGAGGAACACGGACTGGAAGTGGCACAAAGATGTTAGCACGATGCACGCAGCATGGACAAATAGCAGCTGTAGAAGCCGTACCTGTAACGACGAGTAATAGCCGGCCTGTGACTCCCAGGTGGACAGCTGCTGGCCGGCAGCCTGTCGCTGGACATGGTCAGAGGACGAGGTTGCGGCGTGCAGCGTGCGGCAAAGCTCTTGCAGAGACAATGGAGCCGCGTCTCCTGGCACTTCGATTGCGAAACTCATGGTTGCTGCCAACGCCGTTCAAGACGGCTGTCAAGCTGTGGTTCGACGGCTGTGAGGCTCGAGATGTCAGATGCAGCTATGGGAGTGTCATGAATGGTGCTGAGCTCATCAAGGCGTGCTGCCGGTTGAAGATGCAGGAGGTTGTAGATGCTTGGTGATGGTGGGGCCGAGTTTGTAGCCCGTTGGCGCGGGAGTTGCTTGGAGGTGCTTGGAGGGGTAGCAAAAGACAGCACCAGGCAAAAGGATAAAGGCGAGGCTGCAACTCCCAATATTGCCTATTTGCTAGATTTTTGATCACATGGAAGCAAGAGTCTCATTGTAGGGAAAGATGAAAGAAAACAACAAATCCGAGAACACTTTTATTAATTAATTAATCAAGAGTCAATGTTCAGGCCTGAATTTCGAATGACACCCAAGCAGTACCTGCTCGGTGAATCACAGCCGAGAGACATTTACAGGCGCACTTACAGCAAAGACCCTTGGCCTCTTTAGCGCCCAGCCTGCCAAACTATGCCCCATAAAGCAAAAAAGCTCCCGCCACGACAAGGCTCGAAATCTCGACCAGCATCCATTCGTCTCGAAGCCACAACTCCAATTTCGCTCATCCAGCCAGGCCAATTGCGCCAATGCGATGATCCGCTCGCGCACATCACGGCTTGCCGCCGCTGCCCTCTCCAGGAGGCAGTGGACGTGCCCGGCATGCCTTTCCAAGCGCCAGTACTCCAAGCAGCCCGAGAAGCGCGAACCGCCCGATCATCGGAAGCTGGGCAACCAGCAAGAGCTCTTCATGACGTCCGTCTACAGCCCCGGCTCGCCCATTTTCTTGCCAAACGGCGCTCGCATATTCAACCGGCTGGTGGACTTTCTGCGGAAGCAGTACGTGCGCTATGGGTTCCAGGAGGTCATCACGCCGACGATATATAAAAAGTCGCTGTGGGCAAAGTCGGGACATCTGGAGAATTATGCAGAAGACATGTATTCTGTGACGGGCAATAAGAGGGCCTCGGACTTGGAGGGGGCCGCGGGGTGTTGCGGGACGGATCACGCCAAAGACGAAGCTGTGGTGGAAGAAGACGACGACTATGGGTTGAAACCCATGAACTGCCCGGGACACTGTCTCATCTTTGCATCCAAACTGCATAGTTACAGAGACCTGCCGGTCAGATACGCCGATTTCAGTCCCCTCCACCGGAATGAGATATCGGGCGCCTTGTCAGGACTGACCCGGGTGCGTCGCTTTCACCAAGATGACGGCCACATCTTTTGTAGACCAAGCCAGGTCGAGGGAGAGATTAAGAAGACTCTAGATTTTGTCAAGACGGTATATAGCGTGCTGCGTCTTGGGGTCAGCTACCGCTTGGCGTTGTCCACAAGGCCCAAGGATCATTACATTGGCACGGAAGAGGAGTGGGCGCGCGCAGAAGACAGCCTGAAACGAGCGCTGGACGCTTCAGGCATGGAATGGACAATAAATGAAGGCGATGGCGCCTTTTATGGCCCCAAGATCGATATTGTGCTCAAGGACTCGGAGGGGAAAGAACACCAGACGGCCACCATTCAGCTAGACTTTCAGCTACCCAAGCGGTTCGAGTTGGAGTATCAGGCACCGGCACCGGAGTACGAGGCCCGTGGCGAGACGACCGATGACCCGGACCTTCTTGCCCACTACGGCCCTGTTCGGCCGGTCATGATTCACCGTGCAGTTTTGGGATCTGTAGAACGGCTACTGGCGTTGTTGATCGAGAACTATGACGGGAAATGGCCCTTTTGGCTGAACCCGAGACAGGCCATCATATTGACGGTCAACACCTCAGACCCAGTTGTAGAGTGGGCTGATGAGGTGCGCAATATTCTCCTTGGCAACAAGAAGCTGCAGGCCGATGGGTTGCCGTCTCTCGAGAGTCTTTCAGGACAAACGGGCCTGGCTGTAGACATAGACACGACGGCGAGACCCCTGGGGACCAAGATTCGGGAGGCACACGCGAGTGGCTATGGCCTTGTCTTGGTGGTGGGCGAGCAAGATGCCAAGAATCAACAGGTCAGCCTGGGCAAGGAAAGGTTGAGTCCGTTTGAGACGCGCGATAGAATGCTTCGCATGGTAGATACATTTGAATGAACAACTCTCTCATCTATTATTCCCATCCAACCACGCCAGATAGTAACCTGTATCCTTCTAATATTTCCCCCCCGCCCCACGTTCAGAATGGGTATCACACGCCCGTTTCCAATCTTCAAAAAAACAATCGACCTGGCAGATATATGTTGATATTTTTATGATTCATCGTAACAGCACAAGCTGCATAAGCTGGCTGCAACGTGGATGATCCATGTAGTCTCATCATGCGCCGCTTGACCTACCGCCACGACTTCTTCTTTCTGCAGCGGTCATGGGGAGAATATGCTGGCTTCATGATGGCCTTTGCGGCCTCGTCTCGCTCGATCCTCGATTCTCACCCAAAAGCTGGGGCAATGCAAACATCAACCAGCCATTCACCGGCCGAGCCCTTGCCTTGACAATGGCGAAACCCTTTTCATCGGGTCAATTTCCGCCGTAGACGCTTCTTAACTTTAGAAGAACACTTACTTTTTATACTTGGGATCAACGCTACCGCCTGCCTGCTCGATACGCTCAATCAAGGCCTGCCTCTGCACAATCTGGTCGCGCATGTAGTCCACGGTGCGTTTCAGAACCAGTCCCTCGGAGCGACCTTGTCCCTCCAGACCTGGCACAAGCTCAGTGAGCCGATCGAAGCCCTCGCGAATGGCCTGACGACGCTTTTGTTCTATGGGGGGAGCGCGACGTTAGTCTTTTATTGGCACTCGCACGTGAGAAGAAACGCTTCCCCTCTCTCTCTCATTTACCTGATGCAATGTGGTTCTGCTTCTTCTCCTCTTCTGTGAGCCGCGGCTTGTCGTCTGCGTTTACTGCTTGCCCTGAGGGCGTGGCCTTGCTGGCGTCGCCAGAGCCGGAGGTTTGGCTTGGTGAGGATGACATTTTGCGCGGGTCATGTGTGATGCGATAAGCACATGTGAATGTGAATGCCAGCGATGACGGAACCGCAGCTCGAGAATCAATCGATGTGAATGAAGCACGACATATAAAAAACAAAGAAGAAGCAAAAAGAGATGTAGCACGGCGGCTTCAAATCGATTCGCCGCTTGGGGCCTTTATTCTAATCGACGTGTGGTACGATTTCTCCCGTCGAGTTGCGTTTTGAAATGTCATTGTTGAGATGAGGGATCACATGCGCGGCGCGTGCAATTAAAATTGGAAAAAAAGCCACCACGCCTGTTACAGCGCTAGGATTTGGAGCAAGGATCTTGCCCCAGATTCTCGGGGCCGAAGTGCCGGCCCCTGCGTCTAGCTTCCCCCAAAAGCGCCCTCTTTTCGATTCCATTTCCATGTTGTTTTGCTTCTTCATGGTGGTAGATCTGAGTGATTTCAACTCTATAGCAGCAATGATTTGTTAAGTCCCTTTTGATAAAAAATTCACCGTGATTCGAGAATTCTTTTGTCCCTTCTCGTTTCATAACTTGTCGTTACCCCTCGACGAGCTGCGCCCCATGCCAAGCACATGCAATTGCACGACCCTGAGACTCCCGATTCCGTACCCTGACGCCAATCACATGCTAAACACTTGCTGCCACTCCTCCGACAAGGAATACCAATGCAAATTCGAAGACTACCTGCCTCTTTTGCATCTAGTTCTCGTTGCAATTGGGATATACCGATTGAGTTATCGCCAATTTTGAGGCACGTCATCATTGTCTGATGCCCATGTAGCTCTATCAACGCTACAGATAGACTCGTTTTTCATCAAGTTGGGGCGTATTGTCACACAAAATACAAGTATGTGATGTTTATGGTTCATCCGAGCAACGCCTGGAGCCATCTCAATCTCATATCAACCCGCTAAACTCATCATTCTGAAGCCGAACCCTCGTCATCATAGTCATCCCGGTCCTGCTGGAAGATGACCTTTTCCGCTAATGTCAACGTCTTCTTTACAGGCAGTCCAATTACATTGTCCACGCTCCCTTCAATCTTTTCCACCAACAGCATTCCCGCAATGCCTTGGATTCCGTATCCACCAGCCTTGTCAACGCCCTCCCGAGTTTTGACATAGGCCTCAATGACGTCGTCCGGTAGCCCGTTGCCCTCCTCCCAAAAGTACACCTTGGTCTCCTCGGTGTGGCTTTGGATGTCGTAGCCCGGAGCTCTTGCGTCTTCTCGGGGGGCTAGTACAGAGACTGAAGTCAACACTCTGTGCATGCGTGTATCGCGCAGGTGCTTGAGCATTCGCACGTGCTCTGCTTCGCTCCGAGGCTTCTCTAGAATGCGCCCATCACGAGTGACAATAATGGTGTCTGCGGCAATGACTAGAGCAGGATCAGGGATAGACGCAAGGTGCGTCTCCAAAGTCTTGACGTAAACGTCGAGACACTTATTACGAGCGGTAGTTGAGACGTATTCCCAGGGGCCGTACGCCTTCTTGTCCAGGTCCTCAGGCTTGGTTGACGGAGTAATCTCCAAATTGGCGAGGCCCATCTAATTGCTGGTGTTACTTTAACCTTGCACTACCGTGTCATTCTCATGGTGCCATACCTGCTGCAGAAGCTGTTTCCTCCGCGGGGAGGCGGATGCTAGAATTACTCTATTTGAATTGAGGTGCTTGATAATGGGGAGATCCAGGGGCTGCAGCGGCCGGCGCATAGATCCGGCTCTGGGACGCCCGGCTGGAGGCGCCGCTTGCCCGGAGGCAGCATCTAAGGGAGCATCGCCCGGAGCTGTGGCGGCTGACATGGCGAGAGGAATTGGGAGATGGAGGATTGAGGAGATGAGATGAGATGAGATGATCGGCTGTACACGGACTGCTACGGAAGATTGAGGCAGCAAGGCGGTATAGCTTTTAAGGAGCCCAAGTCGCCATTGATGGTGGGGTTCTGCAGTTTGACCCCACCGTGCATTGATTGACGTTTTATTTGTCTGTGTGATGAGATGAGATGCGAAAGCAAGAAGAAGAAGGATTGAAGAATTGTTCGTCCGTAATGGAAGAGATAAAGCGTGTTTCCGGCATGCCAAGTCAAACCTTGATTGCATTATATAATCCGGTGTACAGAAGACTTTGGCGGTTGCTCAAGGCTTGATCCTTTAGTACAAATTGGTACCTATATCGACTGTGGTGAGCCACGCCTCCGTGGAGCTGTGACATGGAAGCTTCCTAGAGCCCGAAACCAATTTGTTATAGCAGCTGGATGTGGTGCTTTATCTAATTTATGTACGGGGTAAGTAAATTGTACTTCACATGGATGCCTCACATTAGCTTGACTCTATTTACACAAAAGTACTTATTGTAAAGTGACAAAGACACAATACAATTGCTTTTATTGTTCTTTCAACAGTGTAACGCAATGTATGTAGAGCACAGCTGACAGCCGCAGCTGAAGGGCCAAATTCTTTGCCTTAGGCTGCCGCCTCATGGCCGAATCGGGCCTAGTCCCAGCCGCGGTACCTGGCAATTTGTTACTTTTCAAGGTACCGTTCGTCGCACTCAACTCCCTGTTCCCGCGCCCTGAAGGGAAAAAGCCAAACCCTTCGGACTAACGACTCAGCATCGCATCTGCGTCTCGTATCCGCGAACAGCGCAAACAAGCGTCGATATTCTTATTCTTAGCAGTCAGCCAGGCATCTCCAGAAGCGCGGTAAATATCACAGCATTGAAGCCACCGCCGCTCCGTAGCAAAGCAGCAATAGCGCGCGCCGCCGCCCACTGAAAAAAAAGCATCCATCAACACGCGTCATTCCACGCTGGCGATAGTTGTCGCCAGGCCGTGGTTTGCGACACGGGACTCAAGAAGCCATTGAGCCCCCACGACTGCGCAGGAGGTCCCTCGCGGCGGACGGGAATGCGCCTGCGGTAACGCTCACCATCCAGACCAAGATGGAGGCCAAGCGAAAGGCGAATGGAGGAGCAGCGGATGCGGAGGACCGCCAGGCCAAGCGGCGCAGAGTAGCTGTGAGTAACGGCCCAGCCTGATTCTATACTCGAGACTCTACCCTCTATGCATGTGTCTCGACGAATTTTTTTTCTTTACCATGCGGCAAAGGAGCTGCGTGCGCCTGCATTGTTCGATTGCGTGCATTCTACACGCCCTGCTGAAGCTCTCTTACACACTTGCATATCGCAGATCATCTCCGCGCTAACACCACCATCTCCGTACAGCAAGGTTTCGATCTTTCCAAGGGCGAGTCTCGCGAATCAACCACTGCGCACGGATTGGTGTTCCTCGAGCAGATCCGTCGAACAGCTGATAAAAGGTACGCTGCCATTGCTTCTGATCTTTGTTTTCCCCTCACAATGAGTCCTCGCTAACTGTAGCTCGAAAGTGGTCGTCTCGTCGCAACATACTTTGAGACGCTCGTTCCACGAGAAAGCAACCCCGACTACTACAAGAAGACGCGATTGCCGATTTCCCTCGAAACCATCGAACAAAAGCTTATCGATGGCGAGTTCAAGAGCCTCGCAGAGCTGGAAAGCTACTTCAAAAGGATGATTGCCAACGCAAAAGACTATTATTCTAGAGGATCGCAAGTTTTTGATGATGCTGAGCGCGTTCGCAAAGCACTGAGTAACTACATGACCAAGACGAACCCTGCATACAGCAACCGCTCTTACCAAGCTGTGCCTACCCCGCTGCCGCCGGAAAATGACGATGAAGAGGAAGGGAATGATGAAGAGGAGGAAGAAGAAGAGGGGGAAGAAGATGCCGAGGGCGAGGATGCCGAAGCTGACGAAGATGCCGAGGGAGAAGATGAAGATGCCGAAGGCGAGGAGGAGCCTGAAGAAGATGAAGAGCCCAGATCGAGACGAAAAGCCATTATACTCAAGCGAAGCCGTACGCGCAGGAGTTCGAATAACGAAAGCTCTCGAGCTCGATCACCGCCAAGTCGTCCCGATCACCAATACGAAAATGTACCATACAAGGGTCTTACATTTCAACAAGCTCAGGAAAAAATTGTCGAAGAACTTTTGCGACACCAGGAACCAGAGTGCGTGAAACCAACCCAGCCCGGCCAAGCCTGAGATTTTTATTGACGTGGACCATTTTCAGATATGACGATGCCTATTTTGAGCCCTTTATCAATCTTCCTCCTCGAGCTTTGAGAGATTACTACAAGGTCATTACCGATCCTCTGTCCATCAAGAAGCTGCAGAAGATGGTCAAAGGCGTGCAAGGGCGAAATGACGCTACGGGAGTCAGCGAGTTCAAGAGCTGGAGTGCTTTTGAAGAGAAAACAAAGCTCCTCTGGACCAATGCCTATTTCTACAACGAAGAGGGCAGTGACATCTATGTTCTGGCGCAAGAGCTCGAGGTAAGTTGCGTACGATTTCATACTTCAAATGCTACCCACATCTTACAATGCGGTTAGAAATTTTTCTACGCCCAGCTCAAAAAGGCACAAGCAGCTGTCTCGGAGCCATCACAGCCGAAAATCAAGCTCAAGGTCGGGCAAGGATCCGAGACCCCTGGTTCGTCCAAGAAGATTACCATCCACGTTGGTGGGCGTGACAGCTCCGTAGCATCGCCAGCACCTCAGGTAGCCCCATCCTCAGAGACCAATGGCAATGTCAACGGCGCCGGGCAGCTCTCGGCCAACCTCGAAGCTCCTCGCAGTGTCTCGGCGTCTGCGCCGTCGCCAACGCCCTCATCCCAGGTAGGGTTGGGGCTGAAGGTGGAAGATGGCATTCGGGCATCCCCAGCAGTTGGTAACATGCCAGTTGGTGCCCCAGGACAGCCTGCCGTGCGGCCTCCTATTCCCACGATTACATCTCTGCCATTCCAGACGAACCCGCTCGTTAATGGATATGCGGATCAGAGGAGATTCCGCCCTGCCAGCAAAGGTATGCGCAAAGTTCATGATCATGTCGAGGCCGCTGTTTGATAGGACTTGCTAACTCTGAATCTAGGAATCGACAGTGCGCTGATTGAACAATTGCGGATTCAAACACATCCTAGTATTCCAAATGAGCGCCCTACGCTGCTCACCATCTTGCCCAATGCAAAGGAGATGCAACAATCGGCAACCATCAACCTGCCGCCAACGCAGACTCGCATCTGGATCGTCGTGACGCTGCCAACTTTTTTGCAAGATCGTCAGTATAGCCTCTGGACTCTGGTGGACAAGCAGCCTTGGAAACAGTTGATGCAGCCCATCCCCAACCAAACACATCATGAGCGAGCCTTTGATGTTATGCTGCACCCTGGCCTCAATGTCATTGAAACTCATCTCATTGCCGCGATTCCCCGACATGAGCGAGAGCCAGGCGGACCAGAGGTGGAATTGGAAGTCTTTACAGTCTTGATTAACGTGTCACGCCCTTACTAGACGCAATAAATCTTTGGTAAGCGGGCATCCTTCTAGAAAAGGCATGGTTGTCTGGTTCTGCTCCAAGTTCTTTGGGGAAATGTTCGGACGAACTCGGCACCCCCCTTGCAACAAAGAAGGATCAAAATGGGAGGAGGTAGATGCGGGATTCCGCACGCTCCGCAATGACTTGTTACTAGGAATCGGGAGAGTTTGGTTGCAGTAGGAGTTATCAGGTAGCGACTCGACAAAATCGGGACTTTGGGTGGAGCCCCTGACTGGGTCTGAATCTATTTTCTTTTACTAGTATTTCTTTTTTTCTTTTGCCCCTCGTTTTTTTCTATTTATTTTTTTAATCATCTCGGCCGAGCGCAGACATGGACCGGGATTCAAGACCGTATTGCCGCTTGCCGCGTCATGAGCCGTCGGGACAAGGCGTGGCATTGTACCGTCCACTTGGAACATGTGGGATGCTATGCTCGTTCTGTTCCTCGTATACTCGTATCCCAGTTTCGTGTTAGTTTGGGTAGCACAATTTTGGTGTTGCTGGGCAAGCAAGATAGGCAGAGTTGTCGTGCTGTCCTAGGATTTCGGGCAGCGAGAGCCGGTAGGTACTTACTATATTCTTAGCGGAGAAGATGAGAACATGATGTTATTGATGCTTTTTCCTCATTCCGTGTCCGACAGGGCTGAGACCCTGAAAATGACTGTCCATGTACACAGATTCGTCTTCCAACCCCTGCTTTTGTGTGCCCAAACTAAAGAATAATATTTATTATTAATCACCCATTCAAATATTCATTTTCCATTATCATCGTTGGAACGCGCTAGCAGTAGACACACACAGCGCCTGGTCACTTTTTAGGAGATTGTGACACGGAAAAATTTGAGCCATCCATAGGTGCAAAATATGGCAGCCTAGATGCTTAGCTTAGTACAATCACAGGCCCATGTAAGTTGCCAAGTTAGCTAGAAAACACTTCCCCTGCTGCTAAGCCCTGCAGATAGCCGCTCGGGACTCCGTGTGGATTGCCACTCTGTTTGTGTAGTACTAAGTAGCTGAGGCCTCTTTTCGGACATTCGTATCTTGGTTTCGGCCATAAGGGGGATGAAGCATCGGGGATAGAAGACAATGCAGGCGCAGTTAAACGCGACGCGTGTAAAGTACCTACTAATGTACATGGAAGAATGGTCAGTTTTTTTTTCTCTTTAATTTATTTTAGTTTTGAATTAATCGATAAAATGGATAAAATGGAATTTCTGGGCTTTTTATAATGGATATGTAATGATTACTTTTGTTGAAAGTAGGGTTATCCACTCATGCGACTTCGTATTTTGGAGGTGAACCGAGCCATGTTGGACCCCTGTGGTGTCCTATTCTTGACATATCTTTTACTGATTATCAGGCGGATATGATCAACAGATAATTTAAATACGGGTTAATCAGGTTGGGTGGTCGTGGGCGATAGAAGGGGTGGTTGGGCAAGTGTATTCGAAGACTTGAAGGAGTGGGTAGTTTTAGCAATGACAATTTGATTAGTGAAGAATCAAAGAGTATGTATGTAATCTGACTAAATTCTCTGCATCTTCAACAGCAACACAGCTGTCTGTGTAAGTCAATCGACCTAAAGAAGCGAGAAAGAAGATTGTGTCTGCCTGCCACCGGACCGGAAATACAAGACACTTTCCCTTGAGCGGCAGGAGCGGCAGGAAGCGGAAAGTGGACACCAATCAATCAACTTAAGACTACATCACGCCCTATGCTTAGCTTTAAAGTGTCCGATCACGATATTGTGTGGCAACTATTGGTGGATATATAATGCGTCTGCCTAGCCGCTAGAGGTCGAGAATGTGTATGAGGTTCCGGTGGCTTAGAGACGTCGTCTGAGTTTACGAGATAAGTTAGATCGTCGTGGCTTTCCTCATGATTGATAGCTTGCTGCTATTGACCGCCTCCCCCTTTTCTTTCACTAGGGACAGAATATAAGTGTTCGAAAATGGGGTAACAGAAAATTCATATAAGAATCCTTGCCAGTCACTCATATTGTCTTCTCAATTCAAAGGTAGGCGTTTGATAAGGTTTATATACATGTGATCAAGAATAGTTCATCGTATCAATTTCTCTAAGCATCTGATTCTCCGAGGAGTTAGTTATTTGGGTAGACGATAGTGTTTGGTGGTGTGTACTAGACTAGCCTCAAGACATGAACAAGGAAAGATATGGATAAAGATAGTTTATCTCTTTCATTATCTCTCTTTTATTACTTCTTTTTATCTTTTTTTCATTTATCATTTTATTTATTATTGTTGCTTCATTATTCTGTTCAATAGTTTCAGGGGTTGGATGGTGCGCCATGTAACAACATCGTAAACGCATTCATGTCATAGGTCGCTTCGTAAACAGACGCATATTGACTGTAGATCTGGACTCAAGGGCTTACTTGATTATAGCTAAGCACTAGCGTAAGCACGCTTGATCCTTTTGACCGGTTCAGTTGGTTGGCCAGTTTGACCGACCAGCTTGACCGGCTAGTGGTGATGTCTACCGTAGACAGGGCCAGAAGCGAGTTCCTGATTTAGGTAACACTATATAAGCGAGTTCATGTACGCACACTCCGAATTAGTTGTATGTAATAGACAATGATTAACATGTGACATACACTCTCTTCTATACCTGCATAACACTAATTCATTCATCCGCCTTTCGATAATCCGAGAGATATATATCACTTCGGGAACGTGTATAAAAAAAAAAAAAAAGCACACCTTTAATCAACGTATTGGTATATCTTTCTTCTCTCGGCGACACAGAGCAAATAGTTCTCGTAGTTTCTCGAGACACAGCCTTTATTCCAAGCTTATTCACAACGCCCTGGCAACTCTGCGTCCTGAAAATCGTAGAATAGTGGACCAGTCGCCAAGAACTACTAGAAACTGCAAATGATACTCCGTAATTCAAACTATAATCTTACTGGCTTGTAAAAATCTACTGCGACGTTTTGTACAAGTCCGCTTATCAATCAATGTGGTCGGATGAAAAGGGAAATTCTTGTCATCACCCTGATGAATTAAAGCCGAGCTCTTATTATAGCTCTTCTCAATCGGGACTGCAGTGGAGCTCCTGTTGGATGATTCAGATGCAGGTAAATGCTTACGTTATGTTATTTAAATATCAGCTCAGTCGCCTAATTCACTTCCTGCTGTTGAACTACAATGGCATATAATAACTGGTGCTTTATGATAAACTAGATCGGTAAGAATTGAGGTAATGGCATGAAGCGCACATTAGTAATATCGCTTGGTCAGACACCTTACGTCAGAAACAAAGTCTGGTGCAACATTTGTCATTGGTCCCATAGTGAGTAATCGTGGTTCCGCAGAGATGCCGCTGTTGACATTGAACTGGTAGCGGACTCATGAGTATTTCATTATGATTATTACCCCGAGAGTCTTCCAATTATGCTCAAATGCAGCAGGTATTCGGAATAGACATGCCAAATCTGAGAGTTATATCAGCTGGCTTAAGTTAGCCTGCATAGACATGGTTCATGAATATGTAGTTTTGTTTAGTCAACCCCTGCTAATAACCTGTACTCCTACGGCGTCACGTACTATTCGCTGTATATGCATTGAAGGTATCGGGTTTTCAGGGCACTCGTTGAATAAATTCTATGTACAAGCTATGCTCTTAAACAGAGTGTGTGCATAGCATGAGATGTTAAACAAAGTGGCCGTACTATCAGTGCGGGAATGAGCTGGGTGGGAAGCATCTGGGTTACCACACATCCTAACCTTTGCATACCGTAATCCGGCAAAAAAAGCCATTACGAGCTGGGGGTGTAATCAACCTCTAATATATACTCTATGACAATCATGATCTAGTCTCTCTGCCATTGAGTCTATATGTCTAGAGCGATTACATGAGAACTGGTGCGCAGCTCTCGAGCCTTTTCTAGTATACAAATGCAGAGCAATCTATGCTCAATGACAATTTGGCAAATGATCAGGGTAACTAGAGTGATTAATAAAGCAATTTTAAGTCATTCAACACTAGAGACAAACCGAAAGATTTACAAGCAAGACACAATTAAAGGCTTGGAATTAGACGTCAAATGTATTAGGGTAGCTCATATTTGTTCTACGCTTCTCCTTTGCTAGATATGGTCCCTGCGCTGATCATTCAGTGGGCTTATGTGCCGGCAGCCGCAAAACCTCGGAATGTAACGATGCCTGTCAAGGGAGTGTCCGATTCAGATCTGATGTTCCCTTTTGGAAACTTAAGCCAAGGTTAACATTTGTACATGATTTCACATTTACTAATCAAGAATCTTTCCAATAGGTCACGCATGCACTCTAATGAGCTATGTCACATTATCTATCCGTTCTATCTAAATGTAGTTCTAGTTGTATCATTTTCGTAAATGAGATGACCAATGCTGAATAGATCTTAATTTTGTCACTAGGTAAGGTAGAGTAATCTATTCTACAAAGCGAACCCAGACTTACAAGAAAATCTCTAGCAATACCGAGATGCCGAGATCAAGGATACAGAGAGATTTCCTAGAAGACAAAGATTTCGTCGCTCATCTTTGCACTTGCGCCAGGCTGCTTGTACCCCAGGCTTACCAGCGACTTATTGGCTGCGGTAACCATTCCAGGTGGTCCACAGATCATAATCCTGCTTCCCTCCTCGCTCGAAGAAGGAAACATATCAGCCATCATGTCCTTCGTCACATAGCCAGACCCAAATTTCCACTCAGAAGAATGGTTCTCAAGTACATAGTATACTTTGAAGATTTTTGGGTATCGCCTAGCAAAGGTATCCAGCTCCTCCCTGAGAAGGATATCCTGCTCTGTCCGGTTGGCGTAGATGAGGCTGATCTCCGTGGTATCACGGTCACTTTCGCAGACGGCCCGGATAATCTGGAACATAGGTGTAATCCCCGTGCCGCCAGCTACCATGCCCATCTTCTTGCATAATTGCCGAGAGTATCGCATCGCTCCCTTGGGACCTCTGAAGTGAACCTCATCGCCAATGTTTAGGTTGGCCAAGTAGCCATTTGTCATTTTACCGTTGGGGTAGACCTTGATGAGGAGCTCCAAGATGCCCTTGTCGGCGTTATTCGACGTTGGAGTATAAGATCGCGTTATAGTTTCTCCGTCAATAACTGCGGTAGTGGCCACATGTTGACCTGTTGGCAAACCAAGTATGGGATGCGAAGAGGGCAAGGTGAATGTCAGACGGTATACGTTTGGCGACACCAACTCTTTTTTGGCTAGTGGAATCGCAGATGCAGCTGCCTCCGAGTCTAGCCATCCCCTTTGCTGTAGAAGATTGAACTCAGGGGCCTTTGGTACCTTGAAATGGTAGGGATATCTTGGCGAGTCTAGGGAAACGACAATCTGGAGCAGCCTACGAGCAATCAGAGTATGGACTGATGCCAGAACACCGGCTCCAACTAGCATTCCCATTAAAAAGCCAGGCTTTGAAGAGGTGGAAGTAACAACAGTGTCAGAAGAGACAGCCCATTTCGGCGCAAATGTGACTAGATTCTTGCCAAGTGAAGAGGCTTTAGACATTATATCACGATCCACGCCGGACGTAGTAAGACCGTAGTACAAGGCAGCGGTACCAAGTGAAACTATGGTGTACTTGGCGGTGTCAGACGTGATCTTCTCTGTAGATGGCGAGGTATTGCTTTTCGCAGTCGTTGTTGGTTTGGCGAGTGCTATTCTCGCTTTCCTTTTCTTGTATCCCTTGAGTTTGCCTATTCGTAGTGGCACCATTAGGTCGAATGCATCGTCTGAGTGGCCGGCATTGTCGAAAGCCTCGCTAGCATTGGTGCCAGCAGCCTCTATGAGCACATCAACGCCACCCGGGTGGCTCTGTATATACTTCGTCACATCATAGACTATGGAAGAATGTTAGCTAGCTCTTATAGAGACCAAGGAGAGTTGTTGGTCCGTCTCACCTTCTCCATGAATCACCATCCACGCATCTCCCGCGCTGTTGTGCAGCTCAATTTCCTTCTGGGAGTATTCCACAGCCTCTGCCATAATGATGGATAGACGTCGTATGGAAAAAATGCAAGATGGAAAGAAGCCGAAGTTAATACGTTGCCAGAATGGGTGGTGGTGGCTTCTTAAACCGCTGGATAGAAATGTTGGATTATATCGGCCAGGACCCCTAATTACAGAAGTTTATAGACATATGTTATAATGAAGTTGGTAAAGTCATCATTCGCTGACCGAAATTGACATGGCCTAACTCATTGCCATGTGGCTTCTTTCTTTGTTTAGAGCATTGCCGCGAAATATCACGCAACATGGTCCATTCACTCTGATTTAACTCTGTTCTAGGGAGGCCATACACCGGAAATCTTGAAAACACACCCATCTACACAGTCTTAAAACCGACCCGACTCTCTTGAGGCCGATTCATGTACAAGTTCCTCGGAACAATTTCTCGTTTTTGACTCGAAGTGTGTGGGGGATCAGTGATCAACGCCATCAAAAGCCACTGCCGTTATATCGACCCTTTTAGCGGCGGTACAGGCCGCTAAATATGTCCGAGATTCGATGCGAGTTTTATTTCCCAAAAGGGATAATAAGGGGGTCTTGAGACTGTATACATTACATACTCCCACCTATCTGGAGGTGGCCGAAACCGAGGTCAGTACATCAGTAATTATAAATTATACGATTCCCTGTAGGGCGCACAAAACCTGACTGCAAAACCCGAGGTATACCATGTTTCAGGTAATTTTCTACTAGATGATCAGATTCCGAGGACATAATGCTGTAAATCGGCTGCCGGCTCAGAGTTACCCGAATCATGATTAATACTATTGCCATCAGGAGGCTCCGCGGAGGATGATTCGCAACCCGTGGCGAGAGATGAAAAAGTTAAACAAGAAGTAAGGAAATCACTTAAAAACAAAGTTCTCTCCAATCTCTGGATAACATCGAAAGAATTCCACTGGTTGAGTTTACAGATCGTCTTGTTCAGGGCCTTTCAATAGCTCTGGTATATACTAGCAAAATTACCTGATTTCACAATGTCTACTCTTTTTCATCTCTTGGGAGAGCAGCCGTCTACTGCGATAGAGTTTGAAGTCTCTGCATCATTAGACTTTGATGACTTGCAAGATCTTGTTGCGTCACATTTTGCTATCGTTGAGCCTCGTGGTAAGTGCTTAATTCCGAGACAACACATATAGCATGATTTACTCATATAACCTGCTACTTTAGGCGTTGGCTTTGTGTCTCATGATCAATACCTTACATTAGTAGCAGATGTACTTGCTTCTGATGGACCCATTGCAATCTCTATCGATGGAGGCCCAGTGCGCGAGATCCCTGGACCCAAAGGGCTCCCGTATCTTGGCAATTTCACTCAGATATACCCTGATCATCTTGGTAATCATCAAAGGCTGTTTGAAACATATGGCAAGCTTTTCGCGGTCACCACCTTCGGCACTACGTGGAATTACACAAACGATCCCAATCTGACGAACATCTTCTTTACCGAAAGCGAGTTTTTCACCAAGGGTGTCATTGACGGACATCCTCTACACGCGTTCAATTTGGGAGATGCTGGCATCTTCTTCGGCAGTACAGACACTGACAGCTGGCGCGCAAATCACAAGTTCTTTCCCCCAGCTCTGGGTCCCAAGGCCGTGAAGCACTACGCACCCAAACTCCAGGATACAATCGAGGACGCATTTTCCGTCTTTGATCAACTAGACGAAGGCGGCGAAGCTTGGAATGTGTTCCCCTATATGCTGAAATTAACGTCTCAAGCTATTGTCAAGCTCGTCTTGGGTATGCAAGTTCGTCATTTTGCATCACCGGATACGCCACTTGATGAGATAGTGTCTATGATCATTGAAATCTTGATGTTGGCCAGGAAAGTGAATCGCTATGGCTCTTGGTACGGCAGTCTGCCATTTGGGGACCCTCAAAAACTCCGCAATGTAACCAAGATGATTCGCGAGCGGTTGGATAAAAAAATGGAGGAAGTCGAGAATGCCAAAGTGGGTGCAAAAAAACTTGAACTGCAAGACGCCGCTTTAGAAGCAGACAACTTGATCGGTATGCAGCTACTCACTATGCTTGTTAAAGAACATCGATATGCTAACCAGGCTTGACATCAGATTTTGCTGTTCGAGCGCGAGACAGTAAAGGAAACAGGCTGAGTAAAGACCATGCATCTCTAGGTGTAACCGTCATCGCTGGCGCTGGCTTTTCGACCACAGCAGCGTTGCTCTCTTGGTTGATATATGGCCTAGTCTTTTATGAAGGGATGCAAGATCGCATCCTCCAGGAGCTTATCGACAATGATTGGAACGAAGATACAGTCGCTACACCAGAGCTAACCCACAACCTCAAATTTTTGGATAAGTATATCAAGGAAACACAGCGGCGACACAATGGATCGTTCCAACCAGGCCGCACAGCCAAGACTGATCTGATCTTACCCGGAGGATACAAGATGAAAAAGGACTCCCTCGTCATCTTGGCTCTACACCACCTCCACACAAACTCTAAGCAATGGGACAGCCCTCTACGTTTCGATCCCGACCGCTGGGACACTGAAGAAGTCAAAAATCGCCCAGCAGGGTCGTTTCAGCCCTTTGGCTCTGGAGCTCGAGGCTGCATAGGCTTCAACTTGGCATTGGAGGAAGTCAAGATATTCCTACCCAAGCTAGTATACCGCTACAGGTTTACGTTGGCCAAGATGGACGAAGCGGTTCAGTACGATCCAAACCAGGTGGTCATTAAGCCGGACAATCTGTACGTTCGTGCGGAGAGAAGAGCTCGATGGCCAGCGAAGTCCGAATAAGCTATATGCTTATTATGGCTGACGCCACCTTTTTCACGGTCAGCAAGGTGTGGGCCGTGGTTCTTGTATCCTTTCTTTTTCATCAGCTGAGAATGTCAACATGTCAATAAATGGGAATTGAGTAAAACAACGTAGTCTTTCGTTATCAACCTGACAAGGACTTCAACTACTTCGCTTGGCTGTGAAACTGAAAACACGTTACTTAGACGTACTGTGTCCCAACTCCGTAAATGGGGGTCAAGGCAAGGTTAGGGATTTTCATGTGGTCTCTTACAAGGCTCTCGTCGCATGGCTTGCTGACGCTACTATCCCTGTTGCAGGTCGCCGACCTTGGGGTCTTCGCTAAGTATATCAGCACTAATGCGCACATCAACTCCTGATCTGATAGCCAATAGCGCAGGGGGGCTTCCAATGCGATGCCGCTGCTACGCCGCAATCGTCGTGTTCCAGAATCCGCATTTTCAAGGCGTCTTAATAATAAACCGCCGTACTACCCTTTCGGTCTTCCCTGCGGACACGGATGAATGTTCGGGGAGATCCTTTCCACCCTTCACGGAGCCGTGCTGTATTTGGCAATACCCGCCGTAGCGCAAATACAGCGGTAGTTAAGCTAGGTAACTTCAACTGTTGAGTTTTTCAGTAATGTCTCGATTTGTGTCACATTGGGTAAATGCTTCGTAATCTAAGAAGAACATGTTGCTCCCCTGTAGTAAGATTGCTACTATTGGATTGATTAGCTCGGCTATGCTTGTTATTCTGACTGCATTGGTATTAAGGAGACACCAACTATAGAACCAGTGAAGACTTTCCGAGCTTTGACAATAGATAGTGACAAATTATCGACAAAAACGCCGAAGCCGCATCGTCATCTGGTCTTATGAATTAACTTCAGACATATTGCGAGACGATACCTAAAGATGTCATGATTTTTTGCTAAATGATAGTAATTGAGTCTCTTAATGAAATAGCGCCGCTTAAAGTGACACTAGTTGTACTTCAACTTACAGACATTGAAGTCAAACAGGTTAGTAGTTTCCGTACGACTCGTGAAGTTGTCGACTTTGCTCAGTACTGTAGCGTAATATGAGCTGTCAACTTACAAGCATCTTCCTATGCTTGCCAGCCAAGACTCTTTCTTTTCTTATTACATATTGTCTTTTTTTCGTTCATTTTCCATTTCTTTTTTGGGTCAGCCTTTTTGTTTCACTGCTGAGCTCCTTACTAAGTCTACAACCAACCATACAAGACTTGTTCAATCCTACAACTTCCCGATCAAGTTACGGTGGATTCAGATCAAAACTCATTTGCACACCCAGAACACCAAGCTTTGATGCGGAATTCCGCGGACGACTCAGGCTTAAACCCGGAGGTTCTAGGCATGACTCGCCCTGACATTAGTGGCACGTACAATATAAGCCTGGTGACACATGTCTCCGTGGTTAATTTGTCTGGATCGGGGCAGAGCGGATAGTTTTCCGCTCCATGTCAAGTTTAGCACTTAAAAAAGGCGCAAAGACACCCGAGAATAGTACTACTATACGTAGGTATTGAGCTAGGTACCGTAGTCTAGGATGATGCTCATTATGCAGTAAGGCTTCCGGAGCCAACTTTCGCAACTCTATTTTTTCGTCTGACAGATAGTACCTCAGATGTCGTACTCTTTCCTTTTGTAAATAGCGATTTTCATTTATTATTTAGTTGTTTATCTATTTATTATTTATTATTTCTTCGGAATGTCTTTCTGAAACTCCGAACACTTAATCCCTAACTCCCCGTAAATCACCCTGTATCTCGACCCTTCCCATGGGTTGATGCTTATTATGAGCTTCCCCAACTCCCCGGATGCCCTATTATTAATGCATTACAACGTGACGCATTTACTACACATGTAAACCAAACACCAAATACGAGCACAGTTTGGTGAGAAGAGAGCCATCTAAAATTAGAACTTTGCACTTGCCATTGTTACATGTAACGTCCCATGTTGTACGAGCACGTTCTCTCTAGCATCTGATCTAGGGGTGGTATTGTATGAAAAAAAAAAAGAACCCAAAAAGGAGGCAAAAGCCTCAGCGCCGATCCATGCCATGCCATGCCATACCGTAATGCTGCTGCGTGGTCCATATTGTACATCCATATAAAGCCGTACCAGAAGACAAAAAAAATAGACAAATGCCGCGTGCTCGTATCAACATCCATCAAATTAGCCCCCACCAGCTGGTCTTTGCTTTAATTGTATGAGATGCTTCAAACCAGTCTGGACGCCCATGTACTTTCGTTGTTTAGGATCATACCACCCGAGGACGTATACAGCCATGACCGCAGACTTTCCCTGCAACTCTACCAGTCCATCAACTCTGATGCAGCCCCTGCTTGGTGGCTGCTTCGCAGGCTGCCAGTTCTTCGTAAATGTAACGGTGGCGGCCTGAAGAGCTGCCTGAATCCGAGGATCAACTTGGCTTACACCACTGAATGGGGTGCCGGGTATTTCGCTGATCCCGGTGTGGACCGGAAAGTTGGACTTATCCGGCTGCCCTGGGACCTTGACCGTCTGTTTGCCAGTTGTCCCGAGTTCTCCTTGTTCTTTGATACGATTCAGAATGGCGGCCTGCCATGTTGCCTCGGGTGGAGGTGGCGTGTTAAATCCCAATACTTTGCCAATATCTTGGGCTGTCTGCCTGGCCAATGAATTAAGAAATGCCCACACTGATAATGCTACTGCTTTTGGGTATATGGCCGTGTTGACGTGGTTGGCAGCCAGCGAGTCCATCGGTCGATCACCCCAGAATATGCCGTCATCGTCAATAATGACACTGTGAAAACAAGGATTAGTATGTACATGTCGAAGCAAACGATGGTGACTTCATGTCTTACCCAGAAACATAGTGTTTTGGTGGCGGTGCGGGGGGATAGATGATATCCAGCCATAGCTTTTTGAGTTTGATATCCCGGCCACCGAGTAGCTGAACATAGGCGGGATTTCGTTCCACGCCTCGCCGTATGAGCTCCGCCAGGCCCACTATGAAGATGGCCAATTAGTGATTATGCAGCTTCAAAGGCTTTTCCCTGCGCCTAGGTACTTACTCTTGATGTCTTTCTGCAACTGCTGGTCTTTATTAACAGCTATGAAGGTTGCCCACTCGGGATCGGAGCCCTTGTACGGCGGTTGTCTGACCTCCTTCGTCGTAAATGGGAACGGGAGGAACAGAATCGGCTCGTCTTCATCCGCCATATCCTCCATCTCTTTCTTTTCTCTCTCCGACAAAGCCTCCCATTCATGATCCGCCCAGTCTAACAGCGGGTCAAAGACGACCGTTGCAAATATCTGCCAACAGGCATATACGGCTATGGTTGTAAAAAAGGCTCGGCTGTGATTTGATATTAGTCTCTGGGAAAATCGCGCCGACTCAGCCGTGGCAAATGCTTACTTTATGCGACGTCGGAAGGAACCTGGCTTGGGCGGAACAACAGGCTTCGCAAAATAAACCGGAAGCCCCTCCGCCGCTGGTCTATTTCGCCATGGTAGAAAGGATATCTGTCGGCTAGCGGAAGGGATGCGATGGGAGGGGAGATGTGATGAAGCTTTCGATATAAGGTTTGCGTGTCGCTGTCGCGAAACGACCGCTGCGCGCCGCAGCATCCCGGCTTGTCGGTAGATTCTGTGCGCTTGCAAACGGCAAAAGATCAAAAAAAAATACAATCAAGGAAGAAGAGAAAGCCTGTGTCAAAAGAGCAAGCGCATGGTGTATTTGAAGCTATTGCGATGGATAATGAAGTTCTACAGAGATGATAAGGCAATCAGATTACACATTTGTCGCATGTGGTTACGCAGGGGTCTGACCGGAACATTGTACCCCCATCACCGACGCGCCAACCACATCCAGCTAGCATGCACCTGAGGCGTCACCTACGTACTTCATATTCTCGGTGCAACTTGTTGATGCCGAGCCCTTTTTGCGCGCCTTCATCATCCACGACAGCTTCGATAGCTTCGACAAAGACGAAAATCATCATGAAACTCTCGCTGGGGATTGCCGCAGCACTTGTGAGCTGCGCTGCAGCATCGCAGCCCGCCGCCGACGTTTACGTTCTACCGAATCGCGAATCCGCATCGCCGCCGTCCATTCCCAGCAGCGTTGCCCGGCTGATCTTGCTGAAGCTGGCGGATTCCGGTTACTTTTCCTTAGTCCGCGATATTCCTGACGACGTCGATGTCGAAGAGGTGGTTTCGTTGATGAATCGATATGGAGGCGTCACTACTCCATTGTTTGATGAGCTTGCCCATGAGCCTAAGCAGTTGTTCATTGCGCTCCAGGGCTTGACGGACGAGCAGATGAAAGAGACCAGAGCGAAATTACAGCGGCAGCCCTCATTCACTATCCCCGATGTGCCTCATATCGACCGTCTGGAATGGGCGACGGGCTTTGAACCGCCTCCGTCCGAGCTTGTAAAAGGAAAAGGGATCAGCTGCTCTTATGATGAAATGACCAACCCAGTCGAGTCCCGGTGCTGGAAGGGAAAGAGTTTGCTGGCTAATTTTGATATCCAAAAGGTACGCATTGAAAGTATTGGATGCATTGTTGTATATGGTGGATGGGACGAAGAAAATAACCCGAACTAACTCCGCACCTTTGTTTATAGAAGCCGGAATACTTGGACTACGTGATCGATAGCTTCCCACGGCTGACCTCGCTTGCTGAGATTGGCGAAGTGCAAACAACTTTCCTGTTCTTCACTGGCGTTGGTAAATTGTCGAGCGAGGCCCAAGCACTTCACAAGCGCCAGGCGGAGCGGGTGATTTCCCACTTTCATAAGACTGCGGCCGCGGCGGAACCAACTTCGCCGGCGCAAAACACCCTCCGAGCCCCCGCAGGAGCTATTCCCGCCTGCTTCGACTCCCTGGACAGCTGTGTCTCCAAGACCGGCAATTGCTCACACCAGGGAGAGTGCTTGAACAAGTACGCATCTGCAGATGCCGGTGCCAGCGGCCGCGCCCCTGTCTGCTTTGCATGCCACTGCCTTAGCACTAGGACCGAAGAAAACGGACCTCTTACCCATTGGGCGGGGCCTACGTGCGCCAAGAAAGACATTAGCGTTCCGTTCTGGCTCTTTGCCGGCTTCACTTTGCTTATGCTTGGAACTATCTCCTTGTCCGTCACTATGCTCTACAACGTTGGAGATGAAAAGCTCCCCGGTGTCATTGGGGCTGGAGTTTCCAAGTCTAAATAAGCGGGCTAATGGGAGGTTGGAACGCGTTTTCTTTCTATGGCTTACACTGATTTGTTTTATTTCTTTTGTGACCAGTGGATAAGTAATGAGGCGTGGATGTCATGAGATAATGGCCTAGACAAGGGCTGAGTTTGGCATGTAGGAGTCGAGGAGCACCTATCGATGAGCAGCTCTACCATGTAACCATTGGAGCCTCATGTACCATACAGATGTATTCAATAGCGTTTGTTTTGCTTTTCCGTACTTTTAGCTTCCTAGAAGAGAAAGGTCCAGCCACAGGGCTGAGTCCTTTGGTTCTAAAACCACGAGCATATCCGTCTTCCGTGTCGATCTTTGTAATGGTGGTAAGAAGTTGTAACGGTAAGACGTGACGTGTTGCTGGTTGATGACAAGAGAAACAACCAACTCATGCGTGGATGCTATTTACAGTTCAGTTGACTCATGCTTGACTAAGCTTCTGTACTCTACTCTACATGTTGCTGGATCATTCCCGCGGGATAAGCATACCCTTAGCACGCAAAGTCCGCAATAATAAGGTTAATTGGAGACAGCTCAGAAACGGAACTGGCAAGTGGTACAATAGTAATCGGCCGAGACGGATTATGCTGTATTCCCCGTTTAGGACTAGCCAGCCCATGACGCGCCAAGCATGTCGCAAGTGGGCGATGTACTGCCCAGTGAGGACTAGCCCGCTCCTCCCAGCTGAACGGTCCATACTGATACACGTAAGTTCGATGTCCATGCGTCGGGTGGGGCAGCAGCAGCTGGGCAGGCATCAAAACAGCAAGGAGCGATCCAGGAGCTCTCAAGCGGCATGAGCGAGAACCTCGTCGGATACTTGGCCTCCGGACTAGGCTGGCCGCCTCAGGCTATTTGATGTCTCCCATTGCCTACTCTGGCTGCGCATCTCGCCCGTTTTTTCATGCCTTTACGCATCGGGATTTTCCGCGTCTTGACCAGGATATTCTCCGGAGCTGCAAGGCGTGCCAGATTGGCTAATCATCCCGCCTGAGACCCGACCTGCGCCCCGCTGAGGGAAGTCCGGACTTTTGCGAAAAGGCCGTCCCAAGCAGCTGTGCTTTGAGGCGTTGAGTCTTCGAGGGTCGTTTCTGAGAATGGTCTCTGGCATCCTTTAAAATCGAAAGCCCGCCGGACTTCATTCTACTTCCGTCTCGCAAAAAGACCTGGCCGACCATGTACCCTCTTTTTGATTGCTTGCATAACCTAGGGCGGGCATAACGAGAGCAAGCAAACAATGGATGCTGAACCCTCGGCAACGACCACTAACAGCTCAAGGGCCGAGAGGCCAAAGCTGCCCACGGCAAAATGGGGAGCCGCCTGCGCTCCCTGTGCTACCGCAAAGGCGAAGTGTATACGATCAAACGAAGCTCCGGGAGCTAAATGTGACAGGTGAGCTAATGAGGGACAAGAGCTAAAAGTTCTGAGATCCTTTTTATTTTATTTATTTATTCGGGGTTTTAATGCCTTCTCATTGGATCTAATACGGTGGAAATGGCATCGGACGGAGAGTGGGATGGAGATAGTCACCAGTATCAGCCGTTCCTATCTTCTTTTTGCTTTTCTTTTTTTTTTTCCTTCCGTAATGAACGGCCAAATCACGCTTTTTGTTCTTCTATTGAGTGTCAACTAACAAGTCCATTGCTGTTGTCACGACTCATAGATGTGAGAGACTCCTGAAAGAGTGTTCCAACCAGATCCATCGCCCTCGAAAGAAGAGACAGGCCAAACCTTCGTAAGTCCGAAACTTCCGTTTCCCTCTCTTTATATGCAAGCTCCCGGCTGCGACTCTATTCGTTATACGCCGTCCCGGACATGTATTAGCTCGGCTCCCGGCCCCTGATGCAACAACTCCGTTTGAACGGGATTTCGGTGTTTCGATGGCGCTAGCAGCTTTAATCGTGGAGAATTCTGGAATTCCCTTTGAATCTCCGATCTAACAAACCCTGGGTAGCCGAACGGCGCAGATCGAAGAGCGGTTGAACGGCCTTGTCAGTCTTCTCAAGGCCTCCGGAGAGCTATCTGGAGCTCAGAGTGACTCACATTCGCAAGACGACATCGAAGATCCGGGAACAGAAGGCTCTTCTGACCGCCCATCCCCATTCTCAAGCCCGTCCAGCGCCATTCCTAGCATATCTAACCAAGCCAATACTTGGATTATCGACCCATCGTACAACTCCTTTACGCCGAAATCATGCATTTGCCATCCGGATACCATGGAGGCACCGCCGCCTCCGGAGCCAGACGAGGTGCTTCTTGATTTTTATCGAAAGAATCTTCAGCCGGTCCACCCCTTTGTCATAGTCCCACCAAATGTCTCGGCAGCCGTGCTGGCGGCAAGACGGCCGTTTCTAATGGCAGCTATTCGGATGGTTAGCTCTTTTCGAAGTATCAGATCGATGAGGGCACAGATGTATCATTTGATGAAGCACCTTGCAGATCACCTACTCATCCGCTCGGAAAAGTCTCTGGATCTGCTATTGGGAATCATAGTCATGCTGGGGTATCAGCAATACCATTGTTGTCTCCACGGGCAACTGAGCAACTTGATAACCTTGGCCGGAAGTTTGATTGGCGACATGGGTTTGGGCAAACCCCCGGGTGTGCACGAACGAACGCGGTTAATGGTCGTTCGTCCACCAGAAATACATGGCCGAAGTAATGAAGAGAGACGAGCCTTTGCTGGGGCATGGTACTGGGCATCAGTGTAAGTCATTTCCCCGCTACCTCAATCAATTGCTATAACTTGTTTACTCACTCACTATTCCTCCTACAGGATATCCATGAATTTTCAAAGAGTTGAACCTATGAGATACAACGGATACCTCCAAGACTGCATGCGGCACCTCGAAGAACACCCAGAATATGAAAGCGACATTTCTCTAGTATATCTTGTCAGGATACAAAGGTTGACGGAACGAATATCTGAACTCAACTCTAGAGACAGAGCCCCAGAAGAAGTCTCTTCTGTTCCTTCAGCTCCTGTCTCAGCCTACGTCTTGGCATTTCAAAACGAGCTCAACCAAATTCGGGACTCCATGCCTAAACATTTGAAAGATGACAGTGAGTACTTTTATGAATACTATGTGGCATAATATCTATCTCACTAACATCTGCCATAGAAACTTTTCAGCTCTTCCTCGATAGCGCCAGGCTTCGTTTATACGAGCCTCCGGTTGTCGATAAGAACTTGATCCGTTCCCTGTCCAAATCCCTTTCTTCTGTATCCATGGCTACGGATTCACCGCTCGATAAGATATATCAATCAAGCGCCGCTCTAACGGCGTGGTTCAATTCTTGGCTCTCCCTTCCCATCTCTACATACTACTTTCAAACCACCGCAGTGGGCTCACACCTTGTTTACGCTCTCGTCATGTTAGCCCGATGGGCAAGGTTGGCGACTCCCAGAGCAATGTACGAGGGCAAAACCACTATGCCAGATGACCCGAGTGCGAATAATCCCAATGTTGCCCTGTACAACTCTGATATGGGAAACTCACAGTGTGACCCGAACATGACACCAGACAAATGCGGAATGCCACGGGGACAACGTGTGACGGCACGCCCTGATCTGGACGACCCTGACCTTGCAGCTGCTGTGGCCGTACTGCGGACACAGCTACAGACACAACCAGGATTGATGATTAATATTCCTGAAATCCTTTCCGCGATATCCGGCCGCTTCGAGCATGCCAATGCAACTTTCCAATTATGCTCGGCAGACACCGAAAGAGTAAACAAAAATGTCTGGATGATGACTGCGCTAAAAGTCCGAATTACGAGAGCAAAATTAGAAAAGTGGGCAGAGCTGGTATCTGAAGGGTCAGAAAGCATGCATCTCGACAATCGATCAGAACCAGATCAGAGAATGGCTGATTGGCAGGCGGCAATGCACATACCACAAACCGAATGCGCCGGGCTAGACGATATGGGACTATTCGCGGATGACGGGGTACAAGAGCCGCAGATGGAGAACAATTGGGGAAACATGACGCACACATCATGGACTACCGATCTATTATCTGGTTTCGACCCAAGCGGATGGTTCGATGGATATGTGGATTGGAATTCAGTCCCGATGACTGCCGCGCCCCCTGTAGAGAGATGAGCTCTTCTCTCCTCTCTTCCCCGCGATTATAGAGAGATTTGGACGGCATCTTTCCAGGCCTCCTCTCAGGATTTGACATACGATGAGCAAATGTCAGACAAATCCAACTTATAATGAAGTTGCAAATGTCAATGATAGCAGGGCTGAAATTGACATCAGAAGGTTATACCTGCACAAGTACATACCGGACCTTTCGACAACACCGATCTTCTCTACAAAGCAGTCGCAACAGTCTCAGATATCATGCGATTTGAGCGGAAGGTGTGCCGTGGAATTTTATCGCGACGCTTACAAATGAGCGATTGTTTGGATATTTTCTAGAACTTGAATTAATGGCGAATTTGACGCAGATTAATGGGGTTGAATACTTTATGTCTCTCACTCAAGTAGCGCTTGTGTCACGCCACAGTGTATTCCATGATTTTGAGAGCGTGGTCTGAAGTCGAGACTCGCAATGAAGTAATATTGAATTAACTGGGCCTGATTATTCCCCATTGATGCTTGGATATTGGAGAGGCAATGACATGGAGGTTATCATAGGAGTACTGGCGGTATGAATAAACGGAAAAAATACCCGTGTGGCAATTCAAAATATATAGGTGCTCTTTTTTAAACTAGATTGAATACAGAATACATGTACAGAAGGCCTTTTCCTTTCTTCCTTGATCCTTCTTGGATGAAAGCTAAGTTGTGAATGAGCAACCATAGTCCGTGTAATTGAACATACCTAGACATTGAATGTTTAGTGGCATGCACTTTACTGTAAAATCGCTACTTTCAGGGCAGAAAAGAGACACAAATTGAAGAATTATCAAATCTGGGAGGGATTAGATGTTCAATTGGATGTTCTGCTTAGAGTCGAAATGAACATATGGTATCTGCTGTCAGAGAATGCGGGGTCTCGTGCTCGTCCCAGTACATCCCCCTAGATTCCTCACAAATCTCTAAAATCTGAGCTTCTCATTCATCAGCAATCAGCAACCAGCAATCAATTCATCCATACAGCTATCTACTAGATATTTCAGAATGGCGTCTGAACAGCAAGGCAGCTCTATCCTTGCTTTTGAAGAAATACCAGCGTCTGACGTCCCCTGTGCTGTCATTGAGCCTTCGGACGTCTATGAGTGGATTGAGCACACCAAGGCGGCAGGAGATCACGCGCGGAAAGAATTTTTACTGGTCGATGTGCGTCGGAATGATTGGGAGGGCGGCACAATTGCTACGTCTGTGAACCTGCCGGCTCAGTCATTCTATCATACTCGTGTGGGGGTGTATCAGCTTTGCAAGCAGGCTGGGATAAAGAAGGTTATATTCTACTGTGGTAGGTGCCTCATTCGGTGCTGTGGCGGTACGTCTTGATTTTCCGGCAAAGTGAGGATTAACGGGGGTCACGTCTAGGGAGCTGTGGAAGTCGAGGGCCGAAATGCGCAGGGTGGTTTCAAGAGTATCTTAATTCGATTGGCGAAACCGAGATGATGGCCGCCATCCTCAAAGGAGGCGTCAAGGGGTGGCAGAAAACGTACAATGGCCAGAATATGGACCATTATGACCCGAATGCCTGGGGTTCACAGAGCAAGTAGCCGCGAGGTTCCTGGTTGGAGGGGGTGCATTTCGTTTTCTTTTTCTTGAGCTCGGATAAAAACCAAAAATCTAGCAACAATAGACGTTCGTATCAAGTCCCATGATCGCCTCTTCGTATCGTTTCCGTAAACGCCAAACAAGCATATTCAGGCATCCATTCACCATCTTGTTGCCGCCCCAAATTATCGGTTCTGCCTGTCGTCGCCGCCGATTCTCTCCAGAGCCTCCAGCATGACCACGGAGTTGCCACGGATGACCTGCCGCATTGAAGTAAGCGTATGTTCTAGGGGGAAAAGACTTTGTGTTGAGGGAGGGAATCTGGTGTTACACACCACCATGCCGAGCCTAATTTTCTCGCCGCCGTCTTTCTCCTCGACCGCCTCGTCCAATACGATGTTCAAGAAGACCTGTGTCCGTTAGTTCTCCACGTCCTCTTGCTCCGCTTGGTACCGGGTTGTTCTCACATCGTATCCACGGAGTACACCGATGACCTTTCGGCTTCCGTTAAGCTGGACAAACAGCCTCTTGTCGAGATACTAGCTTCCAGTGTCAGCTGGGGATGATCGATTGGGAAGAGTAAACAATTTGCATTGACAGCTCCGTTTGATGGGGAACAAGAGAGTTATCTGAATCACAGTGATGATTATTGGTCGGGCTGGGCAACTCACCTTCTTCAGCTCAGGTTGGGCGGGCGCCATCTTGAGCAATCAATTAATTAATAGAGGCTTTGGTGACGGTCGATTTGCGACGCGATCTGGAAGCACTAACGCAGGTCGAGGAAGCTTTGCCCACCTTAAAATTCCAGTCACGTGCCGATAAGATAACGCATCTCGGGTTATCGACATTGAGATGAAGATGCGCTCTTGCAACTTGCACCTCAAGCTCATACCAAGGCAAATTGAAAAGAATGAGCTCGTTTGGCGCGAAACGAAAGGCGCGGGTCATCAAAGTTGATTACGATGATGAAGAGAGCAGCGGGGACGCGCCGACTGTGGCCGAAGGTGGAAGCGTCAAAGATGGTACGTAACTGCAGAACACTGTTTGGCGATGTCTTTGCTGATGGAGGACAAGGCTGACTTTGGCTGGAGATGTAGATGCTTTGAAGCCGACGTTTGGGTCTAAAGTAGGCCGGAAGCCATTTCGCCAATCTGGGCTACGGAATACGTTCAATCCACGAGACGAAGATGCATCAGGTGACAAGGAGGAGACCTCACAGGGCAACGACGAAGATGACGACGGTCCAGTAGTCGTACGGCCGAATAACAATCGGGCGGGCTCATTGAAGCAGAAGAAGAAGATACCCAAAGCAAAGATTTCGTTTGGAGACGACGCTGGGGAACAGGATGACGAGCAAAGCAGCGATTTTGCTTCATCAAGAAAGCCGGCAATGGGGCAGAAAGTACTTGAAAAGAATACTATCAAACGAGGCATGGCTGCCCGAGGGCTACCATTACCTGTCAGATCATACCAAGATGATGACGATCGGCCGAAATACAGCAGAGAATATCTCGATGAGCTTCAATCATCAACGCCAAACACTCCGAGCGACCTCTCATCTCTCAAAGCGAATCTCGATGACGAAATGGATCTGGATCCGTCCGAACTAGAAGGAGCTTTGATAGTAGACTCCCCTATGCCGTCTTCTACTGGTCAGCCTCAGACCACTCATATTCTCACCGAAGCTGAAATTCGCGAGAAGAAAGAGCGTAGAGCTCGACTAGCAAAGGAGAAAGACTACATTTCCATGGAAGATGAGGACGATTTTCTATCAGGACGAAAGAAAAAGGACGAAACTCGGTTGGTTGCTGAGGATGAGGACTTGGGAGAGGGTTTCGACGAGTACGTTGAAGACGGTGGACTTTCACTAGGCAAACGCGCAGAAAAGGAGCGACGAAAACAGGATCGTCAAAAGATGGCTGAGCTCATTAATGCAGCCGAGGGCCATACCTCAGACTCCTCATCAGACAGCGATGCCGAGCGACGAATCGCCTACGAAACAGCGCAGACGCGTGCAGGAATGGATGGCCTGAAGAAGCCGAAGAAGGACCCCAATGAGCAGCTGTTACAAGTTCCGCCCAAGATAACACCGTTGCCGAGTCTTGCAGAATGCATACTGCAGTTACAGGCTACACTGAAATCGATGGAGAATAATATTAATCTCAAAGCGGCAACAGTGGAGCAACTCACGCGCGAGAGAGACGACATAATCAAAAGGGAAGCGGAGGTACAGGCATTTCTGAACGAAACGGGCAAGCAATACGAGGAGGCTCTGGGGCGGAAACCAAACTCTGGCAGCGGAATGGCTGGCGCTGAATTGGCTGGCGAGAGGGGATTGGAGAGCTTGGGAGCAACACCACTGAATGAGGTTAATATGGAGGACAGAGAATGATGGATTCTCATTTGCTTTTCTCAGCCAGGATATTACAATTACAATGTACGAATACTATATATAGCGGGATACTAGGCAAGCTATCGATTGGACGATAAATTTAATGATGGACGATTAGGTCAAGACTTCATGAATATGTTTCTTCTCTTGCTTATATACCATGATTCTAGAGTGACATGTACACAGAGATATTAACCAAGGCTTAGTTTCTCATTACACTAGCGGGATAAGCTGGAAATATACTGGAAAAGCTTGCCTTGTGAGCTGGGGTATCATATTAGATGAGGATGTATGGAAGAAAAAGACAATTCAAACAGTGCAACGTAGGCCCATAACCGTGCTTCTGCTGGTTCAAAGATTGCGTTTGGTAAGTGTCACCCAAAAGTCAGATGCAAAGAGGAATATAGAGGCGGTCGTTTTGATTGGGGTTTCAGGGTTCATGACGCAAAAGTCGAAACGTCGTACAAGCTGTCACAGAGGAAGAGAGAAAAACGACCGTGTTAGCTGCCTTGAGTCATCTAGAGGCTGTACTTAAAAGTGTCGACCATGTCCATGTAAGTGTTACGTACCTCAAAAACGGCCTTGTGCAACTCCATCAGGGCAATCGGCTTCCCGAGACAAGAATACTTGCCGTACCCGAAATGGGTGTCGACAGCGTTTATCATGTCTTTCAGTCCATCTCCCTGAGCGACGAGCCACCTCTCCGGCCGAAAGACGTTGGCGTCCGGGCCCCAGACTGTCTTGGAGCGCCCGACTCCGTGAAAACCCTGACCAATCTCTGTGCCTCCGGGGACGAAATAGCCGTTGAGGTAGTCACCCTCGGGGGGCACGGTCTTGAAGCCAAGGCCGCCGACTGGAGGCCACATGCGGAGACCTTCGCGGATGACGGCTTGGAGGTAAGGCAGAGACTGGGTTTGGGACCAGGTGATGGGGGAGCTGACGGTGGATGAGGCGCGACGGATTTCGTCGATGAGGGCGCTGTATGCTGGTGGGGAGGTGATGAGGGAGAGGAGAGTCATGCGGAGGGCGTGGGCGGAGGAGTTGGAGCCCGCGATGCTGTCAGTTCATTAGTGCCAGTGTTTTGAAGATTCGTTGACTGGCTGTGAGTCCATAGTGAGGGAGACGTACATAGACAAGAAGACTTGCTGGATGAGATCGTTTTTGGTCATGCCGTTGTCGATGTGGGCTTGCATCATGTCGTGAGCTCGTGGCGTCTTGGGGTCGAATCGAGTTTCTACATAGCGTCGCGCGAAACTGACAATTCTCACTCAGCATTTAATCCATTGGTTACTGAATGATATCTTCACTTGACTTACTGCATCAATCGACCAAAGCCAACTTGGTCTCCTTCCTTTGGTAGCAATAATCGCAGGGGCCACATATGGACGAGATTCGCCAGAGACGGCATCACAGAGACTACGTTCATCATAGGCAGTGAAGTCGTGTTGATCTCGTTGTACTGGTATAAATCTTGATCTTTTTCAAGATAGCCAAATGGCTGTCCAAGAGAGATGTCGCCTATGGCGTCCAGGGCGAAGAATTGCGTCTTTTCAGCCATGTCTACCGGGCGGACGTCTGAGCCAGATGAAACGTATTTGCGCTCAAGGAGGCTGATGAAACTGAGAAGCTGGCGGTCCATGGCAGCTTCGAAGCTAAAGCCTTCATTTGCCTAACTGCGGAAAGTATTAAGTTAAGTCTGGATATGGTAGGTAGAAAAGAAAAAAGAAGAGAGGGTGGACTTACACCAGGAGTCATTAGGGCGCGCATCTCTCTATGTTTTGCCGGGTCTCGTAGGGAGACAACATTGTCTACGCCAGGGATGATCTTGCCACTTGCGTAGAATTTGCCCTTGGTGTAGCCGCTGCGGACTGCAGACATGCGACGGAGCGCTTCGGGACCAGTAGAGAGAAGCTGGTTGGGGCCGATGCGTACGAGAGGGCCTAATGTTGTGAAAATGGGTTAGAATGAGATAGGCATAAACCGTCATATTTCACTTGTAAAGGTGAATGTGCCTACCGTAGGTGTCGGCGGCTTCTTTTAAATGCTCATGATATCTCCCAGACAATGCGTTCGAGAGCTGCCACCATATTGTCCACCCAGCGATGGTTGGTCCGGGTATGTGTCGAAGTCGTTGCCAGCAGCAGACCTGGCGAGCTAGAAAGGCGACTAAGAATATGAGGCAGAAATTGGATAAGTAGATAGTTAAAGGCGGCATTGTGACTACTTGGATTTCTAGACAAGGGCGAGGGCCGATTTGCGCTGTAGATTTGCAGATAGAAAGGAGGAATGGATGGTGCAATAGTTCGCTCAATCAACCTATTCGATACTTAAACTCATCGAAATGAGAAGCGATAGGGCTGAGATTTAAGAAGATGGGATGAAGAGGGAGAATTAGTTGCTCGAGCACTACGCGTGTTTAATCATCTCACTACGCCTTAGCATTTAGCTTAAAACCCCGGTTGCGGTGAACCCGGAGGCCCATGAAATATTGAATCCGACGACTAGCAGTAACGGTATAGGAAGTGAATCAGACAGCAAAGCGGAATTTGCGGCTGAAAAAATGGGCAAGGGGGATGGAAGGGATTGGGGGGGCAAGCCTCTCTCTGTGCTAACCGACTGTTACGAAACATGGTATCGGAATTTGGACATTGTTCCGAATGGCGAGTCTTCAACAGCCCCGAGTCTGTTGTTGGTCCACGTCCATGTACGTTACAGAACTAATTACATACCTACATTAGCATACGACAGCTGGCTGGTGCATGTGCAATAAAATCACGAACCCGGCCCTCGGATCCAGCTTCCAGGAGGGGCAGCTCCAGTTATTTGGGTCGCCAGCGGGACGGGGAGGGCCGGGCCAGGGATCTGGAGCCACTGGGATGGCGCTAATGGGTGCTATAATAAGTCGTCCATGCATGTGCTGGATGGAGACGGATGGAGACGGACTGATCAATGGATGGAATGCATTTCCTACATCTGTCTTGATGCAAGTCGGCGAAAGGAAATACGAGGCATGGGAATCAAAGTGCAGAATGAATTCCTTTTCTTCTGTTGATACGAAGACCCTTATCAAATTATCCCTTTTCTCCCTGATAGCGATTGCAAAACACTGTGATCCATGCCTCTAATTCCCCCCACGCAACCCCAGAATCGAACGTGCAAATATGAACCCAGCCAGGCTCCCCTTGGTAAAGATACCTGTAGTTGTATCTAGTTGAGGTTAGCTTAGTATACGGTATTTTGGAACCTTGACTGCCCTACTCATGGTTGCCCAATTTGCGTAGAGGATTCTATTGGATAGGATTCAGAACGCGATACATCCAGACGGCTTAAAAGTAAGGGAGCGTAGCAGTGATCCAGCAAGCTGCTTGACACACCCCGAAGGTCCTGTTGCAAGCTATAACTGTTGCAGGAGCCGAAGCTGCTGCGGTAGCTCCCCAAGTCGCGCCGGCGGCTCCATAGCACGCCATAACAACTCCAGCACACCCGGCTTGACAGATGCGGTATGCGATGGGGCCAGCGTTGGAGGTTGCTACTCGAGTTGAGATGGAGAGGACTTTGAAGATATGCATCGTGCTGTTGCGATGGCTCAGCTAGTGGGATAATGTATTGATTCGCTTTGTGAGTATATACCCAGGGTATATGTAGGTATTGTTCTGATGGCGCAGGCGTGAGGTGTAGCTAGTCGAAGAGCAGTAGGGTATAATACCAACTATATGCCTGGTTATATGACATGTGTAGAGACCGCCAGAGGCTAAGATTCAAGGCATATCTACAGGGATAGTAACTGAAGTAATGGCATTATGACATAGTGAAATATGCCACACACGAGCAGTTACTCTATAGAAGCAGTAAAGTAAGGACTATAACACAGTTATTTCATGGGTTACCATAGGATGCCGACCACGGCAGCTTACATATAAGAAACTTCATTATATGTTTCGTCAGTGAAGCATTAAAAGAGAAGAGTAAATTATAGAATACGGGAAATAATAAAGAAATTTACAGAGTAAATGAAAAACACTAGCATATATAATCCCTCCTTTGCCCCGAGAGGATTGATATAGCGGACATAAGTAATTATTTTAACGATGCAGCCCGGCGCTCAAAGTAAATACCTAAGCTAGTGCCTGGTAGGTATCCCATATGTGTACGTCCAAGCACGGTAATGGTCGCTAGGTAGCTAGTGAGCCAAACTGCAGAATGAATTCTTTTCCTTGCGTTGATACGATGCCCCTACCCCTACCCAATTATCCCCTTTCTCCCCGTAGTTATTGCAAAACACCATAATCCATGCCTACAATTTCCCCCACGCAACCCCAGACTCAAATATGCAAACCTAGCCAAGCTTCCCTTGGTAAAGATGTCTGCAAGCGTATAAAATCGAGGTTAGCTTCGAGCACACAAAGCATTTGGAGACAGTAGCTGGCCTACTCATAGCGTATAGGCATCAGAATCTCGAAGGCTTAAGGGCAAGGGAACGTAGCAGCAGCCCAGCAGGCTGCTTGGCATGACCCGAAAGCCGAGTTGCAACCTATAATTGTTGGACCAGCTGTAGCCCCTGCGGTTGCTCCCCAAGTGGCGCCCCCAGCTGCATAACAAGCCGTCACAACGGCAGCACACCCGGCTTGACAGATGCCGTAGGCGACGGGACCGGCATTGGAGGTTGCTGCCAGAGTCAAGATGGCGAGGACTTTGACGATCTGCATTTTTTTATGGCTGTCGTTGTCGTTGATGTGATAGCTTAGTAAGTGGGAGGATGGATTCTTTTGCAGTGTATAGGTATTTTGTTCTGGTGTGGGGAGGTTGCGATGCGTCTGGTTGAAAGGTAGGAAGAAATCATCCTGCTCGTGACCTGTGGCTACATACTTTATATGTATAACCACCTAGAGCTAGAATTGAAAGCACATTCGCCCAGCAAGTGACTTCAACTATGACGTTATGCCGCGATGAAATGTGCCGCTTACGAGCAGTTACATGTACCCTGTGTTGGTAGAAACATGCGGACTGTGACACATTCAATTGATCGGGAGGCCTACAAATCAATCGGGAGGCCATTGATTGATTGGGAGGCCTTCGATCACGCGCCGGCCACGACAGCCTACATCCGAGGAATTCGATTACACATACATTGCCAGTGAGGGATTACAAGAAGACAAAAACAAATCACAGAATACGGAAAATGACAAAGAAGTCCACATACCTAGGTAGGGCAAAATACGGTATGTATGCGGTGGTATAATACCTGCTCTGTCCCAGGAGGATAGATGAAGTAGACACAAGCAATAATTTCGACCATGCGAGCTAGCGCATTCTAAATAGGTAAATACCTGGGTGCCTGGTATGGTTTCCATATGTGTACACCCGAGGTGATGGTCGCTAGCTGCTAGGTTGCGACACAGGCTGGGGAAGCTCGGAAAGAAGTTGGACCATCTCGGGTTGAGACATGGTGGCATATTCAATCACAAGACGAGACTTGCTGTTGGCGGGTCTCAGCCAGACCAGGAGTCCTGTTCTCTGCGCATCTGTAGTACATACTCGTATTTGCCATCTCAATGTCCCGTCCTGCCAACGGTGTCTCTCTGATCTATCATCGGAGACTTTGTTGAGACATTTGTAGGAGAATTTGAGACAAGCGATATAATTATTCCCCAGTATTTGTAAGTATGATTCTACCTTTCAAATAAATATGTGCCATCTATCGCAGTCTACATGCAGTAACACTGTCATCTATTATTTGGTCTTCTTGGCCTCCCTCTTAGTATACACCAATCCATCTCGCATACTCCCAAACCATAACGCCCATAAATCGACGACCAGATTCAGACGTCCATAAAACGGGCCTTTGCCCGTGACTTTCGGGATCCGGTCTGCGGCCTTGACGAAGTATGAACTCTTTGCATTCGTACTCAACATTCGCGGCATCCCCTCTGTCCTCTCAATGACTGGGACGACACTTGACGCGTTGTCCGCCTCCATCTGCTTCACCACTCGAATGGCCAGCCTTGTCATGGAATCCGCGCCGGGAGTCCACGTCGTGGTCACATAACCAAAAACGGACGCTAGGTTAGGTATACCTTCGATTAAACACCCTCTCCACGCGTACTGCTGTCCGATGTCGATTTCCTTGCCGTCAACTCGAGGCTTCATTCCGCTAAGGACCTGTATGTGCAGACCAGTGGCCGTCACAATGATGTCTGCTGGCAGCTTGCGTCCGGATTTGAGCACGATTCCATCCTTCTCAGCGGTGTCAATCACATCCGTTACAATCTCGACGTTATCGCGGTGCAGGGCGTTGAAGAACTCGTCATCTGGAGTTAGGCACAGACGCTGCTCAAACGGGCCGTAAGTGGGATTAAAGTGAATTGAAGCATCAACTTTCTTTGGCAATTTCTTGTCCAGATCTTGCGTAATAAGAAAACGTCCCAAACGGGGAAATGACAGGCAGAGTTCGGAGATGAAGACTTCAAACCAAACGTCGATAAATCGGCCAATCCAGTGCACCCACGCCAAGGACAACCACGATGACAGAAACTTCTCGAGGTCCGAGCTTCTCTTCATTGACACAACATACGACGGCGTCCGCTGAAGCATCGTGAGAGACTTTGACTTTTCAGCCATCTCTGGCAACAGCGTAACGGCGGTTGCTCCGCTGCCGATAATTACGACGCGTTTATCGTTATAGTCGAGGTTCTCTGGCCACCACTGCGGGTGAACGACTGTTCCTTCAAAATTCTCAATGCCGGGCACGGGGCTGTCCAATGCCTTTTCATACGAGTAGTACCCAATGCAAGTGAAGAGAAAGTTGGCCTTGATCAGCTTCTTGGAGCCGTGGACATCAATCTCCAGGGTCCATCTCTGCTCCTCGGTGCTCCAGTCACTTTGCACAACTCGGTGTCCCAACTGAATCTTGTCGTAGGATCCGTCTGTCCTGGCAGCATCCTCAAGGTACTCGCAAATCTCAGCGGCCATGGCGACCTTGTGAGAGTGTTTCCAGGGGTGCCAGGGCAGGCCAAAGGACCGGAGAGACGAGTCGCTGCGCATGCCCGGATACTTGAAGAAGCTCCATGTCCCACCGATCACATCGCGGGCCTCGAGGATGGTGAAGGACCGGTGAGGAAGGTCGGTTTTCAGCCGGTGAGCAGCGTTTATGCCGCTGAGGCCTGCACCAATGATGACAATGTCATGTTCCTCAATAGGCAATTCGGTGTCAGCCATTTGATGCTACGCTGAGAGACTCCTCCACTGTAGGCGAGACGCGTGAAGAGTTTGAACAGCAACAGCAGGAGAGAATAAGGGTCCTGTCGTCTTTTTTCTTAGCTTCTCGAATTCGTACCGGCGCCTCCTATTTATTCTCTATCTCCCGGGCACGCTCCGATGGCGCCACCAAAACTACTTAGTAAGTCAATCGAGTCAATTAGCCGTCTACTAGCTGCTGTCGTCGCCGTGCCTGGCAATTGCATGGATATGTGTGCATTAGCGATGGCGGGGGTGTGCCGTACAAAAATAGCCCTCGAGTTCCATTCGCTGGGCCCTACCCGGTGAGCAGCTCAGTTAAACCGTGCCGACGGGGGAACGGAGCTGGTGACAATTCCGCGGGTTGGCAGGCGGAAGATGGAGAATTTATTGTCTTTATGCTGGCTGCCGATTGTCTGAGTGAGATGGCGAGAAAGTTGTCGTAACGAGTCAAGTGCCAAATACATGTACCCATAGATCTCCCTCACCATGGTACAACACTCCTCTTACTAAGATATCAATGGATGCGAATATAGGTGTTGCTAGGTAAGTGCGTATTAAGCCCCTGATTCTCCAATTCTTCTTTCACATGAAAAACATCAGTTCTTTTTAAAGACTCCTATCACTGTCCAATCGCATTGAGCACTCGTATCTGTGTAGTGATGTACGAATTCCCGCCTTGTCCATGCTAGTCGTCCCACTGAATGTCACCAGCCCGGCTAATGTTCAGCTCATTCTTTTCGGGTATCCTTGAGTTGGCTGACATGACATGGCCCCATACGTCTAATAGGCAATTACCTTTACTGACATACCGGTACAGTATGATAACCTATTATGTTCCACCCTATTGATCAATCGGACGCTAAGAGTGTGCGTACTGTATTTGACAGCTTATCCACCGATATAGGGTTACCTTAGTGCCGTGTGCTTTGGCTGCGTGGATGCGTAGATCATTCTAAACGCTTTTGCTTTTGGTGCCGTCTTTCTCGTTATGTGTGTATACTTATACGTTGACGACACACGTTGCATTGGCAGCTGAAATATGGCAATGACAGATGCTCAAGGCGAGATGTGCTCCACGAGTCTCCCCGTTCATTGTCCAGCGCCATGGACAACAGTACAATTATTTGATGCCCACCAAGGTACCTGCTTGTACCCATCTACACTACAATAACACTTTCTTCACCCAATGATACGGCATAGACACTCATCATCAACAGCAATTCTGCCTTGAGACTCGTACAGCAAAATCCTACTTCCATTGAAGCGCCCCACACCAGCTTTGGCCTATTGGAATTGGAAGCCCACGGGTGGGGCACGATCCCGCATCGAAGCAGCTAGAAGGTACCTTGCCGTGTATTTTATAGACCCCACACCGGAGTTGGATTCTTTCGTCCAGAGCTGATCATCTCCAAGTTTTTGTTCGCCTTGTCTTTCTTCCCAAGCATCACTCACCACTGCATCTACTGTCTCTTGTAAACGGTTCTGCTATTCACCATGGCTTCCGCAGACGAGCTCAAAGCTCTGGGCAACAAGGCCATCGCCGAAAAGAACTTTGACGACGCTATGTAAGTTTCAACTTGTTTGCTTGCGCTGCCAATCACCCCACCTGACCCCTCCGTCCCTCGTCCCTCGTCGTCACACTCAAGGGATCCGATCCAAAGACTGACATTTACGTTTTTACTTTGCTTGCAAACAGCGACAAGTTCACCCAGGCCATCGCTCTTCAGCCCGAAAACCACATTCTCTACTCCAACCGATCTGCCGCATATGCCTCCAAGAAGGACTGGGACAATGCGCTGAAGGACGCCGAAAAGACGACCGAGATCAAGCCAGACTGGGCCAAGGGCTGGGGACGCAAAGGCGCTGCTCTTCACGGCAAGGGAGATCTGCTCGGAGCAAACGATGCGTACGAGGCCGGTCTCAAGCATGACCCAAGCAACGCACAGCTCAAGAGTGGCCTGGCCTCTGTTGAAAAGGCCATGCAGGCCGAAGCAGGTACGTCTTATTGCAGAAACCAACACGCACAGTAGCACTAGAATATAGAACATTGCTAACACAGAATCTGATACAGGCGGCGGACTCGATCCTACTGGCGGAATTGGAAACATGTTCAAGGACCCGAATCTCATTCAGAAGCTTGCCTCTAACCCCAAGACGAGCGGCTTCCTGGCCGACCCCACATTCATGGCCAAGCTGCAGCAAGTTCAGCAAAATCCTCTTAACTCGCAGGATCTTTTCAGCGATCCCAGAATGATTCAAGTCTTGGGTGTACTGATGGGCGTTGATATGGAGATGCGCGATAGTGCTCCCGAGGGCAGCGAGTCTTATGTTGTGTCTGATGACAAGGATACTCCCATGACGGATGCACCCAAGAAGCCCGAGCCAAAGAAGGAGCCGGTACCCGAGCCGGAACCAGAGCTGGACGAGGAAGCTCTAGAGAAGAAGAAGAAGAAGGAAGAGGCCGACAAGGAGAAGGCTCTTGGCACCGAGAACTACAAGAAGCGAAAGTTTGACGAGGCTATCGAGCACTACAGCAAGGCATGGGAGCTCTACCAGGATATCACCTACCTGAACAACCTTGGCGCAGCTTACTTCGAGAAGGGAGACTACGACAAGTGTATTGAGTCCTGCCAAAAGGCAATTGACGAGGGCCGACTCATCTATGCTGACTTCAAGCTGATTGCCAAGAGTTATGCCCGTATCGGCACTGCCTACGAGAAGAAGGGAGACCTTGCTCTAGCAGTCGAAAACTACAACAAATCTTTGACCGAGCACCGAACTCCCGATGTTTTGAACAAGCTCCGTGCTGCCGAGCGAGCAAAGACTGAGGCTTCTAAGCAGGCATACATCGATCCTGCCAAGGCTGAGGAAGCCCGTGAGGAGGGTAACAAGAAGTTTAAGGAGATGGATTTCCCTGGTGCTGTGGCGGCCTACTCTGAGATGGTCAAGCGAGCACCCGAGGACCCCAGAGGATACAGCAACCGCGCAGCTGCCTTTGTCAAGCTCTTTGAGTTCCCCAGTGCTCTGGATGACTGCAACCTGGCCATCAAGAAGGATCCCACCTTCATCCGGGCCTATATCCGAAAGGCCCAGGCCTACTTTGGCATGCGCAAATACTCCGAGTGCGTGGACGCTTGCGACGAGGCAATGCAGGTTGATGCAGAGCACCACAAGGGCGCCAACGCTCGCGAAATTGAGCAGCAGCAGCAGAAGGCTTTCTCAGCCATGTACTCAGCCCGAGAGAACGAGTCAGAGGAGCAGACTAGACAGAGGCTGGCCCAAGACCCAGAGGTAAGATTTCAACTCCTTTCACATGGATGTAGCATTTTGAATGGGCACTTGCTAACAAGAGACTTTGTAGATTATGGGCATAATGCAAGATCCCGTTATGCAGTCCATCCTGCAGCAATCGCAGTCTGACCCCATGGCTCTTCAGGAGCACATGAAGAACCCAAGCGTGCGGTCCAAGATCCAGAAGCTGATAGCTGCTGGTGTCATCAGAGTTGGAGGTCGGCCATGAGACCAAAGGAACAAAAGGGGCAACGTTTGAGGGTAGTGTAAATCTGGAGTAATGAGCCAATGAATTAAGTCATCTTTAATGTAACTCTATATAGCTTTCGCAAAATTTCTCAATTTTTCGATGATTTGTCTACTTTCTCGACTGCTCTTGATGCTCCTCGTGATGTCAACAGGAAACTAACACGAGGCGCTCTCGAGTCTGAGGCCAAACATTTGCAAACGCTTATCTATGTATGTTCACGTAAAACTGGCCTCTTTCAGTCAACAGCTCACAATTTTCGTCATTTACATTTCGCCATGGTCTTCCCCATCAGGCATCAGCTGGATAGCACGGTCTTCGTCAACCCGCGTGCCAGATTTATCAGGTCCCATTCGCGACTTTATGGCCCTTTGCCAAAACTCCAAATCATCACCTTTTGCGCGCAACGAACCTGCGAAGAAAACAGGAATCAGCGATACACCTACCGTCATAAAAATCAGCTAATAGTATTACAGCTATATCTTTTGCATCTTTTAGGCTAAGTGAATTATATTTCTCTATTTAAAGATTGTAACAAAGCATTAAAAACCAAATGTTCGAATATAAGTAATTAGCCAGCTGGCTTCTATAGAGAATTATGTATAGATATACATAGTTCTTAACACCATCCCTTTGTACCAGTAGAATTAGGGTACGTAAATCCAGCAATGTTCACCAGGTTGATTAGAGAATCTGTGGTGCCGATTCCTATCCCTGTTCCTCCATGTGCACCAACTAAGGTTGCTTCTAGAGGAATACCCCGATGAACGGCATCAACGAAAAATGGCATGGCGTGTGGAGTATCCCAGCGCATCACGGGTCCAGGTCTAGGATTCACAATGTCCGCATCGATGATGACGACTTCAGAATTGTTGAACTTCGAACAGGCCGGCGCGGCAGCAGCCCATGTCCAGTCACTTGCGTGTGGGTTCTCATTCTTCCAAAAAGATAGGAACTGGACATTCTTATCTTGCTTGATGAAAGGATTCTCATCGTCATATGTAATTGTTTGGAACTTGCCACCGTTGACATTCTTGTAATAGTCTTTGGCTATTTCCGGGATTACCAACTTGGCCCCAGCAGCAAGGTAGTCTCCCACGCCACCTGCGTGATCGCGGTGATGATGCGACGGGACTACGTGCGTAATGCTCTTGCCGGGGTAATTCTCTTTAACCCATTGCAAAATGATTTTGCTTCTATGGGGAGCGGCATCAGTGATGACAAGTCCGTCTTCGAATTCGACCAGGAGCTGCACATAGTCAGGCACAGTTCCCACATAGAGGTTGACGATCTGTGGTACGTTTCCACCTGGAAACACGGGTTTCGCGACAACAGATGAGACATTGTTTTGCTGGCCAAAGGGTCCGAACCAAAGCCCTGTCTCGTAAAACTCGTGAACTTCTGACCGAGGGTACTCGTTATCTGTACGAGGCAGTTGAGCCACGTTATCGGGGGGACTACCAGCAGGTGGAGGTGGCGGTACTGCTTTGAAGTAGCCATCTGGAAACTGAGGATTGGCGCTGATTTGACTAATCGTGTAGTCCTCGAGGACATAGACTTCGTTGTAAATCGTTTGTATCCGGTTAGGGTATTTAAACGTCTGCGATTTGCCAAAAGACACCGACGCATAGTTAGAGAATACGACGTCATTAGTTGAAGGACCATAGATTTCATGAGTTTCCGTCGATCGAATGGCGTAAGGCAGCCCCGTATCATTATGGACAAGCAACGCCAGATTCGCGTTCGGAAGTGACAGTGTCGGATAATCAACGCCGGAGGCTTCAAGGCTGGTGACAGAGTAGACCAACTGCGAGCTAGAAGCTTCAAATTGCTTCAAAACGCCCAATAGCGCGGATTGCTGGGCAGAATGCACGAGATAATCCGTGAGGTAACTATCAGCGTAGCCAAAAGGTACCGATGGATCATCGACGCTGCCACCGACGTTGAAGCAAGCCGAACCATTTGAACCGGTCTGGACTACAAGACTGTAGTCCAACTTTCCATCCCGGTGTGCATGAGCCCAGAAATAGTCATAAGTCAGGTTCCGGTCAATTCGCTGGGTGATAAGAGTGTCTGAAAAGTCGAAAGAAATAGTCGATGTCGCTCCGGTTGCAATTAGCTGATCCGAACTGTCAAGACTGTAGCTTTGAGACAGCGTTGTACTTCTATAATCACTATAGGCATTGGGTAAGCAGGTTTACACCATTGATAAACATGTATGCTTTAGCATGGAGAATACTCACGAAGATTGCAAAGTCAGTCCTTTGATATCGTTCAAAGCCTGGAGACCCCCGAGGGCATTGATAGTTCGGGCCAAAAGGTCTGAAGTATTGCTGTCAGGAGAGTTGACTTTGGCGCCATTAACCAGGACTGGTAACAACACAAGACGGACTTGAAGCTTCATGATTGCGGTGGTGTGCCCTTAAGCTCCGAGGTCAGAAAATCAAGTGCAGAGCATTTCATATCATTATAAAGAATTGTACTGCCTATATGCGGAACTTGAAATTGGACAACCCCACGCGATTCCAGGGGCTCTCTCACATATGACAATCATGAAAAAGCCCTGGCTTGCCGAAGAGCCGTACTGACGTCATTTTTGTGATCAATAATGTGTTCCTGTAAAGTTCTATTTCCTAAAATCCCTTCTCAAGTCTTTTTCTATTCAATCACATTGTGAAACCCATGTTGCCGCCCTAACCGTAAACCCCTAGTCCTGTGCATATACTTCGTACTCTGTCAGCAGTCAAGAATGTCATGGACATTTACTTATACCGGGTCGGCATATCATAGGCGTTATGGTTTTTCCGAGAAAGCGCTGATTGGTCATTATGTCTTCCTTCAGCTTTAAAACAATTTTGATTAGCCTCTGATCCGGGGTAAACGAAGCCGAACTTGGCAGCTATCTATCTAAGTTATCACGTAAGCTGGTAAAAAGAAACTACGCGAGTTTGCAGGCTTCGGACCAGGTACTGCGCATAATATAAGACGTTTGAACAATCTATCATATTGATTCCTTCTATCATCTTTCAGAGCAAAAATATCATACCGGGAAGTCGGAGCAGTAGAGTCCGCCGGTGGGCTACGGCTCCACCGAACGCATGTAAGAACAAAGGCTGAGTAGTGTCGCATAATACTCCGTCCATGTTGTGTTGTATTGAGGGGAATGGTTGTCCACGTGCGTCCCAGCCTGGATCAAGATTGTGGCCTTCAGATGTGGAATAGTGTGATAAGCTGAATAGAGGGTACTCATAAAACCGGTACATGGATAATGTACCGAGTAAATTTCATTTGGCACTAAGAAAGAATTACCTATAGCTGATGATAATTTTTTGAAGAGAATTCTATACACAATATAGTTTATATTTCTTTGTATTGAATAGAGACTTGTACATGGTCTTTTCAACTTATCGTACGCCCCGTCATATGTGAGGTTTCATCGAAGATATCGATCAGTTTGATGGGACTAATTGCGAGGCACACATTGTCTGTATTGTATTCTATGTTCCCGAATCCAGCCTCCGATAATTTTTATCCCTCCCCTTGGGCCTCCCGACCGACGTTGCGACGAGAGTAGAATTATCGTTTCAAATATTTCGTTATTGGGACTGCAATATAATGTTTACTATTCCTACCTAGCTAAGGTACGCCTTAATGGAGATGCTGTGTGATGATGTAAAACATGTGATTCATTGTTTTCCTTCAATGTATTTAATGGCGTAAAACTATGAAAACATACCAGTCATATCAATCATGCCATCTACTCAAGGAAACCAGACTGTTTCCACCTCTGAATATATCGCTTCACCAGCTCACTTTCCACCGGCCCACTTTCACGCATCGTCTTCGAATGTTCACGGCTATGTTTGGTGTCGAGTATCAAGGGCCCAGTAGACATGCGCAGGAAATGTGTTTCCCAAAATGACATGAGCTGCTTTGCAGGATTTTCTGTAGTTGAAGCATCGCAGCTCTTCACTTCCTTCAGCCACTGCTCGTACGGCACAATTCTATCAGATGGAACTCCAAGTTCGCTTGATAATAGAGTAATCATCTCCGGCCATGGCTGGCGTGCAGGATTCTCAATATGATAGATGGGGTAAGGATCCATGTTGGATGTCAGTATGTCCAGTAGCGAGTCCGCGACGTCGTTTACTGGAGACCAAGACAACGTGCCTTTTAGGTCAGGCAGACTTCGAAGGAACTGAGCCGACTTGACAAAGAAGGAAAAGTGCTCCACTGGATTCCAGTATCCATTTGTTCTTGACCCAGTGATTTGAGCAATTCGTACAGCCATGGCACGGAATTTGTTCGGGTACAGACGCAAAGTTTCCTCCAGCATTCGCTCACACACAATCTTCGCATCAGCATAGCCAACTGGAAGAGCTGTGTCCGCCGTCGTTGGGAGTTCTGGAGCTAGAAACTGGCCAGTCCACAACGGATAATAGCCAACGGCCCCAATAGAAGAGATGAACTGAAAGCTGAACTGAAAGGAATCTGGTCGAAGGTTTACACAGTCCCTGGCAAGGTCTATCAGATTGCGCATGACCTGAAATTGGGGTTCGTAAGCCTTCGTTGTACGGGTGAGACTCATGGGCCAAGCGTTGTGGACAATGTGCGTAACTGATTGTACAAGGTCTTTGTATACATCGGATGACAATCCAAGCATGGGCTTACTGGTGTCTGCATCTAGAATCTTAAGCTTAGACATGGCATCGGACTCAAGTTCAATACCGCGCATGCTAAAGGCCTCTTGCTGCCGTGTCGTCACATCCACAGTGCCTAGGCGATTGAGGCAGACGACCCTACTGACATCGGGCATTCGCGCCGCTGCTGATACTATGTGCGACCCCAAACTTCCCGTTGCGCCAGTAACAAGAACACAACGTTGAGACGCAAACCCACTCGCTGATTGCGTCGGTGCTGAACTTGGTGGGTGGAAGTTCATGGTGTATTTATGGATAAAGTGATCAATGACTGCCTGCCGATCTACGATACTCGTCAGCTCTGCGTGCCCCAAAGTGATAGGATAAGGAGGATCGGCAGAGCCGGCGTACCTGATATCGGAGGCAAATCCAAAGATAATGCGCTGTACCTGCGCCTCGCGGCACTTCCCGTCCGTGTAGTCAACATGGCCGAATCCTGCGCCGCGAAGCACCTTTTCCCAGTGCTCGGCAGATACTTGGGCATGTGTGCGGCCGTCTTCGAAGAGCCACCAGCCCTCGAGGAGACCGAAAACAAAGTCTACCCAAGGAAGCTGCTCTGTTTCTTCAAGAAGCATCAGCATGCCGTCGGAACGCAGAATCTGGCGGATGTTGTGAAGCGAGATGGGCAGCGATCGCGTCGCATGCACACATGCATTGGCGAGGACAATGTGCTGTGTGCTAATCAGGCTGGGATCTGGAGCCAGTTCCATGTTGACCACCTTGAACTCCATGAAGGGGTACTGCTTGAAGCGCTTGCGGGCAGCAGCAACAAGAGAAGACGAGAGGTCGGTGAAGGTGTAGGTAACTGGGACGCCCAGGGCAGCAATCATGGGAACTAGAGTGCCTGTAGTTCCACCAGTTCCAGCGCCCATCTCAAGGATCTTGATTGGCCCTCCATCACCAGGTAGGCGACGGAGGAGTTGCTCGAGGAAGAAAGATGCCTGCTGGATCCAAGTAAAGTTGACAGGCGCAACGGCGTATACATCCGACACAGTCTTCCTGCCCTCCGCAGATCCGAAAATGATCTGAAGGCCATCCGCCTTGCCAGACAAACATTCTGCCAGCTTGCAGCCTGTCAGAGCGGAAAGCTTGAATTCTGGTGCATGATCAGGCACATCTCGCAGTGCCTCCTGGAAAAGAGCTTCTGCCGACTTCTCGGGACAGGGGACGGCAGTTCTGACGAGTTCGCCACCCACGATTTCTACCAGACCTGTTTCATCAGGGCCAATAATCTTGTATAGTTCCTTCATAAACTTCTCATGCTTTGGTAGATATGAGAACGCTGCGAGCTTTTGGCCAGGTTGGGCATTCTTGATGGAACAGCCTAGCTTCTCGAACGCCTCCACGATGTATGCGGCACAGAGCATGGTTGACTTGGGCCGCACATGAGTGTAGTAGTTATCCATCTTGTTCTTAACGATAAACTCGTCAGTTGCGGACTTGGTAGCCCGGAAAACATCGTGAACGGTTGAAGCTGGGAGAGTGGCCCCATGGGCTACACCACTGACACCGTTGACACCGTTGACGCCATTGGAAACGCCTGCCCCATTGGACTTATCGCTGGTTCCATTAGTGTGAGCCCCAGAAGTGTCATTAACGCCGTCTCCAGTTCCGTATGCGTCCAGTCCCAGAGCGGTGCCGATGCAAACTACAAGGCTTCGGAAATCGGTCAACTGCATGAGCTGGTCCGTCTCAAGTGTAACCTTGAACGCAGCATCGATCTCACGAATCAACTCCATGGCCATGAGAGAATCAATACCCATCTCCACAAGGTCGGATTTATCCTCAATCTCTTCCACCTCAACTCCGGACAGGTTGCTCACGATTTCCTTTGTTTTGGGGATGATGTGCGACCCTGATGCCTTTGCAGCTCCATTAGGTGGTGTCTGGGTGCCATTAGCATGGACGCCGTTCACACCATTGACGGCAACACCATTTGTGAAGCTGCTGAAGCCGTTAATTCCGTTGGTGGAGGCTGTTGGGACAGTGGGTGGTTGTTGCACGGCAAAGGAAGGCATTTGCGGTATTGCCTGTGGTGGCGGTACAAGTTGTTGATAGCCCTGCTGCAGTGGATTCTCCGCAACGACCCGGTTAAGGGCCTTGCGGATGCCAGCAATAGGCACCTTGCTGTATCGAATGCCAAGAATGGCTTCAAACAGAGACCCATTTCTGGCATCGAAAGCGAAAACATCACTGATGAAGGCGCTATCGGACTCCTGGCTGCTCACGGCAAAAACCTCCCACTCCTTTGGCTTAGCAGGGTCAGTTCGCAGCCCGGGTGCTCGGATCCACCGATCAACTCTATCGCCGATAAATATGCCTCTCTCAACAAAGTCACCAGGGTCTGAGAAGAGATTGACGGAGATGCCGGCGACCTGGCAAAAGCAATCAGTCAGTACCGAGTCGAGCCATCCTTCTTTATCGTTGGTTCGGACTACACGGCCAGCTGAATCGCCGTTTTTGCCAACCAGTTTGGTGACATGTCGATATAGATCCTTGTAGTCGATCACTGCTTCAAAAGCGCGATAGATGTTTCGACCAACGACGACATCGTCGGCTTCGTTGCCGTCCAGAAGGCGGTGGCAGCGCTTATATGACCCCAGTCGAGATAGCCGAGCGAAGTCGCTCTGGACGACGGTGCTTTGAGGCAGAGAGAAGACGATTGAACCATTCATATGCCGTGTAGAAACTCCCTTTGCGTCCTGGCCAATGAATTTCCACTCCCACTGCAATCCAGTCTCGTCCATCGCCTGTACGTCGAGCCAGACATTACTGCAATGATGTGGGACAAGCGGGCTGTAGTAAACCAACCCTTGTAACTCGGGCTGATAAGTGTAGTCCCGGAACTCTGGCCGCAGAGTGGAGATGGCATCGATGGCAATCTCGACCGGATACATGCCAGGCATCACTGCCACAGTGCTGGCCATGATATGCGCTTCAACCATTTGCTTGAACTCTGGTACGGTCGTGTTTATCAAGAAACGCACTGATCGCTTGGTATCATCTAGGAAGCTGAAGAAGTTGATGAGGCCACTGGCAGGCTGAACTGGCACAACAGGTGCTGCTTTCTCGGTCACCACTGGTACTTGCTTAATATCGAGCCAGTGTCGCGATTTTTCGAACTGGTACGGAGGAAGTAAAAGAGGTGAATAGTCAGAAATTTGTGATTTGTGATGACCCCAGAACGTCACATCCAAGCCCTGTTGCCACAACTTGGTTGTAGCATCTGTGAGAAGTGAGTATGAAGCATCAGTTGTAATGTTAATGGATTGGAAATGTGATGAACCAGAACCCCCAACAGCCTTGTTTGCCATGACTGCGATCGTGGAATTGGAGCCTGCCTCCAACCATATTGCGTCTTTAAACTCCTCGGACAATCTGGTGGCGGCGTGATGGAAATAGACTGGGCTCCGTAGGTGGTGAGAAACAAAATCTGCAGTGGAACGACCACCTTCGGCCGTCTCTGTAGCGCGCTCAAGGCGGATTTTGGCGTCACGGAACGTCAAAGCCTGACCCAAGAGGACCAACTCTTTCGTGAGGGGGTCGACAAGGCTGGAGTGGAAGGCATTGGTTACATTGAGCACCTTTACTCTCAACCCTGCATATGTGGCATCCTCCTTGGCCAACTGGGCAGCGGCTTGAACCACTGCGGTAGATCCGGCAACTGTAAAGCTTTTAGGTCCGTTATAGCAAGCAATCGAAATGTCCTGTTTGGAGCTTGCACGAGCCGCATTGAGAAGACCCTCGACTGTGGTAAGATCTCCTTCAACAGCCATCATGGAGCCCTTCTCTGTGGTCCATGACTCTTGGATAATCTTTGCTCTCTTCGATACTAAATTGATTGTATCTTTTAGGGACAAGATGCCGGAAACACACAAGCCAGTGATTTCGCCAAAGCTATGCCCAACAATGGCTGATACCTCAACTCCACAGTCAATCCATGCCATGGCACACGAATACTGCATCGCAAAGAGAATAGTCTGCAGCTTCACAATGTCTTGCATTGGTGTTCTCTGGAAGATATCGGGGTAGATGCTGTCGAGTCCAAGGGAAAGGGCAATTGCATTGCATTCATCAAGATGCTTGCGCAAGACGGCAACATTATCGTACACATCCTTGTCGAGACCAACAAATGTCGAGATTTGTCCGCCAAAGCACATGATTACAGGTTTCGCGGCTGGCTTCTTTACTGAAGGGCTTCCAGTGCCAGCCTCGATATCAGAGAGCTTTTGCTCCAAATCCTCCATCGAAGTAGCACTGAAAACCAATGCTTGTGGTAGCTTGCGGTTGGACTGCTTTGCAAGCTGGAAAGATAGATTTGCCAAAGTCGGGGCCTCGTTTGACGCTGCTTGTTTCTTCAGTAGCTTCCTTAGCTTCGCCGCGTAGCCCTTTATACTGTTATCGTCGAATCCAGTGAGCCAAAATGGAAAGCTTTTGCCAACCAGCTGCGCTGACGCTGCCTTGGCTGGCTTAGGCGCCTCTGTCACAACCATGGAGGCGTTCGATCCCGACGCACCATAGTTGTTGATTAGTGCGGCACGGAAGGAAGCTTTCCACGGTTTCACGGTTGTCGTGATATCAATGTTATCCTCCGGCTTGGCATTGAGTCCAGGGTTGATTGATTGAAAACTCGCCTGTGGTGGGATGGCCGCCTTGTGAATCATCAGCAGAACCTTGACCAGCGATGCTATGCCAGAAGCAACCTCCAAGTGACCAATCGATCCTTTGACAGCCGTCAGGGCCAATCTATCAGGGCGTGTTGGCCCTCCTAGGACTCGGCGAATGCCGTCATATTCAGCTGGATCACCAACTGAAGTGCCTGTGCCATGGGCCTCTACGACAGTGATATCATGTGGCTTCATCCTAGCCCGCTTAACCACGCCTCTGAAGAGACGATCCAGAGACGGGGCATTGGGCACGGTAATTGGCGTGGAATTTTCGTTCTGCAGCACAGATGTGCCCGCGATGACGCCAAAAATTTGATCACCATCTGCTATAGCGGCTGACAGCTTCTTCAGGAAGACCAAACCAGCACCTTCACCACGACAGTATCCGTCACCTCGAGAGTCAAAGGACTTGCACTGGCCCGTTGGACTTAGAAAAGAGGCGCCTGCCAGATTGAGATACCACTCAGGACTGGTCATAAGATTGACACCACCAGCGAGCGCGCTGGTAATTTCGCCGCTCAAAATGGCACGACAGGCGAGATGGATGGCGACAGTGGACGAGGAGCACGCAGTATCAAGAGTCAAGCTAGGACCTGTCCAGCCAAAGTAATGGCTGATCTTGCCTGCTAGAAAACTCTTCAGGTTACCAGTAGCAGAATATGCATTTGCTGGGTAGCTTCGGATATTGTGTTCATAATCGGTATTCGCATGGCCAATGTAGACACCAATGTGCTTATCAAAGTCAGGCTCACCGAAGTATCCCGATTGGTGTAAGACCTGATATGCGAGCTGCAGTGCAACACGGTGCTGAGGATCTGTTGAGCCCATCTCTCGGGGGCTTTTCTTGAAGAACTTGTGATCGAAGGCATCGTGGTCACGAATCCAGTTACCATACCACTTTCGCTTGGGGTCGACGTCACGGAAGACAGAGTTCATGCTGAAACGCTCCGGGGGAACCTCAGTATGCTGTGACTCGCCGCTAAGAAGAATGTCCCAGAATGATTCGAGATCCTCGGCGTTTGGCACTTGGCAGGACATGCCAATTACTGCAATGCGGTCATCTGAATCGCCAGATAGGTTGGTATCCGCCACGTGGACGAGGCGCGCATCAAGCTTGCGAGCGATTGTTGGAGGAAGACACCTCTCAGAGCCGAAACACAGCACTTGAGAGTCTGGAGACTGTAGCTGGCTAGTATAGACAATGTCTAGCGTCTGATACCATTGCGACTGATCCGTCAATATGGACCGAAGTGCAATATCATGGAGCTTCCCTGATTGGATATAATGCCCACCACTGTTAGCTCGTGTTGGCAAGACCGTAGCAGAGGCATCAGCAAGTTGAAGAGCGGAATTGCTATTCACAATTTGAATGAGTTTATCTGTATCGGCTTGATGAGAGGGCCAATGGAAACGTCCATTCAGAGAAACGGCGGTAACATGAATGCCACTACCCTTCAGTTCTTGCTGAATTTCAGATGCGACGTCCTGGGCGCAAGTAATTGTCGCCCTCTTCTCATCCATCTGCACGGATATGTATGCCTAATTCGTTGTTAATTACAGGCTCCAAGATAGATTCAATAGACCGATGACTGGGTAACTCACCTCGGCATACTTTTGTAGGACAGCGTCCACATCAGTAGAGCTTGCCGCAGCCCAAGAGACTGAAAAAGATGTAGATTGTTTCCCAGGTTCCCGCAATGCGTTCTCTGCATCAACAAGCGCACCGGAAAGCATAGCTAACCTTACACTTGCAGCACCATATTGCTGCAAGTCTGCGACACTTCCAGCTGATGCCACTGCAAAGGCACTCAAAAGACCAGTGCAAAGGCCCAGCGTCTCCGCGTCCGCACTTGAGGGGATTGGAAGTTTTGAGGTCTCGGTTAAGTTAGGCTCAGAGGCTTTGAGAAATGCCACATAGTCCACCAATTGCGAAACGACTACCAGTGGAGAGAGCAAAATGTTCGGTAGCGGGATAAGATCCGGCTGGACATGTCCAGTTTGCAACGCTTTGCGAAGTGCCTCCAGGGCCTTCAACCCATTGGTTTGTTGCAGTTTGGGGGCTTCTTTGGAAACCGAAGCCAAGGTTTCGGGAAGTGTTGACAACGCATCTAACGCCCAGCTGTGCAAGGGATCAGAGTGAAGTTTACTGTGTAAACTCTCGAATGATGTTGCGTTAAAGCTGAGAGCCTGCGGCCCGAAGACAAAGATTTGGGATGCCGCCATTTTATTTTGGATGACTGTTGTAATCTACCAACGATGTTGAAATCCACGGAGATCAAGTCTGTGATGAAGGACCTATGTCTGTGAATCAAAGAGAGATATAGTTGTGAGCCTGCCAGCATTTTGATCTTTTGAGGAGCCCATTGTACAATGTTCATCGCAGTAAGTCAGTGACGTGTCAAAGCCAACCTGCAGCATCATAACTCGGCGTAACCTTTTGCCTTGAGATCTTACAAGAAAGTTTCCTGATGTTACTTGGCATGAAGCTTGTCGCGGCATCTTGGATCGCCGCGCTAAGATAGTAGTATACGGCATCTGGGATAAGATAGGGCGGCATATGCAACCCGCAATGCAACCCCACGCTGATGGCCGCCTAAGTTGATTTCCCTTGTGCCATAATTTTCTCCGGTATTCGAAATCTTACACCTAATCAGTGCATAAGCCGCAGACTGAGAAATTCCGGCTCAAATAATATCCGATTGTTTAGCCAAAGAGACACCTGCATTCCCGGGCATCCTTGGGAGCCTCTTGGGAGCCTCTTGGGCACAAATTCTATCGTCATGGCCCTATCTGCAATGGGAATATCTCCTCGGCATTTACTTTGTGGGATGTTATTAGCTCATGGAATCTATAGACATCTGCATGTACTGTATACTATGGCATGAAGCTTAGTGAGTGTAAATGTATCTACCGCCTCTTATGGATGTAAAATTAACTATCTAGGAGAAGCAATGGGTGATTTCTAAAATTGAGTATATGTCTTTAATTACTTAATAGTTTGATTCTTGTAACTTAATTACCTTGCCCAATGCCTGTGTATAGTAGCTAATTGAAGAAATACTTTGACTCGAAGACATGATTGTTTGTAGCTTTCATTATTTCACTACCTGTTTATATAAGCTCCTCGCAACCTAAAAGAGGCAGTCTATCCAGATCTATCTACACATAACCAGTCTTCAATTGTATTCCATTGCGCCTTTTGCTAGTTCCCTGATTTCGTGGACCACCCTACCCACATCGTTCTTCTTTAACGGCAATCTGTGATCTCCATCCCACACGACTAATCTCCGGCTATCAGCCGCGCAGAAGTCCTCAAATAGTTGCCGGTGAAGATCTAAGCCGGGGTCATTTGTTCCGTGGACATGTAGTGTCGGTATCCTCAGCATGTGACCACCATTATACAGTGTAGGGCGCTTGAGCCCCTTGACATCTGTAATCTGTGATGCTTCTGGCAGATATGCATCTGGCTGACGATCTGGGTCCAGACAGACCAATGGCGCTCTTCCAGCAAGAATTACGCCAAACTTAAAATTGGTACTTGCATTTCCCCTGCCGTACATCTCCTCCTGCATTTGCTGTCGATATAACAGACTGGCTGAAACTTTTGCGCCTTGACTGAAGCCCAGAAGGCCAACCCACTGTCCAGTTGCTCCACGCATGTCATCCATGACCATAGCGTCTTGAAGTGACTGGTCAAGCTGGTTGATGATCTCATTAGGCCCCGGATTAGGATGGTCGGGTAGCCATCTTAGCCACCGCTTGAATGGACCCCAGTCCTTATACACAGATAGTACGTCTGGCCCCGCGCTGGACGAAAACGCTGCCTCAGCAAACACGAGACGGAAGTCATTCTGCAATGCAGCGCGGATGCTGCGGCATTGGGCACGAAAAATGCGCGCATTGGTACCTCCGCCGTGGAGGCAGAGAATTCTAGGCAGGTGTAGGGTGAGATCACCATAGTCAGGTTGATCGTAAGTCATTCTGGGTAGATGGTAAGGCTGTGTAGAATCCCTCGTCAAACAAATAACAAATTACACTGACGAAAGTAACTTAAGCTCATCAACTGGTTTTTGTAACACGATGATAACCAAGAAAATTTGTATAGAAAAGATTTGATCAATAGGAGTCTCAGTGACTTCTTCGAAGGTGTCAAGGTTGGACTTTTGTAATTTTTTTCGTTCTTTTTTGGTATTAGACCAATCACAGCTTACCAATATCTAAGATTCTTTGCAAATGAATATAAGCACTAGATCTCACAAGGATCAAGGCGAGATAAGTCCCATGTCGCTGACGAAGGAAGGATCAGAATCCCGGTATTTCACCTTCAAAGAGATGCATACATGTCGAGAGATGCGATCACAATCAGATAAGGCAACATTCCGCACTAACAGCATCGAGACGCTTTTTCATGAAACGAAATGCCGTCAGATGAACGGAAAACCCTGGTGGAATGACACTACTATACCGAAAGCATGTTGATAGATGTAACAAAGCCACATCAGATCAATCCTGGTGGCGATTGTCCCGGCTACATCCTGACATCCTGACATTATCCAACCAGGACGCCTGCTACTACTTTCTGGTTACCCCATCGAGTAAATTCTCCTGTCGTATCTAGCTAGTGTATCGGCTTACATGCATTATGGAAAAGATGCAGGTCCACTTGATAACAGGGAGCGAAGGATCAGATCCTGTCAATCTCGCCATCTCACGTCACCAACGGATCGGGCCAACATCTTCGATGGGTCAGCATTTCGGATAAACGTTTGTCGGCCCCACGCTTATTGGGAACATGAATTTGTGTTGACACCGCGGAAGGTATTGGGAATCCGTGTCCGAGAGCTCTCTCCGTGGGATCAATGTCCATCTTTGGAATTATACACCAATTCGGGAAGTCGGAATTAGCAAGCTCAGATGCAAAGACACTCATGGTTCGATGAATAGCTCACATCAGGCCAGACAGCAATGTTGCCCAGAGTTGTTAGCTGTCAAGTAGAACACTCAGAGAGTTACCGGTGATGCACGCGAATTAGTCATTGTCGTGCCAGCTTCCAATACTTTATCCGTATGATTCTAACTAGGCCGTTTGTCAGTATAAAAGCATCCACGAGATTCGTGCCATTTCTAGATAGATGCAAACCAAAGTCTTAAGTTACAACGTAAACATAGTATTTCTCCAAATTCAAAGATGGCTGAAGTCCCGCAGCAGATTCCTACTATCGACATCAGCGCTTGGGTGAATCCTGCCTCGTCAGCGGCGGACAAACAGCGTGTCGTGGACGAGGTCCATCATGCTGCCACGACATATGGATTCTTCCAGTGTGCAGGCCATGGGATCACCCCGGAAACAAGAGAGCAGATTTTTAATCTCTCCAAACGTTTCTTCTCGCTTCCCATGGAGGAACGTATGGAGATAAGCGTTAAGAAATCTCTGGGCCAATCTTTCAGAGGATATGAGCCCCCTTTTCTTCAAAACCATCACAAGCATCTGTTGCCGGATACAAAGGAGGTAATAATTCTGATTTGCAACCCAATTTCTTTCATTCAAAAAAGATATACTCTTGATTAAATGAATCAAGGGTCGCAGTTGGACTGACTCTTCTAGACCTTTGTTGTTGGTGCAGAAATCCCTGCAGATCATCCAGACGCGGGAACATTCTTGAATGGCCCGAATCTCTGGCCAACATCAATCCCAGAGGACGAGTTTCGAAAGCCAATCATTTCATATCAGTCACAGATGGTAGCCCTTGGCAACACTCTTCTCAAAATTCTCGGCCATGGTCTTCCGAAATCCTGGAACTGTTCACCAGATGTCTTTGATAGCTTGGCTGAAAATCCTGCAATCCCAATGAGAATGCTACATTATGCGGCACAACCTGTACATGACGAGAAGCAATTTGGAGGTAAATATGTCATCCCATCACTCAGCCAATTTTGTTACAGGGGCACTTGTCTAATATGAACAAAAGTTGGCGCGCATACCGATTTTGGCAGCGTTACCATTCTCCTCCAACAGCTTGGTACCAAGGGCCTCGAAGTCTGGTATCCACCCACCGAGACATGGATCCCGGTGCCTCCCAAAGAGAACACCTTTGTGATCAACATCGGTGATTTTGTGGACCGCTACACTAACGGGTACTATCGCAGCGCGAGACACCGTGTGATCACCACGGATAAGGAACGTTATAGTGTTGCATTCTTCTTTAACGGAAACATGAAGCTCAAGGCCCCAGTGCTCGATGGTTCGGGTGACGAGGTCAATCTTGGGGACCATATTCGCCAGAGAGCTATTGCAACATACGGTGCAGCACCTACACTAATTGAGTCGAAGGTGTGATTTCTAAGGTAATCTTAGGTAGAAGAGCTCAGGCTTGTCTAGTAGAAGATTAGCACAATTATATGTTTGTTTGTTGATTTATTTATTTCATTATTAATAACCACTATGTAATGCTACAACTCAATACTCAGGATCGCAATAATAGGCCCACTGAACAGGCACTGCTGAATTAGGTATAATCTAACTTGGGCAAGGTTTTATATCGCAATTCTCTTGCAAATATAGAATATCACTAATTCAATTTCTTCCTGCTTCCGTCTGCTTCAAGATAAACCTGCGGGAACACTCATTATCTGATTGTTTTTCCATTTTGTACTAGTGGCGAATGCTACATACGGACCACATTGGCAGATGAGAAGATGATTAAAAAGAAGATGATTAAATGCCATGGCAGATTGGCCAATAGCAAAGATTGTTGAGCCATCAAAATGTCCTGTTTTCACAAAGTGATGCCTGATGAACAGCCTTTGTTTCCGAGAAAAGATTATTCTACCCGTAATGACTACTGAATCGCAGCAGATGGAGCATGGATTGCCAATTCGCTTCTTGGCTTGATTAGTTCGCCTGAAACGCATCTACTCATATATGCTCTGGCTATCTAATCAAGTGATAGAGGAATATATTAATGAGGCATCGGATCCTTTGTACGGTTACAACTGCCACGGGTATGTTAAGTCAAATTCAATTTACTATGTAAATTTCAATGTTACTCGGGTTATTCAAATGATTCTAATGTGCCCTAGCATGGGGGTCGTAACGAGCCTCCAACATTCCCACCGCTCTCTTAGTAGCCTCATCAAAGTCTTCCTTGGGAAGTCCCAAGGCATCGTTGGCAAGCCCATACTTGTCCTGGAGGTTTCCATCGCCATTAGGAAAGTGGGTGCGAGAATACATGGCTCTGACAAAGCCTTGTCTGTTACCCTCCTTTAATGCCTTAACTCCGTTTTCCCAGCGTTCTTTGGAAGACTCAAAGCTGATCTCCCAGTCTTTATCCGTTGTTCCAGTCACCCGCTGAATACTATCAAGTATGTCCCTTTGGGATACTAGGAAACTGGCAACATAGACGGGTTTGTTGCGCCACTGTGACAGAGTGACAGACTTGTCGTTCTCGTCTTCCGGAAGGACTTTCAGGCTCACCAGAGCTGCAGCAGCCCTACCACTCTGAGCCCAGGTGGATGTGTTGATGAGGGTTTTGCCATCATCGAAAAAGGTTGCCTTCTTGTTGTGGTAGTCAATTCCCCAGGTGTTCGCGCCGAGGCTGAGAGAGAACTCGTACCAGAACGAGGTAGTCAAGAGCACCCAAGAAGAGAATCCAGCATCCTCAACACTCTTAATTCCAGCGCGAAGGCCCTTGCCGTTGAAGTTCTCGTCACCAAGCTTCTCGTTGAGCGGGTCGGTGCCATAACCATTTGGCATGACCCAGGGGACTCCAGCTTTGGCGGCCGCCTTGACTAGTTTGTCCTGGGTATCGGGAGGAGCGGTAACAGCCAGCGAGATGAAGAGGAACTGTTGGCCTTTGAGGGCGTCTACAATAGATTGCTCGTTGTCATAATCAACATGGGCAACCTTGACACCTTCAGCCAAGGGGCTCTTGCTGCCGATACGAGAGATGGCGGTGACAGTGTGCTTCCCAGTCTTGACTAGCTCTTCAGCAATATGCTTGCCGATTTGGCCACCAGCCTAGAAAATGATCAATAATCGTCTCATCATGCATCACAAGGGGGTAGCTGCTTACTCCGACGATTGCCACCCGCTGTATATGGTTCTCGAACCCGGTAGGCTGATCTTTAGCGTAGCTAGGCGCCATTTTGATAATGATGTATTTGTGTATGCTCGGGTATTGTTAAAGAAATGCTATTCAACAATAAAGTAGTTTTTATCAGCTAAGAGATCCTTGATGCAAACAGCTTTGAGACAAGCTGAGGCAGGGAATCACCTCCAGCTCTTATATACTCAGAAGCCCATCATCACTGGTTCAAGTGTCATAGAGTTATCATGGATTTAGCGGGATTATGGTGGATTTAGCGGGACTATAATGGACTTAAGAAACTACAATTGTCTTTCACAGCTCTGGGATTTTGATTCACAAGTTGAGAGAAGGTTTGTCTCACCCACAAAAGGTTATCAAAAGACGCAACACGGTTGCAACACTAGTTGTGCTAGCAACCTGCCAAATCATTGCCTGCTAAAATACGAAAGAAGGCTAGTCCAATGGATCTACTACTATGCCCGTCGGCAGCCTAAACTCGTAAGAATGACGGGCAACTGACTGCTGTCGAATCATTAGTCGCGGAAAATACGAAAAAAGGTTAGTGTATGAATTGCACCTTTTCCGATTGGTATGGGTGCCAATAAGCTCCGCAAATCATAGACACCTTAATACGAAACAAGGTTAGTGTTGCTGTCAAATATAATAGTTACCATTAACCCAATCCAAACAATCCTTACATGTGCTTGCTGTAGCATGGGCAAGGGGTCATTTTAAAGACCCCCGACATAAGCTTATTACTGCCCCAAAACGGAATCTGAATCACGACTTTAGCCGTCGGGCACCGCAGTTTGTTTCAGATTGGAAACCAAGTAAGAAGGTACCAGGTACATATATCGCTTGTTACAGCTTTTGTTCGTAGTCCTGATAAACCCCATATGTGACTAATTGCTTCTACTACCGCCCTTTGGTTGAACATCTCCAGCTGACCCCGGCTTATTATCATTATGCTATCAACACCAACACCCTCCCGTAGGAGACAGAGGCAAGCATGCCAGGAGTGCCGACGACGTAAGCTACGATGTGACGGCAGGCAGCCGCGGTGTTCCAGCTGCGAGAATATCGACACACAATGCGACGTCGACCCAAATCGTAAGCCGCGGGGACCTAAGAAGGGCTATCTCATAGCTTTGCAAAACAAGATTGGTATGTCTTGCGGAATGTGCCCAATTCAGTTGAAGACGAAGAAGTCAGCTGCAAACGGCTCTCGCTTGCGAGGGAAAAAATGATGGGCGTTGAGTACAATGGGGCTGTTTCCATTAATAGAAACTAACGGCACTAGAAACTCTCGAAGACCGTCTTCGCCAACAGGAACAGCACCATCTCAAGTGGCCGGATAATTTAGAGTATGGCGACGAGATGCTCGACACAATCGCATCACATACAACTGCGACTCTTGCCGGCCTAGAAGACGCCAGGCTACCTACAGATACAGATCTTCTTACAATGAGGTCAACTCCTCTGGTATCAGAGTCAGACGCCTCTCTCAGTTCCTACTTTGATGTCAATATGGTGTCCACGACAATGGCCCTGTTGCAGGATCATACGCCCACAACATCTCTATCGGAATACATTAGCAATAGTCTACATATTACCGATCCCATGAAAACTGAGCTGTATGAAACACCCTCTGGTTCTTCCAAATGCTGTTTTTATACTCCAGTACGGAGTAACTTTATGGTTACTAGATCCACTAACCCCCACGGATAGTGACCAATTATACTTCGACAGAATACACGCCGCCGTTCCCATATTGCATCAACGTAGGTATCTTTCGTGGTCAAAACTACCTGACAAGACGAGGTCGCGCACTTGTCTTCAACATGCCGTTTGGGCAACAGCCTCACTCATGTCACCACAGTTTCAACACTTGCAAGACAAACTCTACTCGGAAGTAAAGCGGCTTCTTGCTACTACAACCCTCGTACAAATACCTGGTGGACAGGGTTCTGTAGGTGATGTCGAACTTGTGCAAGCATGGGTCCTGAGGACCACCTATGAGTTTATCAAGATGAATCGCTATGAAACGAGCCTCAGTGCGGCGTACACGTTTCGACTAGCCCAGCTAATTGGGCTGCATAAAGTTGACGTTCTAAATAATCTCCCTTCTAATTGCGAAATTGATTTCATCACAACGGAGGAAAAGCGTCGTGCGTTTTGGATGGCTTTTATCCTTGAAACTCTCTCCAGCATACACAGCAACCTACCTCTGGTAGTGAATGAGCATATGGTAAGCTGGCTGTGTCTTTAATACACTCACAATATATATATTTTTATTGAATTCTGTATACCCGAAATCGATGCTAAAAAATGAGATATCAGATTTGTACACGTCTTCCCGTACCGGATCATGAGTTTCAGAATGGCCAGCCAGTCTGCATCGGCTTCTTGCACGAGCTACTCTCCAAACGGAGCCAGACAGTCAAATCGCCACTCAATGAATGCATCATGCTTGCTGCACTGTGTGCGCGGATATCATTTCACGCACAGCAACATAATAAGTACCTTTTACACAACCAGGCAGACTATGACTCGCTCGAATGGCGAAAACCGTTGTACAATGCTCTGGCCCTGCGGCTGCAGACCTTGGAGGAGGACTATCCTAGTCAAAAGCACTCTTCGGACCCGGCGCTGCTATTTGCCAATTTCCTGGCTCAAGCGTCAATACTCTATCTATGGGGAAATGCTCAGTCTTTAGAGTGGCAAAATGGAAGCCCCAGCCGCTCAAACTCACTGAACACCGAATTCCAGCAACTAGCGTTTAGTGCGGCGCAGCGTATCGTAGAGCTTGCTCGTTCACTCTTAGACTTTCCCTTATCCAAGGTAATGAGCTGCCGTTTCCTCCCCATGGAATAGTTATTTATTGATATTTGAATCCAGATCCACCCCTTTACACCGATTCCACTCTGCCTTGGCGTCAAATTCTTATCTGCGAACAGCTTGGATTCCATTGCCGCACCTCTACAACAGGAGTTACTGGACGTGATACGTCGATTGAGCAGTGCTAGTAACGTGCAGCAAAGTTACATAGACATTTCAGATATATACCAAGACCCAGTTTGACATTCTTGGTCAGGATATAATAGTAAATATATGTGTGACGAACCGGTCTATACCAAACAGTATAGGGTAGCTTCTCAAGATAATAAACTGGTCGTAGTTGATGTTGACAGAGCAGGTAGGGTGCTGTGGGCAATTTTATCACGTAGCTAGTAGGTTGAATGCAATGATCAATCTTGTTGCCATGTTAAGGACTGGCTATCTAACTACGTATTGAGTATCGTAACTGAATCTTGTATATCCAGTCGTGCTAGCTAGATCATCACAAATCCCAGATGATCCAACCACGGATCATCGGATCATCGGATCATCTCAATGATCTAATGATCCGTTCCTGATTATTTAGGCGGTCCGCTGTTTATCCGTTGGCACCTGCCTGAGAGGCCCATTGTTGCGACCATAAGTAGCGAGGTCGTGACACATTCAATGTTGTTATTACTAAGGTTTACTGTGTATAAATTTTCTTTTTTTTTTTTAACGCAACAGAAAAGCCATCAATGTACATGTGCAGGTTCCAGGGGTACCCTACCTATGTAGAGCTTATCTTTCTACTCAACCTGGTTATATTCCCGCTATTTACTTTTACGAGCTTATGAGTCTTTTTCGATTCAAAGGATTCTCTCCTGATCTAGCCCCACCGTAATCATTAAACTACATATGTCAGAGGGTCCTGTCAGAACCATTGTGACTAGGCACTCAATCAAGCGCAGCGGCGAGGCTGGACATCTCTTCAAGGTCTGTCAGCTGAACTTCAGCCATCTTCTCCCCTGTAGCACAGCCCGAACATAGCATAGCTAATGGCTAATTGATTCTCCGTTTGTTTCTCACTCGTATTGAAGAGGATGATGGAAGCGGCGAGACCATATGATACAGCCTGGATATTGGGCTTACGGAGATGTGCTGACTGTTTATATTGAGATTCAGGAATATAAATCATAGCCCTCCCTCTATACCTCTCGCCATGTAGCCAAGCATTGCGGCTTTGTCTCTCGTGTCTCTCTTGTGTTCAGTCCAGCCATGATCAAGGCAATGTTTCAGACTTGGGCCTCTGCCCTCTTATGTGTCTCTCTCTCTGTGGAAGTCGCAGCCAGTCCTACGATTAGGGAACGTACGACCGACCTCAGGGCCCTCCTGACAGACCCGGCCCGGCAGTGGGCTGCGAACACCACTGTCTCATTCCCAGGCTCTACCAACTTTGATAATGCCACGGAGCGTTATTCAATCTTCAACCAACCGACATATAGTGCCGCCGTGAGCCCAGGAACTGAGGGAGACATTAGTAAAGTGGTATGCAAATATTTTTTTGGGCTTCGTAGACCAAACTCCCTGTTGAAAGAGAAACTTGATTGACTGAAACGATCAAGATTAATCTTGCCAAATCGTATGGTTTCCCCTTTTTGGCCCGGGCCGGTGGCCATGGAGGCGCCAACATGACCGATTTCGGGGACGGTGTATCACTGGACCTAAGCAAGTTCAACTCTACTGCCATTGACTCTGCTGCCCAGACGATGACCGTTGGTCCCGGTGTTCATTATCGAGATATCTTTGACCCTTTGTATAACGCCGGATTTTACATCCGTAAGTGTCTTTGTACCTACTCAAGATTATTGAGAAGTCTTTGACTAAATAATTGCTTAGAAACTGGCAGCTGCTCATGTCCTTCCGTCATCGGTGTCGCTATTGGCGGTGGCGTTGGACGTCTGATGGTAAGGCTATATTTCAAGAGTCACGAGTGCACTTTGCTGACATTTTGACCACACAGGGTAAGCTAGGCCTGACGACTGATGCGCTGCAATCTGTACGCCTGGTTGGAGCTGATGGCATCGTTAAAACAGTATCTGCCACTTCATACCCAGACTTATGGTGGGCTATTCGCGGTGCGGGTGCGAATTACGGTGTGATCACTTCTGCCACATTCAAGATCCAGCCGCTATCCAACAACAACGGCGGAAATGCCTTCATGCTAGACTTTGTCCTTCCAGCAGAGAAGAGTCTGGAGTATCTCAACATCATCGAGAAGAACTTCAACCCCATGCCCGTCAACTTGGCAGGCATCATAGTGTTCAATTGGAATAGCACTCACAATGTCGTAAGTTCTAGCGAAATTTCCAACTTGTGTTGGCACATGAGATCTGGTGTATGGTGATTGATCGGATATCTAGAGCCAAGTCGTTTCCGATTGGATATATTTTGGCACAGAGGCAGATGCTCGCAAAGCCTTGGCTCCAATTCTGGCACTCAATGCGACGTTCATCACGGCTACCCTGCCATGGAACCGAATCATTGCTGTTAGCGGAGGCGGATCTGATGCACTGAATTGCATGCCCAATAAGCTGCGCAACACCTTTAACCTAAACTTGAAGACGTATAGTGCAGCAGGTTGGCAACAAAGCTTTGAGACATTGACAGACTTCCTCCAGAAGTACCCTGGCGGTCGCGGTAGCCAAGTTATTTTGGAGCTCTTTGCCAATAATGCCACTGCTGCTGTCCCTTCTAGCGAGACTTCTTGGCCATGGAGAGATGTTCGCGGTTTTTTGTAAGATCTAAACTCCCCACTCTTTTGATATCTTTATCATCTCTTGCTAATACACTAGCATTATAGCCAAGAGTTGTTTGTCTACGACACTGGAGATAGTGTTACAGCACAAGGAGCAGCCACCTACGGATCTCAGTTGCGCTCGCAATTCGCCGCGTATTCTGGATACAGCACTCCAACTGTCTTCGTGAATTATGCTCGTGGCGACGAGAAGATCGAAGATGTATATGGAGCAGACAAGCTACCGCGTCTTGCTCAACTAAAGCAAAAGTATGATCCGAACAATCTCTTTGCTTATGGTCATCCTATTCCTCTCTCATATCCATGAGAGGTTACATAGTTCTCCCTTCTATATAATAGGTAACATAATTATAATATATATTCTAATTTTTCTAAAGTTGAAATATACCTAGTAACTAGCGTTTTTCAAAGGTGATTATTTTTTTATGTACATGGTACGTTGATAGTAAGCGAGGAGCTGAGCAAGCATGGATGTAACTCATCGCCTGTCGAGCGCAATTGAAGCCACCCACAGGGTAACTGCACAAACTGAACCCATAAACGAATATCGACGGGACGCTGATTTTGCATTATAAATGTAACCTCACTTTCATTGGTTCGACTCTTCAGCCTTGTATATACTTAGGTACCTAGGTAATAAATACAAAGTGACACCCACCACTTTTCAGCCTCGCCTGCGCGCGTAAGGCAGCTGAATTCTTTACCCCTCTCTCTCAATTTAACTCTAGGCAGCTATGCATAGCGAAACATGCTGAAAACAACTACCTCTAAAAATTCCATATAATCCGAAGCAAAAGAAAAATTGGCAGCCACAATGGCTAGTAGCGATTCTGAACGAGAATTCATCAACGATGATTATACAGTCGGTTGGATTTGCGCAATAAAGACTGAGCTTGTTGCTGCACGAGTCTTCCTCGACCAAGAATATGAGCTGCCAGGTTATGTGTCTGCAAATGACAATAACAATTGTGCTCTAGGTAGGATTGGAAAGCATAATGTTGTCATTGCGGTCTTGCCCCATGGAGAATACGGCCTCTCCTCGGCGGCAAGCGTAGCAAGAGATATGCTACATACTTTTCCGAACATCAGGATTGGGCTCATGGTGGGCATTGGAGGGGGCGCTCCAAGTGAGAAGCATGACATTCGCCTTGGAGATGTGCTGGTTAGTCTTCCTCGCGATGGAAAAGGTTGTGTATTACAGTACGACTTTGGCAAAACCATCCAAAGTCAAACCTTTCAACAAACAGGGGTTCTTAACCAAGCACCAATACTTCTAAGGACGGCTGTAAGCGGACTTGAGAGCCAATACGAAATAAATGGACACGCAATTCAAGAAACAATTGATGGAATTCTCAACAACAATGCAAGGTTAAGAAGCAAATACAAGCGACCGAACCCGGACACAGATAGGCTCTATCGAAGCAACGTTATTCACTCTTCTACGGATAATATAAGTTGTCGCATCTTCTGCGATGATGACCCGCAGAATGTGATAACACGCTCTCAAAGGGACAGCAGCGAAGATAACCCAGCAATCCACTATGGCCTGATTGCTTCTGCAAGTCAATTGATGAGAGATGCTGAGGTTCGAGACAAATTAGTCGCTGAAAGGGATATACTATGCTTTGAAACAGAAGCGGCTGGTTTAATGAACCATTTTCCTTGCCTAGTTATACGCGGTATTTGTGACTATGCCGATACGCATTCAAATGCAGAATGGAGAGGCTACGCAGCAATGGCAGCAGCCGCATATGCGAAAGATTTGCTATGTCGGATTCCTCCAAATCGAGTTGAGGCCTTAAAAAGGATGGATATCTTTGCTGGTAAGCGTTAAAAATTGGCCGATTTATTTGAATAATGAAAATAACATTTCGCAGATATATCGGAAGGCATATCTGGCCTTCTTAAAGCGCAAAAAAGCGAACGTCGCGATGATGTACTTAACTGGCTTTCCCCAACCAATTATGCTTCCTAGTAGTATGACTACTTTAGAAATCGGCAGCGAGGGACAGGGCAATGGCTCGTGGATTCGAAACAGTATCAAAGTTGGCTCAGCACTCCGGGAGAAGTATTATTCTGCCAGGGAATTCCAGGAGCCGGAAAAACTGTCCTAGTATCCATGGCGATTGATCAAATTACCACAAAATTTCAACATGATATGGACACAGCATTGCATACGTTTATTTTGATTACCGACAGAGGGAAGAACATGCTGAAATGTTGCTTCGGAATCTCTTGAAACAGTTGGCTCAGAAAAGGCCCTCGCTGCCAGCTTGTGTGAGCGCCTTGTATAAGCAGGGCATAGATCAGGGAACTTCACCTTCATTGGAGGCAATATCGCTTGCCCTTCAAACGGTGGTAGGAGATTATTCGAAAGTTTTCATCATCGTTGATGCGCTTGATGAGTCTCCGAACGCCAGTCGCAATAGATTCCTAGCTGAGATCCTCAATCTCCGTCATAAATTGACGGTGAATATATTCGCAACTTCTAGGCATAATACAGATATCGCTAGCTGGTTTGAAGGTGGCGCATTCATTGAGATATATGCTCAAGAAGAAGATATAAGGGAATATCTAAGTGGAAACATGCACCTGTTACCAGACTTCGTCCGCAATGATGAGAGATTGAAGAACGAGATTGAAAAGACGATTGTCAGCTCGGTGCAAGGAATGTAAGGCAATACGGCCCTATCTATCGGGCTATATGCTAATTTGCTTATAGGTTTCTTCTTGCCAAGCTCCATTTAAACTCACTGATTGGAAAATTCACCATTAAAGACGTTCGAAATGCCCTTGAAAAGCTATCGACTAGGTCCGACGCATGTGACCACGCTTATGAAGATGCGATGAAGCGGATTGATAGTCAGGATGCGGGCCGAAAAGATCTTGCTAGACGAGCCCTATCATTCATTGTATATGCGAAAAGAAAAATCTCTGCAGTAGAGCTCCAGCATGCCCTAGCAGTGGAAAACGAACGCCACGAACTTGACAGCCAAAATCTCGCCAGTATCGAAAACATCATCTTAGTGTGCGCAGGCTTAGTTACTCTTGATCATGAAACTGGCATAATCCGACTAGTTCACTACACAGCACAAGATTACTTCGAGCGGACTCAGGCATCGTGGTTCCCTAGCGCCGAGAGAGCAATCACAAAGTCTTGTGTTACCTATCTCTCTTTCTCAGTGTTTGACAGCGGTTTCTGTAGCACTGATGTCGATTTTGAGCATCGGTTGTCGTCGAATCCATTTTATAATTATGCAGCGCACAATTGGGGGCATCATGCTCAGAAAATCTCGCCAATACCGCAAGAGCTTATAGCTTTCATTAAATGCGACCTTAAGGTGCAAGCGTCAAGTCAAGTATTAATGGCGAGTAAACCGACGTGGAAGGGCTCGGATTACAGCCAGCAATTTCCTAAGAAGATAACTGGACTGCATCTGGCGGCGTATTTCGGAATAGGAGATATAATCGAAACTATACTCAATGAGCAGGACTTGGACGCCGACGATGGTTTCGGTCGGACGCCACTGTCATATGCTGCTGGTAACGGATTCGAGACGGTGGCCAGGCTGCTGCTCCATAGACATAACGTCAATCCAAACTCTCGAGACAGAGGAGGACAAACACCACTTATGTGGGCGGCCAAGGAAGGACACTACACCACGGCCAAATTATTGCTTGCAACTGATGGGGTTGACGCCAGCGTTAGAGATTACCTTGGCCAGACAGCGTTACTTCTTGCAAGTAAGAATGGCCATGAATTGATACTCAAGTTACTGCTTACTGTGAGCAACGGTGGTGTCAATGCTGGAGATGATCGCCACCAATCTCCGTTATGGTGGTCAGTTCGAAATAGCGACATATCTATCGTGAAGCTGCTTCTAGATGAGGAAGATATCGACGTTAACATGAAGAACAATTATAATCAGACTCCTCTCTGGTGGGCGGCGAGAAATGGGGATGTTGAAACTGTCAAGCTACTCCTCGCAAGAAAAGAAATAGACGTCAACCTCAAGGATAAAGATGACCACTCACCGTTGGGACGAGCGGCTCGAAAGGGTTATGAGATTGTAGTCAGACTCCTACTGAACAAAGAGAATATCGATATAAGCTCTACATATCACTACAACCATACGCCACTACTGCTTGCTGCTAGAAATGGGCACGCTGCAGTAGTCAAGCTTCTTCTCGATTTTACTAGTGCGGACATCAATGCTATGGATAAAAGCGGGAGAACCCCACTACTATGGGCTATTAAAAACGGATATAGAGATGTCGCTATGCTTTTGCTTTCTAATCCAAATGTCAACGTTAATGTCAAGGACCATAACGACCAGTCGGCGCTACTTTATGCAACAATCTATGGGTATGAAGACATATTTCAGCAGTTGATTGCAATCGATACAATCAATGTCAATGCCAAAGATAGCTATCACCAGACATCTCTTCTATTTGCCGGTGAAAGGGGCCATAAGAAAATAGTCGAAATGCTACTTAGCCATAAAGACATCAATGTCAATGCCACAGATCGGATCAATCAAACGCCACTGTGGTGGGCGGCTGCGAATGGAAACGAAGAGATTATGAAACTTCTTCTAGATAAAAAGGGGGCGGATATCAACGCTGAGAATGCATTTCAACAAACGCCATTACTTTGGGCAGCCCGCAACGGTAACGAGGGTATAGTCGAGTTATTACTTACTGTACCTGACGTTAATGTTAACACCAAGGATAAAGATGGGTTGACACCTCTATGGTGGGCAGTCAAAAAGGTCTATAATGCAGTGGTTCAATTGCTCCTTGCCAACGACGAGGTCGACGTTAACGCTAAGAACGAAACCGGTCAAACACCGCTTCTATATGCAATCCAAGAGGGATATAGCGCTATAGTGGAGCTTCTACTTGCGAAAAGTGGTATCGATGCCAATGCTATGGATCAATATGGACATTCGCCTTTAGAACTGGCAATCCGATATTCTATGGGAGAGAAATATCTGTCTTTTGAGGAAAAGGAAGGCAATATAAAAGGGAGAGGACGAAAGAAAAATATCCGGTTGCTCCCAACAGATGAGGAGCGGAATGGCGGTACAGAGGCGTATGCGGTGCCGTTATCAGGAGATGCCAAAAGACGATATGAGGAAATCTTTAAGCTCTTACTTGCTACTGATGGCATTGATATGAACACAAAAGATAAGTACGGTCAAACGCCTTTGCTATGGGCGGCTAAAAGGGGCCATAATGCCTTGGTTAGAGTACTTTTGGAAACGGACGACATCGATGTCAATGCCAAAGACAACCTCAAGAACTCGCCGCTCTTATGGGCAGTTGCTGGGACACACACCGAAGTGATCAAATTATTACTAGATAGAGATCACGTTGATATCCTCGCCAAGGATGAGTTTGGTCAAAGTCCGTTATGGTGGGCAATAGAGACAGAGAATGAAGCGGCAGTTAATTTGTTAATACTTCGGGATGGTCCCGACGTTCGGAATATCATCGACCAAGCAGCATTGAAGAACGCCGCAGCGAAGAGAAATACAAGAATACTCGAAGCTCTCTTATCTGGAGAGGGAATCGATCTTGATGCAGTGGATGATCATGGCCTGACACTTCTCTTATGGGCAACGAAGCTTGAAGATCTTGCTACTGTTCAAACGCTTTTGAATCTGAAAACAGGATTGGATGTAAATGCCCAAGATAATGATCATCGAACATCACTATGGTGGGCTGTTGCCACTGGGAATGAGGAGATAATCAAGGTACTCCTTTCCAAAGAAGGAATCGATATCAATGCCAAAGATACCCATGACCAGACGCCTCTTTGGTGCGCTATTGCTACAGGGCACTTACCAATCCTTTCGCGATTGCTCAAGGAAGATATCACCGATGTTAATTCGAGAAACCACTCTAACCAGACACCACTCCTTCTTGCGGAATATTACAGGTGGAAGAGTAGAGATTGGCTTGAGAGAGCAGAGGAGGACTCCGACGAGAGATCATATATTCATTCTGATGCTCGACACAATTCGGGTCATTATGAAGGTTCACAAGGTTCGGAAGAATTAAAATATTCTGTTGACCTGTATCAACATTTCCTGCCCAACAAAGAAAACCTTTATATGAACGTCATTAAGCTGTTGTTAGCAAGAAGCGACATTGATCTAAATGCAAGAGGGCCAGATGGTCTGAATGTCTTATGGTCTGCGACATGTCACAGAGATACTTCTCTTGTTAAACTACTTTTGACTTATAAGCACATCCACATTAACAGTCGAAACCATTCTGGACAGACCCCGTTACTATGGGCAACTTCTAAAGGAGATAAAAACATAGTCAAAGCGCTTCTCTCCAATGGAAGCACGATTGATATTAATGCCAAGGATCATAGTGGCCAGACAGCTCTATTACATGCAGTCCAGACAAATAACATTGAAATGGTTCGATTACTCTTAGCAAATGATGGGGTCAATGTAAACGATACGAATAGTCTTGGCCACACACCACTATCAATTGCAATCACCAACACAAATGAAGCTATTGTCCGGGAACTGCTCAACAAAAAAGGCATGGATATAAACGCAAAACATGAAAGCGGTCAGACGCCATTGATACTTGCAATTCAGAAAAACAACTCAAAAATTGCAAAGCTACTCATCAAAGCTGATAACATTGAGATCAATTCAGAAAACTCGATGGGACGAACGCCCCTATGGTATGCCATGGTGGTGAGCAAAGAACTAGCGCAGCTTCTGGTCGACCATGGTGCTATCGTCAACTATAGAAATAAGTCTGGTGAGACGATGTTAGGATGGCTGGCGAAGCAAATGAATAAGGAAGCATCTTTGATTCTCTCTGATATAAACGGCTTTACGAATACGAGAAATAAGGAAGATCAAACTCCTCTCTTTTGTGCGACTGAAAACTGGATTGAGGACTTGAGTGTTATCCTACTGGCTTCAAACAGTCTCGATATAAACAACAAAGATAACCAAGGGCGGACTCCCCTTTTCTGTGCGGCTGAATATGAGCAGAAGCAGCTGGCCAGTATCCTACTTACTGCAAATGATATCGGCGTAAATATCAGGAATAATAAGGGCCGGACCCCTCTTTTCTGCGCGGCTGAAAATGGGAATGAGGAGTTAGCCAACATTCTACTCGCTGCAGATGGCATTGATATAAATATCAGAGATTATGAAGACCAGACTTCCCTTTTCTGCGCAGCTGAAAATGGGTGCATAGGTGTGGTGAAACGACTACTTGAGACAGACGGCATTGACATTAACGCTAAGGCTAAAAGTCAAGAGACACCACTTCTCATTGCTATTTCGAAAGGTCACGTGGCAGTTGTGGATGTATTGCTTGGTGAAGAAGCTATCGATTTAAATGTCCAGGACTCAGCTGGTAAAACATGCCTATGGCTTGCAGTTGAACAAGGGCATGTGAAGATAGTTGAGTTACTACTATCGAAAAATATTGACGTCAATGCAGAAGGTTTTCACCATCAAACCCTTTTATCACAGGCGGTTAAACGAGGCAATACAGAGATAGTCAAAGTTCTCTTAGCTTCAGAAAGCATTGACATCAATAGTCAGGATACAGATGGCAGAACAGCTCTGTGGTGGGCTATCGACCGTGCCTATAGCACTCCTTTTGAAAAGTCTTCTGTTTTAATAGCTGAGTTACTGCTCGCTCATGATGATATTGGGGTAAATATACCTGATGAATCAGGTCAGACACCTTTGCTAAAGGCGGTGACTCATGGGCTTGAGAAGGTAGTCCGATTAATTCTCACTGCTGATGGGATCGACGTCAATAGAAAGGATGACAACAACTTAACACCGCTGCTATCAGCAGTCAAAAAGGGTGAAGAGGGGATAGCGGGACTACTCCTTGCCAAAGGCGTCAAGGACATCAACGCTAGGAATAAGGACGGCGAAACATCATTATTTCTGGCTTGCTATCAAGGCAATCAGAAATTTGTCAGGATGTTTCTCTCTCATAACCATATCGATGTCAACTCTGGGAATAGAATAAATTCAACACCGCTAATGATGGCATCAGCTAAGGGACACTTGCACATAGTTCAGCAGCTCCTTATACAGGAAGATATTCAGATCAACCTGAGAGACAATAAGGGTCAATCGGCATTACAATCAGCATCAGCGTATGGAAATTCGCAAATTGTGCAAATATTACTTGATCAAAAAAATATTAATATTAACATACAAGATAACCACTGGCGGTCATCCCTACACTCAGCTGCAGTAAACGGACATTTACAAACTGTTCAGCTACTACTTAGTCAAAAAGATATCGACATTAACTCACTGGATAAAAAGGGTGAAACACCATTGCACTCGGCTTCAGTAAATGGACATTTGCAAATTGTTCAACTACTACTGCATCAAAAAGATATTGATGTTAACATAAGAAACAACAAGGGTCAAACATCATTACAATCAGCCGCAATTAAGGGACACCTACAAATTATTCAACTATTGCTCAATCAAAAAGATATTCAAGTTAACGACAATGCTAATGACAAGTCAATAATACTACATTCAGCACTAAGAATTGGCCACTTCCAAATTGTTCAGCTACTTCTCGATCAAAATGATACAAACATTGATTTGAGGAATTTTAACGGCGGGACGCCATTACATTCAGCTTCAGCATATGGACATTCACGGATTGTTCAATTGTTGCTTAATCATAAAAAGATTGACGTCAACGCCAAGGACAATGATAACAATACATCATTACATCTAGCCGCAGACAATGGAGTTCTCCACATTATTCAATTGCTCCTTGGCCATAACAGCATTGATATCAATTCTAAAGCTCACGAACTCTTAACACCAATGCACATAGCTTCTAGAAAAGGATACCACCAAATTGTCCAACTGTTGCTAAAACATAAGGCTGATACTGAGGTTGAGGACTACGAAGGTCTAACACCGCTTCATATGGCCTCAATGGAAGGGCACCTCCGAGTCGTTCAAGTGCTGCTCAGCCAAAACAACAAAAATGTCAATTCCAAGGACAACCGTGGTTCTACACCAATGCATTACGCTTCTGAGAGTGGTTATTTTAGGATTGTAAAGTTGCTTCTTGGATATGGCGCCAGTACAGATATCCCAGACAAGGTGCATTGGACGGCGTTGCATTCGGCTTCGGCTCGTGGGCATTTCAAAATAGCTAAACTCCTATATGAAAACGGGGCCGATAGCATGAGTGCCGATCTTGACGGTTGGACACCAGCGCACCTGGCTTTGAGTAAAGGATATCATACAATAGCTGACCTACTTTCTCAGTAGGTAGAATTAACTATAAATAGGCAACACCTCTGCAAAGTGTCACATTATTTATACTCTAGTGACTGGATGTATAGTTTTCCAAAGGTTTTATGGTAATACTATTCGTAATATATACCAAAGAGGAAATTCAACATAGTAGACTTTTATATCCACTTTCTTACTTTGATCTACTGAGAAAATTAATTCAGTGTGGGCAATAGACGCGATGGTAGGACAACGCTAACCAGAACTCCTGGTAAATCAAGTTTTACAATTCAACTAAGGAGTAGTACATAAAGATTTTTAGAATTGACAGTCATCATACTAATTAATTGGTTGCTCTTATGCTGAGCAACCAAGGAGTTGGAGTCAGATAGCAAAGTGTTACGACCTAACCTCTTATGACACCATAAACAGGCATCCCGGAATATCTGTCGGACCGTTCTAGCCAGTTAAAAGAAGGAATGACTATATAGTATTATTCCTCCTGAAAAAGAAATAACTAAGCTGTATTATTTCTATATAAGAATAACAGTTAATTAACGGTTTAAATATATATAGGAATAATATACTATATTATTCCCTAAGAAATAACTAAATATATAAAATTTAATTTTTTACGCTTTTTAAATAATTTAAATAAATAGCTATTAATAAAGTATTAAAATTAAATATAAATTAAATTTTTATTATATTTTACTTACTTTATAATTATATTTATTTAAAGTTACTTTTTATTTTTTTTACTAATATAAATTAATTAACTTTAGTTTATTACCTTAGGAACTTACCTTATATTATTTAAGTATTAGGTTAAGATATTATATATTAATAACTTTTATTTAAAAAGATATTAAGTATCTTTAAGTAATATAAACTATTATACCTAAAGCTAAAGTAGTTATTAATAACCTACTTACTAACTTTAATATATTTATAATTAAAAGTAATAGTAATATTATTATAATAAACTTATTTAATATTTTTTTATTTAAAAACCTAAAACTTTTTATATTTATTTAAAATATATATTAACTTAATAAAATTTTAGTTAATAAACTTAATAAAGAAAAACTAAAAACTATTAATATTAAAATCTTTATTAAATATTAATTACTTTTTATATTTAAAGGAAATATTAAAGAATTTTACTTTTATTTAATTTAATTTAAAGTATACTTTAAGGATTTTAAAAATACCTTTAATATTATTAAAAAAAAGGTTTACTTTATAATATTATACCTTAAAGGAATTACCTTTAAGTAATTTAGACTTATTTTAAATAATTATTTAAAAAGTTTAACTAAAGGAATTAAAAAATAAACTTAGGAAATCTTTAATAATTATAATAAATATATTTTTAAATTAATAAAAGTATTTAAAAATATTAGTAAATTTAAAATAATAAAAAATACTTTAGTTAATATATATTAAAAAAGGAAATACTTAAATTATATTATAAAATTTTAAAATATTATTATATAATTTAACTAAAATAAATTAGCTTTTATTAAATACTTTTATAATAAACTTAAATAGGAAGTTAAAAAAAAAGTTTATAATATTAACTAATTTACTTATACCTTAGTATTATTTATAAATATATATATATAAGTAAATAATTTACTATATAAACTTAAGATTAGTATTATTTAATAATATTAATAAAATAAATATTAAATTAATTAAGGTAAGAAATAATATAAAAAGATTATTAAAAATAATAGTAGTAAGCTTAAAAGAATAAATTTAAATATTCTATAGTATAAGAAAGAATTTAAGTATTATAATTATAGTAAAATTAGCTATATAGTAAAAAACTACTAAATACTTAAGAAAAAGTATAAGGATAAAATTTTAAAATTAAAAAAGGAAGTCTATATTATAAATAAAAATAAATAATTTTTTAATTTATTATAATAAAAAGATAACTACTATTTTTAATATAAGGAAGAATTAAAGAAAATAAATAAAATAAAAGAAGAAATAATTCTACTTAAAACTACCCTTAATTTAGTTAAGAACCTTATAATTAATAATATAATTTAATAAAATTATAAATTATTATTTTTTAAAAAATAATTTAGTAATATTACTAACTTTATTAAAAGTAAATTTAAAAAAATTAATAAATTTATTAAATTTTAATATTAGGTTAATATTTATAACCTTAAGTAAAATTTTAAATTTTTTATTTACTAAAAACTTTAAAATAAATTTATATAATAGTAGCTATATAATAATAAATAGTAAATTATTATAAGCTTAAATATAAATAAAATATAAAAACTTTAAGAAAATTATTAATAAATACCTTAAGATTATTCTTAGATTAACTTTATAAATAATAATTATTATAAAATTTATTAAATAAGTTATATTACTTATTAATATTTATATTACCTAAAGTAAAAAATAAAATATAATATATTTTTATAAAGAAATTTAGTAATTTTAATTATAGATTTATATTATAAAGGATATTATAATAAATAAAAGGTTATTTATAAATTTTAGAAATTATATATTATAATTCTTAAGCTATATTTAATTATACTAGAAGAATATAAAAACTATAA